GGATGTTATTGATAAAAGATCTCTGTTATGTATAGCTGGAGACATTAATAAAACTGTGATTGCCTTTGTTAGCTGAAACCTGGGTAATTAGTTTGTACAAATACAAGAAAATGGTGTATATATACAAATCATCTGGTGAGGCCTTCGTACATTGGCTTGATACATTCGCATCGGTCAAGTGATGATTCACTAGTCGATATATGATGATATATTAGACAGTGAAACTTTTCTTTTAAGGCGATCCATGGCTTTAGTGGCAACCTTTTCTACTGATTATAATATGAAATAGAAAACATTGCGATCTGGCATCCCTGTTGATAATCTAATTCCGTCTTTCAGTCAACTCAGTCAACATATGAGAAAGGTTTTCAGCACTGCATGGTCATTAATCCTACAGATTGATAATAACTAAAAGCAAGACGACTAGCACATTGAAGAAAATATATTGGCTATCTGTTTGAGCATAGCAAGCTCTGGTTCAATTTCTTTCAAGTTCCATTTATTTATGTTATTATGTCAAGGATATTCTTTTACTAAAATTTTCACTTCCAGTGAAGAAAAACATTTCAGGACATTTTCCTTGAATTCTATTTTGTCATGTCTTCATTTTTGAAAAATTTGAGTTCATTTCAAAATTTTTGAAAATGATAACATTTATGAAATTTGGATCTGGCGCATGATTGGTCACTGTAGATGTACAGGTTGCTGTTATTAATGGTCTTGATTTTTGGCATATCGTCAAAAGCGTAAAGCTAAACAGATGTTTGCAATAGCGAAAACAAAACATCTCCATAATTATATCCTTTACAGTATATACTGGTAGATGAGTTTAAGTTTTACATTGTTAATATGGAGAGCAGAAAGAGGCATTGTCATGTATTTAGATTATAGAATTTTCCATTACTTGCTTTCTTCTCATCCAAACAGAATGCTAGGAACTAATTCTTCTGTGGATTATCTAGAACGATGATTTGTTTTCTTATCCAGAATGACACATTATGCAGAAGTTGGTAACACAAATTTTTTTGTTCAGCCTTCGACAAAATTTCAGAAGTTGCTCGCACTATAATGTTTTGAATCACAGTTTGACATCTGGAGACACTCTTCGTCTTGGCAAACTGTCAAAGATTTTACAAAAGACACGCAAGTGAATAGCACCTTTTAATACATATTTAGAGTTTTATACAGTAGAGTCAAACAAAAAATGAAACTCCATCATACAGCTGCTTCATCCCTCTAATACAATCATCATTTATTTACATAAGATGCTCAGGGCCTAAATTTGGAAGCCCAGGAGGCAACTGAGAAAAAGACAAGTTTTTTGATGGTCCAAAAACTGGAAGCAGTACATGTATTCCATAGAGAAGCAGGCGGAGAAACTGTGGCGAAGTATAGTGTTGGTTCATGTAAATATAATCTGATTGTTTGCACGAAATTCAAGTTTTAGTTTTTCAATTACATTTTGTGATAAGAAAAGATAGTAACTAAAAAAGGAAAGCGCAAAACTGGATATCTTACTGTATCCTCTTGAGGGTGAGAAAAGTGTGTTGTAAATTGCTTTTTAGGTTTCGAGATATTTGTTTATGCCTTTACACAAGTTAGGAAATGCTGTGCTCTTTTCACGCTGTGGACATTGATGTTACGTCAGATTTTAAAATAGTGCAACAAGATGGCTGCCTCTGTTTGAATTCATCCTCTAAATTTTAACTTTGAAACCTGTCGAAAATATAAATGTTCTAAGTTATGTGATAAAAAGTATCAAACTTTTAGAATATTATGATACCTGCCAAGGCCTGCGAAAAAGAAATTTTTAGATTTGCTTTATAAAATCTCCATTGAAATAAAAACTTAAATCTAAGATCATATATGTATATTGATTTTGTCTTTAATGGGATGTATATGTATGTTACAAATGTTTTTTTCTGATCTACAGTATAAATACAATATATGATATGGTAAATTAGGAGATTTACTAGGTCATTCTAACAACCAGCATCAATTATAATGTAGAATTATTCATAAATGACAGTCAAAACTTTTACTTTTTTTTTCTGTCATCACATTTTCCTGCTTATTAAAACTGATACCAAGAATATTGAATAATATCAGACAGCAAAGGTTTTGATATTTCAAAGTTTTGAGTTTTCTGTTACTATGTATCAGTGATGATAATTCTGATTGGAAAATAAACTCCATCTCATTTGATTTAAAATAATGTTAGTTATTAGCATGATATATTAAATAAAATTCTAGACTTCAGAATTAAAATGGCTTTTTTTTTTTTTATATAAAAATACATCTATTCAAATGATAAGAAAAAGTGAAATTATATATTGAACAAACAGGTTGTTTGTCATTGTGTCATCAGCAGCTGTCCATTACACGAAAGCCTACTAACAGGGTGTTAATTAGACATGGGTGAGAGTGAGGACACAGTTGTGTGATGTGTGTAGCTAGCATTGTCGCAGACTACATGGATTTGTCACATGGCTTTCTGTAAAGGGGCTGTCTTAACGGTATCACATATACTATGTATATATATAGAAAGTTGATTGTGGTGCCGTAGTTGACTGTATTGTGAAGAATTGACATGTGTGTCTGTAACTGTTAATCTGTGCTGAAGGTTATTGACAGAAACATATATGGATTATCATCTTCATATAGATACAGTGACACATAGTCTTTGGAGCTGATGTATAGGTTGAACTAAAATGACTGGATTTTATGTTTACTCTGAATCTTTGATGCTGTAGATTGACTGCAGACTGTCCAGAGTGGTTTGAACGCTTCTCTGGGGTATCAGATAGACCGAATAAGGTGAAAACGAATTATTTAGCCACACGGATTGAAGAAGAAAGAAATTCATATACACACATTTGGTTGGAAGAAAAATTGTGATGTGTTTGGTGTTTCAGTATAAAAGAATACTAGACATAAGATATTCAGATATGGAACGGCTATTTATGGATTTCAAGGAAGGATGTGTAAAAATCAATAACTCAAATTATATTTAAGTTCCATGTATTCTTTAACACATAACTTTATAATGTATATATTTTTTTAAGATGTGGATTTTCTTGAATTTTAGTTTTTGACATGCAAGTATAAATTTCATTCACGATGAGAAACTGTTGTAGGTGGACGACATTTTACGTGATCAAAGTCAATGTGTAATATCTGCTTCCTGAAGTGTAAAATTTTCATAATGACAGGCATATATAGAATTGTAAGAATGATATTAATGTTTGAATAGCTTTATTAGCTAGAAACATTAACACTCAAAGAAATATCTACCCCATATTTTTTTTCCTTATCTGCCTAGATCTTGCTTGAGGACGGTTTTCCAAACCATCACTTGAAAACTGATATAGTTATGTTGCCATGGAAACAAGGTCACAGATATACTAGAAATTATACCATTGGCATTTGAACATGAAACAGATATGTTTGTCATGACATTATATGGCTTTCACAGGTGCCTGTTGAGATAGATCATATATAGAAGAAAGGAATGAGGTGACTTAATAAATGTTTTAATATCTCATTCAGAAAAAGCAATTTATTGTTAGACAAGAAGATATCCATAAGAAATGATATAACTGATTACTTGTTAAATTTTGTTTGATATCATAAAATATTCATTTTTCAAAAAAAAATAAAGAATTTTTGTGCAAGACGTATTAAATTCTACTGTTACTATGTTGAAGATATACATACATTTAGGTGTAGACTATGGACTTTTGTAGGTGTAGCTCCCGTGATAGATTTCATAAATACACATAATTGGATGTAAATTGTAACTGTGTGTCAATAAATATAGGCAACAATGTATAATGGGAATTTATGATGCAAGGTGATCATAAAAGGAAATTTAACCTGCTTGAATTTGATTGGATATAACTGATTTAGAGCAGCCTTTCGATTGGTCGATGAATGAGACTTCTTATCTTGTATTTTCTGATTGGATATTTGCTACATGAGGTTTGATGTTTGATTTTTGAATTAATTTTTGTGGATGTTTTTTCTGCATATTGTTTAAAAAACAAGTGAACTTATTTTTTAATAATGATCTGTGTTTGGAAAAATTTTGAGAGCAGATATATAGTTCTTCAGGAATGGTTGAATGTGTGGTTCATTAGCAACTTGACATAGTAAATATGAATTTTGCTCAAAAACTAATCATATCACAGTGTTGTGTGTAAGTTCTACAGTCTTAATTAAGGATCTTGTGAAATTTTTGTAAAATTCTTATTTTCAATTAACAGTAAACAAACTCACAAAAAATAGATACATTTCAATGGATAACATATTTTTTTGGAGAATTGTTTTTGAATCTTTGAAATGTAGCTATGATATGATGTAAATATAACAAGAATAAATGTATTATGTTTCTGGCAATAGTTTGAATAAACAATTTTTCTTAGATTTATTTACCCACAAAAATATTGCTGCCTTTGATGAAAAAGAATATTTAATGGGCAAAATGATATTCATTCTTTGTGGTGTTTCTGCATTTTTTTAAGAGAATGTTGCTTTTGTAAACGTTTTTTGTTGTGTGCAGTTTAAGGAGAACATGTCTGAAAATATATTTTCTATTGTTTATTATTGTTGCTGTTAAATTCCTCAGTTTTCACTGTTGAATTGAAATTTAAAAAATACTTTTAATGTATTTTTGTATATGATTTTTTAAAAGTGAAATTTAGTTTTTGATTATGGAGAGAATCAGTGGATTCATATTTTTTTGATTCCTGTTTTGTAAAATTTGACATTTTTATACAACGAAAGGATTTTTTTTATCAAAACAGTAGATTTGATTTTTTAAGTGAAATTTTTGGTAAGAAATCATTGTGATAATGTTTCGAGCATTTAGTAATCACGGACCTGTGAGTTCGCAGGGCACGGTTGTTAGTCATACCTCAATGATTTCAACTGCGGATGCATCAATAAGCACGAACAGGGCGGTTTTTTGCTCCACACACCCCGGCCCACCCCAGGCTGTTATGGGGATGTACCCTGCCCTTGGAAATAGTAACCAAAGGGCCATCAAACCTGGAAACAGTGTTGTAGTTCTTGGACCACGACTAGATGCTCCCAAACCTGTTATCGATGCTAAAACTCCACAAAATGTTTTTGTGCCTTCATATTCAAATGCTCGAAGTCCGTCCATGCTTTCCACTGCCAATCACAGTGTCCGATGTTCAACAACAGGGGTCATCACAGGTCAAGGTCAGGGGTCGTTGAGTGGATCCCATCAGCATATGTCCAGATATTGGAACATGCAAACTTACTCTAATTTTTGGAAGAGGCTCAGGTACTTGTTTTGGATTTCAAGTCTTGATGTTGTTTGTGAGAAGTCAAAGTATTGTATTGTGTTGATTTGTAAATCATCAGCTTTGATATTCCTAAAAATTGTTGTGTGTTGCTGGAGAAAATTGAGATTTTGATATAACGACATACACAAAATGTTATACTGCCAAAATCAGAAAGTTGTGACATAACAGGAGACTAAAGTACTGATAAAGATTCAAGCGGATAGCAATGTAAATTCTATGGAACTTTCTCTAAATCTAAATGGGAGGTAACAGAGGATTTGCTGAAGTGAGCAAAGTTGACTGACAAAACTCGCATATAATTGATCACTTTCCATTCTGTTCATTGCATTAGTATAACCATTCTGTTACTTTGAGCATTTACTCAGATACATTGAGCATTTTCTCTGATACTTTGAGCAATTACTCAGATACATTGAGCATTTTCTCTGATACATTGAGCATTTTCTCTGATGCTTTGAGCATTTTCTCTGATACATTGAGCATTTTCTTTGATATGTTGAGCATTTACTCTGTGCTTGTTTTTATCATAATGCAGAAAGCAGCTCCATAGAGTAAAAGTATTGTGGTAAAGTGAGAGAGAGTAAAAAAAAATAAAACAACAATATGTCTACACAATATATTTTTCGCTTGGAAAGAAGTTTCGCATTGTCGGCACTCGGTACTTACGGAATACACAAGAGAATCCCTATTCCCAGTCAGTCAGTTTGTCTATTTTAAGAACTATTGTTTTTGTTGATCTGCATAATGAAATAAGGATTTTAAATAACACTCCATTAAAATTTTTCCATTTTATGTACATTTTGAAATAACTCACAAATAAGACCAGGAACTACTGCTTTCTAGCTCTGCATATTGTGTATAATGCCTAGACCCACTGACGACACATAATGTACCCAAGGCAGAAGCCTTTCACGGTCCGCAGATCAGAACTCAGGTCTTTATCCTTCAGGTAAGGCCTGAATTTTCAAAAGTAATTTAGGACATGAATCGGTTCAGTATCGAAAATTGAGAAGAATTGGAATCAGAAAGCTTTTCATTACTACAATGACAAGGTTATCATTCCATACATCCCTGTTTTGTTTGGTTTCAAGAGGTAATTTATTTTTAGAAGGATCAGTTGAGGCATGTTGCATTCTGCAAATGTGATATCGGATACAATATTTTTGAATAATCTTCTGGGACATAGCATCAATGTATGTAGTTAACTTGTGGAAATCTAGAAGTTGATTAAGCATAGGAAATAATTAAAATTTCAAAATTATGAAAAAACCAATCGGTAAGTCCAATAGATAAAATTATAACAAAAAATACAAAAGAAAATGAAATATGGAAAAATAAAATTATTGTAGCATGCATAAATTGTTAATTATATGTATGTGAATTTAATGTAAACTAACCTCATGATTTGAAGCATTTTCAGTTAATTTCATGTTTGAATGCTGTTAAAATATGTTGAGTATTGGTCTAATGTTTCCCATCATATCTAATCATTCATATGACTGAGGTCCACCAGGTGTCGACTGATGACTGCAGTATCAAAGGATTACTAGCACCTTTCATTACAAATTTAGTACAGAATATTGACAAATAGTGAATCAAACTACATCATATTATTGACCAGCTGTTTTTTATTTTCGGGGACTAGTCAGTGATGCGAGGGGACTAATTAGGAAACAGTTTAGAAAAATCAAAGTTACCCTTATTAGTTGTTGAAATAAAGATGATACAGGGCTATTATGACTTACCTTTGACCTTTTAAGAAGTCTGATCACAAATCGGAAACATAGGACAAAATTTATATGAAATAAACATATTCCTTGAAACTCAAAAATCAAAGTTTATTTTTCGGAGTCCAAAGAAATAGATAAGTATACTAGATAGGTCTACTGAGAGCTGTTATTATACATATATATAAAGTGCAGAAAAATGATTTTGAAATCTGTTGTGTTGGTTAAAAACCTTTTTTTGATTTGATTTGCTGTTAGTCCAAATAATTTAGTGAAGAGTTGGAATAGAATGTTCCATTTTGATTAAAGTTCTTTAAATCTGTCTGGTTTTTTTTTCAGATTTTTTAAAAAATTTTAAGAAAGAGGCATTAATTAAATGACAAAGCCATTGCATGATGGGACTGTCCTTTTAAGCTCTAATCAGTTCAGATACTCTAAACGTACAAATCTTTTAGCGATGATCCTATTTTATCACACTAAAATGTGACAATGCGACTTGCAGTTTCTATGAGCTGCCTAATAGTAATCATAGTGGATGCATGAATTTATCATTGTGCTAATTTGCCAAAAAGTGATGGTTCATTGAAATATAATTGCACCAAATTTAGTCCAGATTTTTGTACTGTATAAACATATTGGACTGACTTTTTGTAAAATGTCATGTTTTCAATTTCAGTCCGGTTTAAAAAAACAATCTTGACAGAAAGATTGCTGCAATAGTTGATTTTTATCAGGTTTTAAGAAACAGTGTCATTGTTGTGTAGATATTATATACATGTAGTGGTCTGGGAATAGGAGAATATGCAGGATTATTTTGAGATTAGTCTAAAACCTTGCCAATTTGATCTGAACATTGGTACATTAAGTATAGAATATTTGACTGTTGTCCAGTGTAATTAGATATTTTATTAATGATCTGTGATTTTCTCAGCTCAAGTGTCTATGCTAACAAAATTCCTATCCTTATAAACACACCCTGTTATTGTTCTGGTCACAACTTTTACATTCTTTTCTTTGATCATATAATTCATATATATTGTAACTGTAGACTTTTTGTCATTATGTATTTTTTGGAGGAAGAGGGTGGGTGGGTGGGTTGGGGGGGGGGATATATGTGCCTTCATCCTAGATTATCATAATTGTTCAGTGTCTATGATACTTCCAGCTTTCTGTGATAATTCTGTGGTAATTTTGTTCTGTTGAATTTGAAGATGATCATATGAAGTTTTATTGAAGTGGCAAGAGAAGTTTTGTCCATTTAAGAAAAAAAAAAAATCTCTTAAGAGTTATTAAGAGATTTTTTGATCTTGAAATATTTTTTGAATTCATTTAAATTTCAGTTGTGAATTCTTCAAAGAGTTCGTATATGACATTTGGTCATGTGAATGAATCTGTTCTCCCGGTAAAACTCCCAACAATCGCTGTCACCAGATTTAGACTGCAATCAGGTTTTTAGTAATACACATGTATTAGAGATCATGCTTTAAACAGGTGACTTAAACTAATTCAAAATAACCTTTGTGCAATGGGGCCAGAAGTACCACTGGTACGTGTTTGTGATCATGTGACTGCATGTGAACATGTGTTGTGTTTCGCTGATGGAAAGACTTGTAATATGCATTAAATTCTTTCAACAGAGTTCCAGAATTAGCTGATTGGCCGGTATTTATTGTGTGTCAATTTTCTCTGGGATATCTGATTATTACTTTTTTCAATTTCACATGTGTGTATACCTACAGGGATGGTGGTGTGTTGTGTGTAACATAGAGAGTTATGTCCCTTTGTACATTGCCACACTTCAACTTTTTCTTGTTTGTAGTTTCATTGTAAATATATGATCAACTTTAGCTGTTCTTTTTATTGACATAGGGGGCCTCCTGGTGCACAACATGATGTCAGCTCCCCATATAAAAGGGGACGTCCCCAGAGCCCTCCTCAGGTTCAGCGTTCTGGGTACCCTTATGGTCAAGAACCTCAATCCCATCCACGGTTCAGTGTCGCCCCAGGATATTATCCCCATTACCAACAGGTAAGTTGGACATTCATATTGATACAAAAATTGACAAAGATGTGACCTGTATATTAAAGAATATCATGTATTTCCAGTTTTATTTTAAATATAATCCTGAATCTATTTTTGTTTTCGTGAAATTTCCGTTTTGTCTGCATGTGAACAATTGACATTTCGACTTGTCTTCTCAAACATCCCTGAACCCATTTTCTTGCAATTTTGTGGAAATGTTCCATGGCCAAAGATACACCAAAATTGTGATTAATGTGAATTATAGGCAGGCTAAAATGGGTCAAATTGATTGAAATTTCAAAAACATTCTTTTCAAGACTTATAGTAGAACCAAATACTCTTCTTGACTGAAAAGTTATAAGGCGCTTTACCAAAATGATGAATTTCAAGACCCCAGGGTCTTACATTAACCCCTGGGAAGGGGTTAAGTTTACTGTGAATTTCAATACTATAGTTTACATGGGAATATGATTTTTTTTAGCATTACTTGTTTAAGTTTCAGTTGGAAATAATTCAAACTTCAGCATTCGTATTGCATTTTTGTTAAGAAAATTATTATGACACAGCAGCAAACCCACATTTGTTGTAGAATTCAGTAACCTTAAAAGCCCTGTGGGCCTCTTGTTTTTTTTTATATCAAATTTAGATTATTTCGTCACAGTGTAATTTAGTTTTGGTGTCAGGTCAACAAATATTTGTGATTTTTCTTATCAAATCAAGATTGCCAGGGAGCCAGTACACTGCATGTGTGTATGGGGTTTCTTCAGAGGTCACTGCAGTGTACCAAGCCTGTCTATAGTCTGTTTCAGAAATCTAAAAACTTGGCCTACTTTCGAGAGGTCATAGTTCTCCCAGTGGCCTTTGTTTGCTATCCCTGTCATGCATTACACTCAAGACAGTGACCTGTTTCTAAAATCTCTGTTTGGCTAGCTTTTGTTAATGAGAGTAATAGGGTGATTATAAAATGATTCTGAACGGGAATCGCCAAGACAGAAGGATGCCAGAGTTATTGGTTCAGAATGTCAAATCTGGTTAGTTATTGGTTTAGAATGGCATGTATGGTTAGCTTTCTTAAGATATTTTGTGGGAGAAAAATGGTGTTTCATGAAGTTTGAGAAAAATGAGAATGCCTTGTTACTTTTTTTCATTTTGTACTAAAACAAATACTAGAAAGAAAATGTGAATAAAAAAAAAACAAGAAAGGAAAGTTGGGTAATAGTTTTAAAATAATTGGTAGAATTAATAGAATCTTACACAAGTATGGTGTAAGAGTTTGGCTGGTTAGAAGGAGGCATGCTGAGCCAAACTCTTACATGGGGTTGAGATATCCCAGTCCACTGAACAGAACCATGGCAGATTACTTTTCTCACATAACATAAAACGGTAAATAATTCCAAGTTGTTGGGAAACCTTATTCATCAAGTCATCATCATTTTCCCATGAAATGTGAATGAAAAGTAATTCTGTATCTACAAGTGTGGTTAACTTTTGACTTTTTTAACTGACTAGAAATTTAGATTAAGCTTTTTAAGAGGATGTGTGTTCAGTCATGATAAAAACTAGTTTTGCTAGGTTAATCCTCCCACCAACAGCCAGGGCTATTTTTGAGTCTGGTCTCCAGTAGTAGAAGATGGCTATCGCACTGAACAACATAAGAGGCTCTTCAATTTTCAATCCAGAGCACTTAGGATAGAATTATTGCTTAATGACAAAACCACTACAATAATGGATGGTTCGTTTCTTCACACTCTGAGAAATGGATTATCAAACTGAATAATGCTGGTTTTTGTACGAGGTTTCCAATTGGACAAAATTTGCAAGAAATGCATAAAAAAAATTAATGGTATCAGATGAAGAAAAGGAAAACATGTTTAATGATAAGTAGGATGAGGATGATAGGGATGCTGAGGAGGATGATGGTGACATTTAAATTTGAGACTCATGCATGACTCTGCTGTATGAAAATCTTGAAAAATAAAAAAAAATTACGTAAAAAGAAAAAGAAAACTCTGGACTGTGGAATAGTCAAACCTGCATTTATAGACGAATATCTTTAGGATGTTACTTATAATTAATTTGCCATCAAAAAGTGACACAAAAAAAAGGGGGAGGGGAACATGATTAAAGATGAGATGATTAATGGGATTTATATTTTTGGAAATTTTGAAGGAGAAAAAAAAAAGACTTTTCAACTTTGATTTGTCGCGAGATTTCTGCAATTAAAATCAGCTGTAATATTGCAGTAAACATATATAAGCCACTAGCTAGTTGTTTATGAGTTAGCAGTATTACATTAGATACAATTATTTTATCCTAAAATTTCCAGTTTATAGAAAATACATGTACAAATTCAGTTTCGATACAAATTTTATGCAGTTCAATTTTGGTGGGTTTTTTCTTTCTTTCAAAAATAGATTTTTCATAGACACGTGATTTTGTGGATAAAAATAGCTCAATAAATCTACTTATACTGATTGGACGTTAATGACATATATATGGATTTAAAGTATCTACATAACCAATAAAAATAAATCCCAAATGAAAAGTAATGACTTTACTGTGATGCGTCTGTATGGTATGTGGCTGGCCTCCCTGATGTTGTTCAGTAAGGTAAGCACCAGCTACTACAACAAGATACCTCTGTATGGTATGTGGCAGGCCTCCCATATGTTGTTCAGTAAGGTAAGCACCAGCTACCACAACAAGATACCTCTGTATGGTATGTGGCAGGCCTCCCATATGTTGTTCAGTAAGGTAAGCACCAGCTACCACAACAAGATACCTCTGTTTGGTATGTGGCAGGACTCCCATATGTTGTTCAGTAAGGTAAGCACCAGCTACTACAACTAGAATCTGCCTCAAAATGATCCTGGCTGTTTATAGGGAAATAAACCAAGCAAACATTTTATATTAATATGTACATTCATAAAATTCATAAAAAAAATTCTACCTACAGGGAAAAATTGACTGTTGTTAAGTGGTGATTAGATATTCTTATTTTACAATCATTTAATTGATTGATTGATCGGAATATCATTTCCAGATGTTCAGTTTGGAGGTAAAATTGATATTGAACTCAAAAGTTTCATGTGTGCACTTGATTCACAGTTACATGAACAAGTATGCCAATACATATGTACCACAAGGGTGTGTGCTGCATAAATTTCAGACATTTTTTAAATCAACATGTTTACAAAACAACACCGAGGAACAAAGTAATTATGAAGGCAATGACCTGAATAAATAGAATTATTATACTATGAACGCTAGTCACAGATGACCTCTATCTCACTACTAGACATTCTTTCCCTCCCCCCACCTCTTGATCAAAATAGATATGACTGTGAGCATTGTTTAGGTCAAGGCCATAACTTTCTATGTGTGTGACTGAGTTCTGACGAGGTCTGACTTATACACTGACACAGGGAAGTGGATTTACTCCTTACACTATATACCCAGCCAAGGCACTCTGGACCCCTTTAAGGGCTTGTTTTTATCAGGTACTGATCCTCCACTTCCAGCGGGGAAGTTTGTGTTTGATGGAAATACACCTATGATACTCTCTTTTATAGTCTCATTCATGTAAACAGTGTTATGTAGTATACTATAATCTGTTTCAGAAAAGTGTTATTTATTTATTTCTTGCTCTATTTTTCTCATGTGATATTCATATGTTGTATCAATATTTTTGGACGAATTTAAGGGTTGAATTTTGAGATTATGAAAAATTATTAAAGATACTATTTATTTCATTTTGTGTAATTTTGACCAAGGACCATGATTTTCTTTCTTGGCAGTTTGAGTTTTTAACTTTACTGAACTTTTCACTCATGTGTATCTTATAAATAAACTGTGTAGTCAACATCTTAATTCAATAATCAAACCTTATTTGACATTGTGTCAAATACTAATTAATCATTGAATGTTTGACATGTCCCATGTCAGTACTATTTATCAAAATAAGTAGAAATTTGTCCCTGAGTTAGCTAACCTGGTTCGAAGGACTGATGAGCTTATACCATGTCTCTGTGTCTGTTGTCTTGCTGGTGTTTGTTATCCAACAACTTTTTACTAGAAATGCACATGAACGACTGAACGAATATTGAACAGATTTGGTCAGAGGCATAAGTTTCTTCTGTTGTAGAAATGATTGGATTTTACTCAAATTAGGTCTGAAGCATTCTTGTGGGAATGGGAGTCAATTTTAGACAATGGGTCTCGACCAACTTGGGGTGGGAGGGGCAGGGCACAAAACAGGAAATAAAGCAAATTCTTTAAAATCCATGAGGGTGTAGACCCAATGCTGTACTTCTCACAGTGGTGGTTGTTTAAAATCCATGAGGGTGTAGACCCAATGCTGTACATCTCACAGTGGTTGTTTAAAATCCATGAGGGTATAGACCCAATGCTGTACTTCTCACAGTGGTGGTGGTGTAAATTCCATGAGGGTGTAGACCCAATGCTGTAATTCTCACAGTGGTGGTGGTGTAAAATCCATGAGGGTATAGACCCAATGCTGTACTTCTCACAGTGGTGGTTGTTTAAAATCCATGAGGGTATAGACCCAATGCTGTACTTCTCACAGTGGTTGTTTAAAATCCATGAGGGTATAGACCCAATGCGGTACTTCTCACAGTGGTGGTGGTGTAAAATCCATGAGGGTATAGACCCAATGCTGTACTTCTCACAGTGGTGGTGGTGTAAAATCCATGAGGGTGTAGACCCAATGTCATACTTCTCACAGTGGTTTTGGTGTGGGTTCTGTTATCCCTTACTTGGATACCTCCAGGTATGCTGAGCGATTGAAAAGTAGTGGGAACTAAAAGATAAAAATCCTTCTTTAAAATCCTTTTTCTTGTGTAGGAATAGCAAGATTCTGTCTATTTGGTCTGATGATTAATGGTTTGGTTGACTCCTTTTTGGACAGAGGGTTGGGCTACAATAAGAAAATAAGTTGTGTTTTGTGTTTGGATATTTTGAATCCATTTTCATTTAGTTTTGATGAAGCAATTACAGCCAAGCAAAGCCAGGAGAGTGTTACAGGCCCTACACATTTATCTTTGCTATTGAATTTGAGAAAAGAATTAAAACTCAACTAATTTTCACATGTTACAGTATGATGGCAGTACCTACTGACACACTGACCACATAGAGACACATGAACATAGCAAATGCTATTTGACGCAATATAAAATAATCGGACGAGAAAAATTGCCTGCCTAAAGCTGAAACATGTCAGCAACCAGCTTCAGAATAACGTCGAATATACTAATAGGAAATCCAGAGGAGTTTCTCCTTTTTTTTCTCTCCCTCAAAAATACAAAAAATGAAATATCTTGATTGTAAATGTGTTTGTTGTCCCTATATGGCTTTCTTCTGCCTGTTGTATCTGAAGGGTAGAATGGTTTATGAAACGTCTTAAGCCAGTAAATATTGACAAATTACGGAAATGCATATTGGACTATGTAATTAGAGTATAAGGAAATGCAAGAATACTTCATGGCCGGTAATGATGACATAATTAATGGAGCTATTTTAAGCCATTTTTTCACAAGAATTTTCTTCAAAAGACATTGTGGCTTTTGTTAGTAATTTTCTTTGTCTTTAACCTCTGTACTTAATGAAGCACAGGGTATTGACAGAAGTTTAGATTATTTTGTTTCTACTGATGGTGTGTCTTAGCCTAAAAATTCTCAATATGCTACAGGGCGATCAACAGTCACAGGACCGTTACAGAGAAGCAGAGTATTTACATATCAGACGACGCCCATCCCTGCTGCCAGACTACCACGGGAGTCATGCTGCAGCCAATATAGAGCGACTGGAGAGATACAGGTAGGTATGGAAACCAAGCTGCAACCATGGAGCATGGAGAGATACAGGTAGGTATGGAAACCAAGCTGAAACCATGGAGCATGGAGAGATACAGGTAGGTATGGAAACCAAGCTGAAACCATGGAGCATGGAGAGGTACAGGTAGGTATGGAAACCAAGCTGAAACCATGGAGCATGGAGAGATACAGGTAGGTATTGAAACCAAGCTGATACCATGGAGAATGGAGAGATACAGGTAGGTATGGAAACCATGCTGAAACCATGGAGAATGGAAAGATACAGGTAGGTATGGAAACCAAGCTGATACCATGGAGAGATACAGGTAGGTATGGAAACCAAGCTGAAACCATGGAGAGATACAGGTGGATATGGAAACAAAGCTGAAACCATGGAGCATGGAGAGATACAGGTGGGTATGGAAACCAGACTGAAACCATGAGCATGGAGAGATACAGGTAGGTCTGGAAACCAAGCTGATACCATGAGCATGGAGAGATACAGGTAGGTATGGAAACCAAGCTGATACCATGAGCATGGCGAGATACAGGTAGGTATGGAAACCAAGCTGAAACCATGAAGAGATACAGGTGGGTATGGAAACCAAGCTGAAACCATGGAGCATGGAGAGATACAGGTGGGTATGGAAACCAGACTGAAACCATGAGCATGGAGAGATACAGGTAGGTTTGGAAACCAAGCTGATACCATGAGCATGGAGAGATACAGGTAGGTATGGAAACCAAGCTGAAACCATATGCACGGAGAGATACAGATAGGTTTTGAAATCTGCTGAAAGCGGTATTTAGAAATATAGTTAGGTATGGAAGCCATGCTGAAACCAGGGAGCATGGCGAGATACAGGTAGGTATGGAAACCAAGCTGAAACCATGAATAGATACAGGTGGGTATGGAAACCAAGCTGAAACCATGAAGCACGGAGAGATACAGGTAGGTTTGGAAATTCTGCTGAAAGCGGTATTTAGAAATATAGTTAGGTATGGAAACCATGCTGAAGTCATGGAGCACGGAGAGATACAGGTAGGTATGGAAACCAGACTGAAACCATGAGCACAGAGAGATACAGGTAGGTTTAGAAACCAAGTGAGACCAGCATTGTAACATAACTGACTGTTAAGGCCAGTTGGCTGCTTATGAAAGTGTCTTGTGTACCAGATATCTCAAGAATCCCTATAGAAATTTTGATTATCCTCAACACAGTAGATGTATTACGACATCAGGTTTTACATTTAACTAGATTTTCAAATTCATAGATCAAGGTTAAGATTGAAAAGGTCATACTTGGTCATTTTTGAAAAAAAAAATTTTTTAATGATTATCACATGAAGCCCCTCAACAGATTTAATTTCTATTCATAACCTCAATAAGACCCCAGTGCTAACTCATTTTTTTTAATCTACAAATGCTAATATGATGAAGTTTTTGTGTAAATTTAGATAAATTTTCATCTTAATCCTCCATTTTCTAAACATTGAATTTATTCTCAGCACAGAATTGTTTTCAATGTTGGGAAAAATGAAAAAATAAAACAAAAAAGTTGATCCCATATCAGTAGGGAAAAGGATGATACACAGTAATCTATTGTAATCCTAGGACAATGTTTATAAATACCAGGTTTGTAGGACAGATGAGTGGCTGATGTAGTAAGTAGGTCAAGTGGTAGATTATGTGAAGTTACACTGAATGTGTACACATTATACATGTTGTGTTTGGATGATGGAGGTAAGCTTGTTAAAGTCAAAACTTTGAAATATAGATATGCAGGTTTTTTTTCTCTCTAATTTATTTCTTTTTTCACCCTTTTAATTTTTTTCATTTTGAATAGGACCTTTTTGTCTCATTTTGGAAATTGAATAATTTGGAATCAGATTTTTAAGAGTAAGTCACAAATTTTGGGAAATATACAAAAAAATACGAAGGAGAGGTGTACTTCCCCATAACTCAATAAATTTTGTAATTTGTATATTGAGATATTTAGATTGGTGTCATTTTGTTATGTCATGTTTGATTTACCAATGAGGACGGGTAAGACCTGATTTACCAATGAGGAAGGGTAAGAAATGATTTACCAATGTGGACGGGTAAGAAATGATTTACCAATGAGGAAGGGTAAGAAATGATTTACCAATGAGGAAGGGTAAGAAATGATTTACCAATGAGGAAGGGTAAGAAATGATTTACCAATGAGGAAGGGTCAGAAATGATTTACCAATGAGGAAGGGTAAGAAATGATTTACCAATGAGGAAGGGTAAGAAATGATTTACCAATGAGGAAGGGTAAGAAATGATTTACCAATGAGGAAGGGTCAGAAATGATTTACCAATGAGGAAGGGTCAGAAATGATTTACCAATGAGGAAGGATAAGAAATGATTTACCAATGAGGAAGGATAAGAAATGATTTACCAATGAGGAAGGGTCAGAAATGATTTACCAATGAGGAAGGATAAGAAATGATTTACCAATGAGGACAGGTAAGAAATGATTTACCAATGAGGAAGGGTAAGAAATGATTTACCAATGAGGAAGGGTAAGAAATGATTTACCAATGAGGAAGGATAAGAAACAATCAAGAGAAACAGTCCATCATACATATCAAAAATATAGCATATATTGCAATTAACACATTAATCCTGGCTTTACTAATTTTTAATGTTTCTACTTTGTGGTTGATTAAGAGTACATTCAGGTTTCTGTTTTATCTATCAATTAATTAATTAATTAATATATATTAAGTAATTGGCCTGAATAGACCATGTAGATGTGATATGTAGCCTTAACATGTGGAATTCATAACACAAATGCAGTTGTATATATTTACTGTTGATAGACGAGGGGCTGCCGACGTTTTGCCATATGGACAGGAAAATATGGGTAACCTTCAGGCCCAAGCCCAAGCACAAGCCCAGGCCCAAGCTCAAGCCCAGGTTCAGGTCCAGGTGCCAGTGGGAGAGCCTGGACCAAGTCCTGGTCAGTCTCAGCACTCGCACCCTGGACCTCAGATGCCAAAGAGACCACGTTTGGCTATAGACCGACCAGAGCTACAGCAACCTCTTCATATTGATGTCAAAAAGGTCAGTAATGGCACACGTTGGTTTTAAGTATCAAAAATATTGAAAGAGATGTCAGTATTATTGGCCGGTGTGGAAATGTTTAAATCTACAACCTTAATACACTGTACTTATCCTCAAATAAGCCCACTCCCCGACTGTGAAAGTTTACTATTAAAGTTTCAGGAGACTTATTTTTGAACCAGCTTCAGCTCACAATTTTAGATTTGATCATTATGCAAAAATAAAGAAGGGAATTTTTTGCAGATAAGTAACACCCTGGCTGGTAGTTTGTGTAAAAGGGTAAAGAGTTTACTGGTAGTTTGTGTAAAAGGGTAAAAAGTTTACTGGTAGTTTGTGTAAAAGGGTAAAAAGTTTACTGGTAGTTTGTGTAAAAGGGTAAAAAGTTTACTGGTAGTTTGTGTAAAAGGGTAAAAAGTTTACCAATGGTAGTTTGTTTAAAAGGGTAAAAAGTTTACTGGTAGTTTGTGTAAAAGGGTAAAAAGTTTACTGGTATATTGTGTACAAAGGGTAAAAAGTTTACTGGTAGTTTGTGTAAAAGGGTAAAAAGTTTACTTAATATTATGTAAAAGGGTAAAAAGTTTACTGGTAGTTTGTGTAAAAGGGTAAAAAGTTTACTGGTAGTTTGTGTAAAAGGGTAAAAAGTTTACTGGTAGTTTGTGTGGGAGAAAAGGGTAAAAAGTTTACTGGTAGTTTGTGTAAAAGGGTAAAAAGTTTACTGGTAGTTTGTGTAAAAGCGGTGTGGAAATGTTTAAATCTACAACCTTAAAAGTTTACTCCCCGGTGAAAGTTTACTATTAAAGTTTGACTTATTTTTAACCAAGATTTGGCAAAAATAAAAAGTTTAACACCCTGGCTGGTAGTTTGTGTAAAAGGGTAAAAAGTTTACTGGTAGTTTGTGTAAAAGGGTAAAATGTTTACTGGTAGTTTGTGTAAAAGGGTAAAAAGTTTACTGGTAGTTTGTGTAAAAGGGTAAAAAGTTTACTGGTAGTTTGTGTAAAAGGGTAAAAAGTTTACTGGTAGTTTGTGTAAAAGGGTAAAAAGTTCACTGGTAGTTTATGTAAAAGGGTAAAAAGTTTACTGGTAGTGTGTGTAAAAGGGTAAAAAGTTTAGTGAAGTAAATTAGTTCATCTTTTCGTTTTATACTACTTCATACACAACATCAAATGCATAAGTCCTTCCTGTTATAACAATTGATATGTTTCTTGTTGGGAAAATGCTCTTTGTTGTTTTAGTGTAATATCTTACCTTCTTTTAAGGTTAAACATATTAAATGTGTGTTAATGTGAAGAATTTTTAAAGTCCATGGTAGATGTTTCGTCAGAGTAAATTGTATCATTGTCCTGTAATAAGCCCACCTCTGTGGAGTTTAAGTTGAAGTTAAATTAATCATTGACTTGTAATCCCAGCTATTGAATAGGAGTTAACTGTATCTTTGTCTCTTTCTAATCTCACCTCTTGAATTGAGTTGGTGTTAAGATGTAAATCTTCCTGAGTCAGAGTAAAGATGTTGGTGTACGTGGTTTGTTTACGGAAAAATACATGTATGATCTATAGAAATTGATCTCCACACAGTAAGTTTCAAAAAGGCATAATCTAGACTTTTGTGGAGTTCTCTTACATATTAAAAAGATGTATACAATAAGAAAGGTATGTTTGTGTTTTTTTAACAGGAGCCAACATACAACCCCCAAGTTGAGGCGATATCCCCAACACTGCCAGCCGATGAGAGTAACAGCCGCTCATCTAAAGATGAGCTGTTACAGGCCATTAGTCGTGTAGACAGGGAGATCTCTAAAGTGGAACAACAGATATTGAAACTGCAGAAAAAGCAGGTACTGACTAGGGTAAAAAATTGTCTAGATAGAGAAAAAACGGGTACTGACTAGGGTAAAAAATTAGTCTAGATAGTGAAAAAACCAGTACAGACCAGGGTAAAAGATTGACTAGATACAGAAAAAACCGGTACAGACCAGGGTAAAAGATTGACTAGATACAGAAAAAACCGGTACAGACCAGAGTAAAAGATCGACTAGATAGAGAAAAAACCGGTACAGACCAGGGTAAAAGATTGACTAGATACAGAAAAAACCGGTACAGACCAGAGTAAAAGATCGACTAGATAGAGAAAAAACCGGTACAGACCAGGGTAAAAGATTGACTAGATAGAGAAAAAATGAGTACCGACAGGCAGATACAGAGCATACAGAAAAAGCCGGTACAGACCAGGGTACAGACAGATACAGAGCATACAGAATAAACAGGTACAGACAGATACAGAGCGTACAGAATAAACAGGTACAGGCAGATACAGAGCGTTCAGAATAAACAGGTACAGACAGATACAGAGCATACAGAATAAACAGGTACAGGCAGATACATAGCATACAGAATAAATAGGTACAGACAGATACAGAGCGTACAGAATAAACAGGTACAGACAGATACAGAGCATACAGAATAAACAGGTACAGACAGATACATAGCATACAGAATAAACAGGTACAGACAGATACATAGCATACAGAATAAACAGGTACAGGCAGATACAGAGCATACAGAATAAACAGGTACAGACAGATACATAGCATACAGAATAAATAGGTACAGGCAGATACAGAGCATACAGAATAAACAGGTACAGACAGATACATAGCATACAGAATAAATAGGTACAGACAGATACAGAGCATACAGAATAAGTAGCAGTTGTCAACTCTGAATTATGTAGTTGAAGAAAACACAAAAGAAAAAGAAATATTGATCATTTGTAAAAGTTTGAGGCAGAAACTGCAGTAAAAAATTTTCATCACAAAAGAAATAGTCATCTCTCAACGTAGAGGAAAAAGAATACATAACATACACATCTTAACGATCACATTGATCAGTTGTTAGATCACCCTGATAAAATTTATACATAAGTTATCTGCAAGAATGGAATACTTACATATTTCTTTGTATTACTTCATTTTCCCTTTTATGTGTGTCCTTTTTTGGGTTTGTAAGATTAGGGTGTTATCTGATATCAAGCCATTGTGATTGTTAGTATGTGTTGCTATTGTCTGTCCTATTCTGGCCCATAGTAATACTGCAATGTAATTTGTTTTTTTCAGCATCAGATTGAAGAAGAAACATCTAAACCTCCAAGGGAGAAATCAGAGGCTCCAGAAATATCTTCTTCTGAAACGAAACACCAAAGCATTGCACAAATAATCTACGCTGAAAATAGGGTAATGTATTCAGACCATAGTTTGTAACAATAAGGAAAATGAGTCACTGATAACATGTTTGATTTAAATTTAATTTCAGTATATTTTTATTGTATCAAAAATATACAATAGGGATCACACACAAGTTTTTCAACTTTTATCAAGCCCTCTCCTAAAAATACAATTAAACACCTAGATATTTACACTAGATGACATAAATCTATTTGTATAAGGAGAGTAAAAATGTGAAGGTCTCCTTTATTCTCATTAAGATTCCTCTATGCCATATTTTTGACTTATCACAGTTCATAGTTCTTGCCTTGGTTTGTTTTCTCCTAATATCTGATGTAAATGTAGGTGACAAATTGACATGCCTTGCGGAATTGGCACATGTCAACATGTGTCGACAGTAGGTCTCGGCACTCGGAGTGGTCAACCAACAGAAACAGGCGTGTTTTTACGTTGTTATATATAGTCTTGATTGTACATGTCACCTGCGGTTCCAATACTTGTACTGTTATTTATGAATTACAGTGTGATTTATAAAACAATGTACAGTAGCAATGTGAAAAGTATAGTACTTAACTGTTATTTGTATATTTGGAAAAAAAAATGTTAAATTTACGGTAGTTTTTTTTGTGTACAAACATGATTTTATACCTTTAAAGGAAATGATACTCAAAGCAGAAATACACACTGAAATTCATAGTTTGTTTTCTGGATATTTCATAGAAAAAGGCAGAAGAAGCACATTCATTGTTTAGTAAACTTGGACCAAAGATTGAGCTGGTAAGTATACCTCATCACAATTGTTTACAGTAAACTATCCTTTTATCAAATTTATAAAAAAAATATACTTTACATTCTCGAGGAGAATACACAATTATTTTGTTGTAGATAGTCATCCCCTCCCAACCCCACTCGAAAAAAAAAAAAAAAAAAAAACTGAGGGGGAAAGAGTACTGCAAGAACCAGCTAGAAAGTGTACACTAGTGTCTTTAAAAAGTTTTATAACTTTTTAACTTATCAATAAAATTTTCTGCATTATGTTTGTTTCAAAACTTTCTGATTTAATGTGCTAAAAGTTCCATTTCATCAACTGAAAAAAATTGCTTTTGTTACAGCCCCTGTACAATCAGCCATCAGATACTTTAGTGTATCATGAGAACAAAAGAAAGTAAGTAGACATTGTACAAATCCTTATCGGAGAACATCTCAAAATATTCTCTTGAAGTTGTGTATTATAATTTTTTGGAAGCTTTACAAACTTTGTGATCAATTGTCAAATTTTTTCAAATGATTAATTCATCAATTTTGCATTTGAATGAAAATGTAAAGATAGTCATATTTTATTCCTTTCACTGAAATATGCAAAATGCAGTGTTTATTTCTTTAAAATGTCAAGCTGTCTTCAGTTTATTTTGTGTTCAATTAATTTGCAGGTCTGTTGTAAATCTCGGTAACAACACCTGTATGGTACTTAATTTCATATTGCAAGTTGATTGACGATACACAGGCTTACTCTTAAAATGTTAACTTTAACCAGATGTAACCCTGGTAAAATACTAGCCGTAATATACCACTTGGCTAGGGAGAACTTCTCTTTAGCTTGATTGGTTGGACGTCAGACTAGTAACTCAGGGGACCCGGGTTCGATTCCTAGTGGAAACATTGAAATAAAAAATGACCTCTGTTACACAGGGATAGTTGTTTAACCAGGATTAGTGATAGAAAATGATAAATGACTTGTTATACATATATAAGGCAAACACATCAAGCATTGATTGAATTGTAGATTGTGATTGAATTGATTTATGAAAACGACATTAAGGTATTTACTTTTCAGTTTTACAATGTCTGCTGTTGATTTCCTTTTTTTTTTCTAAACCTGGAATACTTATTCAATTGTTTGTTTTTCTAGACATGCTCTTTTCAAGAGTCGACTTATACTGCACTTCAAGAAGCGACACCAAGCTCGCAGGATCAGGGTATGCTTTCACTGATATGTATATTTACACTAAATTTGAGGTCATTTACATGGTAAAATCAGCTGTTTATAAAAACATTTTCAGTAAGTTTTAAATCTATTTCAGTATCAGAGGTTAAATGTTGAATAGTAAGTTTTCCTGAAAATGTTTTAGAATTTCTGTATTAAATCAATATTTGGATTTGTATTACCTTGATGGGTTCATGTTTCTCATCTTTTACCTGAAGGACTTCAGCCTGTAGTTGAACATTTTTTCTCTGTTTTTACCTGAAGGAACGTTACCTGACAGACAGATATGATCAGCTGATGCAGGTATGGCTGAAAAAGATGGAACGGGTGGAAAACAATGCTAAACGCAAGTAAGTACAGTAGTCCCTTCCCTCTAATTAAAAACAGTAGCTGTAATGATTATCAGGTGCCCTGTCATAGATGTAAAGTCAAAAGGATTTAGAGACTGGCTTGAACAAACTATCAAGACTTGTGTTGATACTCAGCCTGTAACTGACCTTTATTTATTTATTCAATTGGTTTTATTATGTCAACTATTACAGACTTACGACCTTTCAGCGAATTACTTGACTAGTCTTACATGTAGTCAGTTTTTATATGACTTAGTCAAGTTTGACAATGCTATGGAATACTGATGAAGTCTGTCTGTCCTTTGGTTTGTTTATGTCTTTTGATGTGTCATTAGAAAGACTAAAAAGATCCTATCAGGGCTTTTTAAAAAAATTCTGGGTTAAAGTGTACCCTGAGAGTAATTTTATATTTAGATATAATGTTAAGAATACCGTAAAAATAATAATAATGAAAACCCCGTCAAAATCCGTCGCCCCAGTGTCGAGTTATTAAAGCTCAAAGTTGTCGATTTTCACCTGTCCGCCCAGACCTTATCAGCCGAATCGTCATTTCCGCGGAATCGAGGCTCTTCTACTCGTGACGTCATAAGTTCAACAGAAATGGCAGTCAACATGACTGACAGTGACAACGACACGGCAACTGAGAGCGATTTGAGCATGAGTTTTGAGGAGTCTGATCATGGTGTGAATGATATGTCTGAAGACGGAATCCAGCCCTACCGATTTGAACTGGAATTACAAGACGATGTATCCAGTGAGGAGGAAAATGACCCTTCGAAAAGTGACGATCGCTTGGGCAACATAGATTGGCACGTACTTCACTGGGTCTCACCAGTAGTCGTGAAAGTAGTCGAACAGTGAATCGTTGTTTCAAAGAAACAAAATAAAACTGGGTGTGTTTTTGGACTAATTTTACTATCTTCAAGTCTCGATCAACAATTTCTGACGTCAGGAAATCGCGTTTGTGCAAGACTATGCATACATTCACGAGGTGACGGGAATTTTCTTACCGAAGAAGTTTCGTCCGAGGGGAATTTTTCTTTCCAGGGAATTTTCGTAGCACTATGGATATATATAGATAGGGTGTCAACAACCAATTATAACACCCTCCGCTGTGTTAATAATAAAAATTTGATGTTTTAGAAGTTTAAACAATTATTTGACTGGTTTTTATCCTAGCACTGGTACGCGTCTGTTGTTAGCCGACAGGCGTGTCGCCTCACAGGTGTCACAATTGTTTTTTCCATCCACAGAGGTACTAATTACCTAACCTGGCACAGGTGTGATTATGAGTTTAGATGACATCTCTACACTGTGAACTGTGTTTTCAAATCAAGATTGGTGATCTTATTGTTATTTTTACGATCGCAAAATTAATAACTAAACAACATCGTCTGCTGGAAGATCTAAAAACCAAATACACCTTATACAAACAACATACACACATAACCTATTCTATGAATTCTAATAATTCTATTCTATACTGTATAATAGTAGTATGAAAATTCTCGGGGTGAAAATTCCCGTGACCCATTCACGACTAGGCCTTCTCCGAGTATTAGGCGTTCACGATTACGAAGGAATAATATTCCTATGACCGCCCAAGTCATAGGCTAGCCTATCAATTTAAAATGTTTAGTAGTAGAATTAATAACAAAATATCAACCTAAGAAATATACTTTTATTTAATCAACAATCAGTTTTATTTATCGACGTCATGCATTGACACCCCATCCGTGTTAGTGTTAGGACAACCATACACACTGCTTCCCTCCTCGATAGGAAGCCATTTTAGCGGATTTAAGCGCTAATTCACCGACCCCTCGTTCACTACCTTAGATATTGCGAAGATGTGAAGTACTTTCACGTAAATAAACAAAGAAATTACCACGGAAAATCCCAAAATAGCTCACAATCACATGTAGCACAGTAAAGACAATATGGCTGCATGAACAAAAGCGTTGATCTTATGACGTCACAGGTTTGGGTGCCCGAAAACGAGGTCAACACCTCTCAGCCAAAGGTGTGTTTTTCAGAAAAGTCGCAATTTCTCAGTAACGGAACATTCCATGGCAATCGCGTTTTCGGCATAGTGTATTTTATGTGCAGAACTATTTTTCAAGGTCAACATAGCTGACCTCTCAGGGTACACTTAAAGAATAGAAAGATATTCTCTGATACAAATAGAGAAAAAAAATTCTGTTTTGAAAAATAGTTTTTCTTAGTAAGGTAATCCAGTGCTAGAGATGGACTGAATTACATTGAAATATCATCCATAAAATCATACTATTTAGTTGATTTCACATTTTTACTTTACAAAAAATGATTATTTTGAAATCTTTTTCATTTGCAGGGCCAAAGACGCAAAGATGAGGGAATATTATGAGAAAATTTTCCCAGAAATTAAAAAGTCCCGCGAAGACAAGGAGAGATTTTCCAGGTGTGTTTTTCTGTGTCAACCAGTCATTTTGGGATTCAGAGATAAATTCTTGGGTTCAGATTTAAAAGAAAGCAAATTTAATTTTGATCTTTTTGAATATACTGGGGTCTATCATTCTCATAGAGGTTTTCACTATAAATGGTTCTGATGGTTTGATGCAGGGCTGGTACAAGAAGTGGAAATATTGGCCCGTACGCCCGCAGTGAGGCAGAGTTTGAACAAATTGTTGATGGACTGCATGAACAAGAGGTATGTTGTGTTGTGAGATCCCAGCTGAGGTCTGCCATGAGATTTGAAAAAAAAAGATGCATTAATCTGATGTGACCAGTGCTGAATTAATTTTACAAAAAGTACACAAAAATGGCTGCATTTTCAGATGTTCGTTGATTTTGAAGTTAGTTTTGATATTGTGCTTACAGAATACAAGAGATATAACTGTAGTCGGTGTCATAGATATATTTGTATAAGCTGTGATACAGCCTTAACTCAATTTTAAAAATGTTGATTAAAGGCTTCTCTATAGAAGACATTAGGTCTCTATAGACCTTATTGTCAGTCCAGGCTAAGAAGGATATCGGTTCTGTCTTCTGACTGAGACTACCTACTCTGTACTGTTCAGCTGAAAATGAGTTAGTGGTAGGTACTGACTGGCCAGTTGTGAGACCTGGCAGGGTGTCATTTTATCATTTCCAAATTATGACATTAAAGTGCCATGGCACTTACACAGGATCAAAGTATCCATGGATACAGTCTTCTTATGACATATGCTGTTCTGAGGATGTCAAACAAACAAACAAACAAGCAAATGAAAACAAACAAACCAATGAACGACTGACTTATGACTATACTATAAACTTTTGTTTTCTTTCTTTGTTTACTAGGAGGATGACAAGAAGATGCGTAGCTACGCAGTCATCCCACCCATGATGCTGGATGCACGTCAAAGGAGTCTGCGTTACCTTAATAACAATGGACTGATCTTGGACGCTATGGAGGAGTGTAAGGAGCGTTCTAACATCAATGTGTGGACGCCCCAGGAGAAACAGATCTTTAAGGAGAAATATCTACAGCATCCTAAAAATTTCACCGTCATACAACAGTACTTAGAGCGCAAGGTAGACAAAAATCTTGTTATATTGCATATTTTGTAAATGCATCAATAGTCTTGAGATGTTCAAATGATTTTTGGAAATTGTGTGAGTTATGTGGAGAAAAATTGTTAGTCTGTTATTAAATGAAGTAAAATTTAGGAAGAATGTAACTAAAAAAAAAGGCATTATCTTGCTGAATAAAGTAAGATAAAGAAAATAAATTTTGTGAAGAAAAAAAAAAGGTATCATCTAGTTAAATAAATGAAATTGTGGGCAAAAATAGGTTGAGCTGGAAAAGGTGATATAATTACTTTTGACCACAAACAAATTCCTTCCCTGAGTGAAAATTTTCAGTCATATTTTGTATGTGATCATCATTGTGAACACGTTTCAATATCATTACCTCTGTTATATTGGATAGTCCCCTCTGATATTTGTCCGCCAAAAGTAAGATTTCACACGTAAATAAATCTTCCCATTTAAAAAATATTTATCAGAATACAGAAACTTGAATGGCAGAATTAGATACACTTGGGTTATACTCTAAAAATCATTGTTTCAGACTGTGGCTGACTGTGTGCAGTATTACTATCAGACCAAACGTAGTGAAAATTACAAACAACTGCTTCGTAAACAAACTGTGAAGAAAACAAAACGGCTTCAGAAACAGCAGGTGAGAAGCATTTCACACAAAAACAATACATTATTTCTTTTGTAATAGCTTATATTTCGAAGAGTATTACAAAGTTTTTTTCTGTTTTTGTCTGGCATGAAAATTAAATTTTTTCATCAAATATTCTTTGGAATTTAGCATTTCTTCTGTTTTTATTGTTTCATATCCTAAGGTATATGTTTAAACTGTTATTGAGCAATTTAAAATCATCTGCACATCTGAACCTATGTAAACTGACTCCTGAGTTATTCAACAGCTTCTCTAATCCAACATAATCCCATACTTTCAATGCAACTGATAACTACTTATTCTGTTGAATAGGTCAATGAACAGAAACAACTACAATATACACAGAGACAGATTTTAGAGTGGGTTATCATTAAAACTGATACTTTCTGCATGAAAAAGCCTGAAAAGTGGGTGTTTGATGGCAGTTATTTGGTTCTGTATGGCCTCGCTACTGTTTTGTGTCTTTGTTTAGCCGGCTGCTGCGATTAAGGAGGAACCTAAAGAGGAATTGGAGGAGCCAGCGTCTTCTGTACTGTCTATCACTGGTACAGCCATACCACCTCCCCCAGAACCTGCTGTTATCAAAAAAGAGGAAGAGAAGGTTGAAGATGATGACTCATCCGATGACAATGAGGTCTCTACTTCTGGTGCTGGTGAAGGTAAATACCGTTGGTGAAGAGAAAAAGAGAAAATCGCTAACAATCTATTAATTTTTTTTTTCTCCCCTTCAAATAATTTCTATTAAGGTTTTTTATTCTGGTCGTTCTATTAATTGATGATAATTAGGGTCAAAAGTCAAATAAGTATGAATTTTAGGGTCAAATAAGTATGAATATTTCAGTAAAAAGTTGTCTGGAAAATGAATTTTAACCATTACAGATAACTTAATAAAAGTTGCTGTACGCCTTATATCACCTAAAGCTGATGTACAGTGCACTGCTGTTAAGTCACACTGTGACCTTGACTCAAGATCAAAGGTCAAAATGGTGTGAATTTTTTCCATATATTCTTGTATTACAAACAACATTTAAACCATTTAAGATATCTTATGGAAAGTTACTGTACACATTTACCGCCTAAAGCTGATGAGCGGGTGTTATAGTTGTTTTATGGTCTTTTAATCTAACTATAATATGGTTGCTTAGTCAAAGATTTGATGTATGCGTGACTTTCACTCACTCACACGTGGGTATGTTTGTTTACTATTTTAGCACTATTACCTCTGATAACTTGCCTTGTTGTGAAGATCTGTGATGTAATAATTCTGTAACTGGTTCATAATGATAATACTGTACAGATAAATCTGTCTGGGGTTGAAGTGACAAAAAAAAAAAAAAAAAATACAAAAGCCGAATATCAAGACGTCTCAGAATTGATAAACTTTTTGTCAAATTTCATGATTTAATTGGAAAAAATTCAAAAACTCCTGTGAACCTCTTAGATTAAGTTTTGATAAAAACATTGATAAATTATCATTTATTTTCATAATTCTGCGGAATGTAAACATATTATTGATTATTTTTCAGGTGGAATACATCAGTGTGCGATATGCTCACAACAGTTGGAACACTATGGTCTGAGCCGACCCTTGACTCGTGCTAACTGTGAGCTGTATGGCATGACAGAGACTGATCTCAAACTAGACATGAGAGTGTGTAGTAGTTGTCGATGTAAATCTGTACGCCGTCGTTATACACAGTACGTATTTTATAAGATTTTCATCTCCATGTTCTGCTGCTTCATCAATTTATCAAAAGTTAGGAACATCTTTATATACTCCATGTGTAACCTGAGGTAAAGACCCTTAGTATGTGGTTTAACACTCCTTATCTGTGGTGGGTTGTGTTTCTCAGGAAGCTGAGAAACAGACTGGTCTATGCTGATATGGCTGTGTCTATGAGCAACACACCTTATCCTAATTGCTCTGTATGGTATATACAAGGCCTCCTGTATGTTGTTCAGTGAGGTAGCCACCAGCTACTACTAGGAATCCTCCTGTAAAATGACCTAAGCTGTTCATGGGACGAAAAAAACAAAATATCCCAAAAACATAGTTTACATCAATACATCAAAATTTATCAGCATTTGTCGTTGAATTATCAGAAGAATGTGAAAACAAAAATATTAAAAATTGGAAACAAGAGGTAGATAATGGTGATTATGAACTTAGAACTTTTCATATTGGGAACAATTTTCAAATTCAATATGGTGCGTGAGTACATTAGAAGAAGAACGATTGTATATCTGGCTGTAATCGTAGTTTTGTTGCTTGAAACTAGCTTAAATGAATTAAACCAATCAAATTTAAGATTCACTTTATAACTGCTTTACAACTTGAAGGTGTCCTGTTCCAACTTGTAAGACGCCCAAGAGAAAAGTTAAGCGGCTTCGACCGTTGCCTCCAAAATGGGCCGATCTGTCTGCAGATGTGAGGGAACCCATCATTAAAGATCTTCGTAAGTCTCGGCCTCTGTGATACAATAGAATAAGTAACACATTAAGATTTTTTTATAATTCTTTGGGATGCTAAGATATATTTTTAAGCAGTGAATATTACATTTTAGTCCTATGATACACAATTAATTTTTTGCTAATAAGTTTAATAGAGAGTGCTAGAGGTTTATGAGAGTTTGACAGCAGGAGCACTGAGGTTTACAGGATCATAACATTTTTTCATAAAATATTCATATGACGAGGTAACATTCAGAGATAATACTAACATATCATTATCGGGTTATTTCTCTCCTAGAACTCCAGTTTGTTAAATTCTAGGAACAGCAAAATAACAAGATGTATGCTATTATAATTTGAATTGTTTACAGCGAAAATAAAGTTTCACAATCTAATGATACAAATCTTCTCAAATTTACAGAGTTGACCGAAGAGATTACCAAGTGTTGTTCAGCTTGTTTCAACAGGATTGCGAGAAGACTTGGCACTAATCCACAGACTAACGAACCAATCGTTCCACTTGTACCAGAGTCAAATGATGGTAACTACCAGTAGATATTGATTTTTGATATAGCTATTGATTTATTGCCTATAATGTGTCGTCAGATTTCAATAAGTGATCAGTTTATGATTTGACTTATTTCTTTTCATTAAATGACGCTTGTACCAGCTTTGTCGTCCTGGTTCACCTTTGTTTATACATCCAGTTTGTCAAAAATGTAACTTTTCAGGTAAAAACCAAAATGAATATGCAAATATTAAAGCAGGCTGTTAGTTAATAAGTTAATAGATCAGTTTATATTTCATAAACAAGCTGGTTAAATTGGTAAACAAAACGGCATATGCACTATAGTTTTAGTGAGCAAAATTCTACAAAGCAAAAAGTTAGTGTCTCAGTAACGGATCAGCTTATAGTTTTGTTATCTTTATGAGTCTGACTAGAGATATGAGTTTGATCAGTGTTTATTTGCTCCAAAAATTAAGAAATGAAAGATGACAATAAGGAAAAGTGATTATGCAGTGTTTTTACAACAGCCTGTGTCTGTTTAAGTTGGGATAGTAAAGTTATCTTTATATTCAAGTTGGAAGATATTATTTTTTTGTTTTTTTTCTCTCTGGTTGTGGTTTTTGGTAGGGAAAAAATAGATAAAAAAAAGAGAAAGAAAAAGAAAATAGAAAATAAAAGAAAAAAAATCAGTGTTGTAACTGTTGTTATTGTTGACTTTTCTTTTATTTACAGCAGAAGTAGTGGAAACATCCAGATGGACAGAGGAAGAAATGGAAGTAGCCAAACAAGGCATGTCACATATTTTTTGAAGATTTTTAAGTGAGAAATCTGAAAAATAGAATTTCCTAAAATACTGCAAATCAATTTCAGATTTATATTTTTTAAACAATTTTTGGGGTTTTTTTTGGGTTGCTGTTGATAATTTTTACAATTGACTCATTTTTCAAGGAGAAAGTACAACAGGTGATAAGAAACTTGAACATACACTCATTTCATTTACAATAAGTTACATTACATATTTATCAAAAATTTCAGACTTTATCTGTGAAATAGAGATATAGAAGTTTTTAGCTCATTTATATCATTAATATTTTTTTCTAATTTATCAAAGTTTTTGAATTTAAAACTTTCAAATAATTGTTGTATTCAGGTCTGAGACAACATGGCCGAGACTGGGCAGCCATTGCCTCCATGGTGGCCACAAAAACTGAAGCTCAGTGTAAAAACTTCTACTTCAACTACAAGAAGAAGTTTAACCTAGAATCTATCATACAGGAACACAAAGAGAGGGTGAGTCAGACCTGGGTATCATCATTTTAAGGTTTCAAGTCTTGGATATCATAATAAGTTTTGTGGGATATTTGTGTGTCGTTAGTGGAGGGGATAATTTAATTCAGGGATATGTTCGTGATCGGGTAGTGTTTAGTCTGCAATTAGCTTTGAGGGTCAACACATAGCTTAAAATAAAGGGGCGGGCTTATTACAGGATATTTGTTGTCATACCTTGAAAACCTTTTTGTGGATTTGGTTACAGTTTACCCCATAGTATCATCATATTACATGTTATCTCTTTAAAAGGTTATTGGTCAAGGTTAAATGGTCTTCAAATAATGTTACATAGCAGCATGAGAGCGAGGATGTCCCTGTCTTACAGATATTTGTTATTACTTCCACCTCTCTGTAAAGGCCACCCCTCAAGAAAATGAAACCTCACTGTGAAGGTTACCTTTCTGTTAAGGCCACCTCTCAATAAATGAAACCTCTATGTAAAGGTCACCTCTCTGGTAAGGTCACCTCTCAATAAATGAAACCTCTATGTAAAGGTCACCTCTCTGGTAAGGCCACCTCTCAATAAATGAAACCTCTTTGTAAAGGTCACCTCTCTGTTAAATTAAACCATTTTGAATAGGTCATCTCTCTGTTCAGGTCACTTCTTTTGTTTCCTGTTATAATACAGTTCACATTAATTTAACCTCTATATAAAGGCCACCTGTCTATAGAGACCATTATTAAACAGATTTGACTGTATAACCATGTCCTAATGTCACCTTTTTCACAAACCATCGGATAAGACCTGTGTATTCTGACTACCTGTCCAATCAGAATCACATGAATTAAAGAGGTTTTAGTCCACTGACATTTATTTTAGTTTCAGTGGAAATGCCTTCTATACTACACCATATCCCTGTAATAAGCCCAGTGCCCTGACTTGTCTTCCCCGCCCTCCATTTTTTATTTGCATGGAGGTTCTTTGTTGGTCTAACATTGGTACATTGTTGTTAGAGGAATTCTATTGTGTGTGTGTTGAGGGAAGGGTGGTTTCAAAATTTACAAGACAAAAAAGAATTGATAGTTAGATCCATCTTAAAAATATTTCATAAATATTTCCAAGTTCAAGGAAATGGTTTGTTCTTTTGTTATGAATCTATGTATGTAGATTTACTTTGATAAGAAAATGGAAGTGAAAGTGATTTGTGTTGTGTGTGGTTACTTATCTTTGTTTTGCATTATAGAAGGAATATTTGTGGATTTGAATTTTCTAATTCACTTCTATTAAAATGTTTTTGGGGCATTTCATAATCATGTTTTTACTTGGAACCAATATCATTTTTGCATTTAACATTTCTCATATAATCATTCTTAAAATACAGTTTGTTTGTCCTTGAAAAATGTTTGTCCTTTACCCACTCTTACTATGACAGATTAGTAGAAAGAAGGATTTGACTTTTCATCTAAATGTCTAATTATCGTATATAGTAAATTCCGTAAATCTAAATATGAATTTTTTAAAATATAGTGTAAGTTCGTCAACATACCAAAGTGAAGTACAAGTATCAATTTTCCTCTTAAAAAATTGCACGAAAATCTGCACTAGATCTGCCACTGGGGGTAGCAGTTTTGAGGCCAAACAAATTGTATTTTGTGTTTGTTGGTAAATCCTGATATTTCAGATCTCCCTTTGTTTTCATTTATCATCATAATTACATTGATCATCTTCATTTTCTCTCCCTGTTTTGCCCCTCTATAGCAAGAAGATGCTAAGCTGAAGGTAAGGCCTCTACTATGTTGATATAGTGTTGTATCATTGTGATCTTAGATTAGTATATTTAGTTATGACTGTAGTTAAACATTTAGTGTATTAATGTGACTAATAACATGTTTTGTACTTAGTGTAGAACATTCTACTATTACTCTCAAAGCTACAACAATGAAAACATAACCAAAATCAGCAAAATTTAATAATAAAGTTTAGAATGAATCTTAGGATTATAAAAAGTATCTCATGAGCTAGCTGCTGTACTTTCCATTGTAACTGCTCCAAAATTTACCTTTAGAATATTTAAATTACATACAGATATGTTAGAATTACTTGTAAAGATTTCTTTACTGCTTTGATAGAATTATCTTTTTGGAAAGCAATAATTAACTTTAAAATTTAACAGTTAAATTTTCATTACTGTCAAATCATACTTTTTCATGGGGCTAAATTTTTTAGGTTTTTCTCAATAAAAAAGTACTACTTCATGGACACTTGATTCTGTAGATTAATATAGCTCAGTAAATCTACTTATATTTATTTTAACAGTTTGTGTACATATGAATTTGTTGATTAATAGTACTGATAGGATCTATGAAAATAAATCCTCCTCAAAAATTCATGCTTTCACAGCATGTAAGTTATTTAAGACACTGAAAATTCATACATGATAATAAAATCCTGTAAATGATGGTATATTGCAAAAGAAGAAAACATTAACATGTGGAGATAAAGGTTTCTCCAAATCCAAGAACAGGAAATCTTTTTAATTGTGATCTTGATGTCATATGTTTCTACTCTTGTAAAAATTGTCCTGATGATGGCTGAATAGTGGTTGAAACATGTTAATAAATCTCGATCACAATGGAGAAGATGATTGATCTTGGATGTCGAGAGGCTTACTTTATGTTCACTACATAGGATGAGGGCTTCTGTTGAATACAGTAACGTATCCATTCATGAAGATACTGCTATTTATAACAATTTGAGTGTTGGTTCTCTTATTTCTAAACTTCCAAAAAAAGAAAAGAAAAAAAAAAATTGTGTCGTTTTGGTTGTAATTTTGATTCTTGCAAATGGTAAGCTTGAAAATGATTTGAGGTATGAAGTAACAGTACAGTTGGATTTCATTTCATTAACAATGGAGATTTTCTGACAAATTTATTACAAAATACGGAGGCAACTGTTGAAATGAACGATAATTACATTAGTCAGTATATCTCTGCACCATTTAATATCTGCAACTTCAAAATGTGCATGCAATCGTATGCTCTGCTTCAATTAACATTATATTAAGATCTTTAACATTTAATTTTCTTTCACATGCTCAGCTCAATTAAGGTCACAATTTAGGACTAACATTTTCACAAAGAACATTTTAATTCAAAATCTCAGACAAAATCTTTTAAGAAAAGTATTGAGAAAATCCCAGGCAAATATTGACTTACTCAGATGGGCTCATATGAAATCCAATGATGAGAATGTAAGTATAGAACAATAGTGTTCTGATTGTCATCCACGGATTAATATTTGTGTAGGTCTCTCGTGAAACTGTGTCACTGCTGCATGCACGAGGCTTTGCAATTAGTTGGTAAATGGCATATCTGTTGGTGAAATTACTATGACAACCAAACAAGTGATGTTTACCAGCAGAAACATTTAGAATATAGTGATGGCAAGTAGATTGGTTTTCTGTGGGAATGGTTTCTATAATCTGAGGTTTCCGTGGGAATGATTTCTATAATCTGAGGTTTTCTGTGCGAATGGTTTCTATAATCTGAGGTTTTCTGTGGGAATGGTTTCTATAATCTGAGGTTTTCCGTGGGAATGGTTTCTATAATCTGAGGCTTTCCGTGGGAATGGTTTCTATAATCTGAGGTTTCCGTGGGAATGGTTTCTATAATCTGAGGTTTTCCGTGGGAATGGTTTCTATAATCAGGTTTTCTGTGGTAATGGTTTTCTATAATCTGAGGTTTTCTGTGGGAATGGTTTCTATAATCTGAGGTTTCCGTGGGAATGGTTTCTATAATCTGAGGTTTCCATGGGAATGGTTTCTATAATCTGAGGTTTCCGTGGGAATGGTTTCTATAATCTGAGGTTTTCTGTGGGAATGGTTTCTATAATCTGAGGTTTTCTGTGGGAATGGTTCTATAATCTGAGGCTTTCTGTGGGAATGGTTTCTGTAATCTGAGGTTTTCCGTGGGAATGGTTTCTATAATCTGAGGTTTTCTGTGGGAATGGTTCTATAATCTGAGGCTTTCTGTGGGAATGGTTTCTGTAATCTGAGGTTTTCCGTGGGAATGGTTTCTATAATCAGGTTTTCTGTGGGAGTGGTTTTCTATAATCTGAGGTTTTCTGTGGGAATGGTTTCTATAATCTTGGAACTGAATAGCTTTGCCTTTGTAACCACTGTAGAAAAGATTTCCATTCTAATGTGAAACTCTTAAGTTACAAATGGAAACAAAACTAGACAACCTTTCCCTGGTAACCTGTTTGTAAACTCAACCATGTTGATGGTAATCTCTCTAAAGGCATTCTGAGTTACCAGATGGATAGTGTCTTATTTTCCAAAGGTAACGGTTACCATGATATTTGTTTTGATGTGGAAGTAAGCAATATTATAGTGATTTTGTTAGTAGTAACCATGGAGATGTTGTTTCCCATAGTAACAGTTGTCATCGATATACTGTTTCTTTTAAAAAAAGTTGCCATGGAGAAAATTTTCCATGGTAAAAATTACCATGAAACACATATTAAGACGTGGTACTGTTCCCATAATTGTCTGGAAATACTGTTTGCCGTAATATAAGATGTCATGGAGATGTAGTTTGCTGTAGTAACAGTTGTCATTAAGACACTGTTTGCCATAGTAACAGTTGTCTAGGAGACACAGACTGCCATTAACAGTTGTAAAAGCAACACAGTTTGCATTAGTTATAGTTGTAATGGAGGCACTGCCATAATGATAGTTGTCATGGAGACAGTGTTTGTTGTAGTTGTAGTTACTTTGGTGAAAATGTTTCCTATAATAACAGTTGTACAGTTGTCAAAAAGACCCTATTTGCTGTAGTAACAGTTGTCATGGACACACTGTTTGCTGTAGTAACAGTTGTCATGGACACACTGTTTGCTGTAGTAACAGTTGTCATGGGTTACCAGAGTAGCAACAAGCTCCATCACCAGTTGTCATATTGATCACCCACACTAAGATTCTAGCCATTTCATTGACCAAAGATGGTTAAAATTTCTGATGATTTCAAATTTATTTCTTTAAACTTGATGTTATTCGTTCTAAAGTAGATCTTTGTATGTGCCTCTCTATCATTAGGAAGGTGACAAACGCACTGTTTCCATCTGTGAGAGCATGGCATCGACGGTGACTGCAGAGTCTGGGGGAGAAGAGGACATATCGTCCGATATTGACTCTGATACTGCAAGCGCACCCAGTCCAACTCCTGGTGCGGAGGAAGGTAAGGTCAACTTCGCAACTCTTTTCAATGGAATATCCTAGTTACCAACTTTCCCTTAATCAGTTAGCACTTGTAGCAGTGCTAAATTTGAGAAACATCTGGATATATGTTAGGTAGATGTAATGAAACTGGACCTGTGTTGTGGTGGTACAAGTTCACCTTGTCCAGGCATCTTGCTGATCATGGCCTATTTTCAGATCTAATGATAACAAATTTAGATACTGAACTTAAAGATTCAAGTCTCTCATGATAAGTTTTAGCTAGATATCAGACGTAATTTCCAATGTGTAATGGCCTGTATATTAGCAGTTGTCAGTCTGCTGTAACAGTAGCAGCTACTCAGTATATGGACTATTAGAGAACTCTTAGCTGTCATTCTATCGTAATTTTGTTTCTGTTTATTTACTCTGTAATGGACATAGATATAGAATTTTCAGTATGTATAATGATAATATGTAGGTTTAGTTCTGATTTGGTTATGATCAATCTGTATTTCCATGAGATTGGCCAGATAATTTCACAAATTTTATTGAAATATTCACAAAAACAAATTAGCAAAAATTTGATAACCTTGCCTTATTCCAGTGGGATTTAAAAAAAAAAAAAATTCTGTAGGCAGAACTTAAGTTTCATGTAATATTCTTAACCATAGATTCTGCAGGCAGGACTTCAGTTTTATTTGATAAGTCATGAGAGAACATCTTTGAATGAGGCCAATAAAACTAAACATTTTCAAACTTCTTGTTGTCCAGCATGGCATTCGTGTCACTCCAATGTGTAGTTTGAGTGGTGAAGCAAAATGAGAGATATTCCTAGATTTGAAAATTTCTTGATTTTTTTTTTGTCAGCAGGTACCATGAAGGACAGGATAGTGAAACCTGATGTGAACATGGAGACGACCAACGAGGCCCAACCGTCACAGCCCTTGAGTCTGTCCCAGAATAACCTGACCTCAATCAAACCTCTCAGCACCTCCCAAGGCAGTCTACGCAGCATTGATAATGACAGCAGTGCCACAATGAGTGCTGATGAGGCACCACCCACCTCTGGAAGTGGGACCAGTCACGGGGTGTCCAGTGAGGCCAGGGACACATTTAGTCCGCGAACATCTGGTATTCCAGCAACAAGATTAAACTTGACACACCAACATCCCACAGCTTCATCCCACCTGCCACATTCCACTGGCTTGCATCCAGCGGTGATGACATCACATGCAGCTTCACAGCAGCCTCAACACCAGGTGGCGCCACATTCACAAGCTGGCATATCTGGAACGCAAATGCTTGCATCAATGGGCCATGCACAGGGTCCTGCTGGTATCCCGTTCTCACAAGGTGGAGTTGCGCCGTATCACTATTCAGCTAAGGGTGGTTCCATAACCCAAGGTCGCCCAGTCACTCAGCTTTCATCATCCATGGCAGGAGCTGGGGACAACGATAGGCGTCCTCAAGATGTTCCTATTATCAAAGAATCCCCTCCATCGGGGCCTCCTCAACCCTCATCTGGGGCCCAACAAATGATGCCAGATTTTACAAATAGAAACAAACAGTTTCTCCAGAATTTGCTGATGCCGCAGGATCAGGGTCGCCCGTCCAGTACATTGTCGGAGCCAGGCCTGATGCCACCCTCAGCCCCTGCCCATCGAAGTCTGTCACCAAGTGGGGACAGACGTGGCCACAAACCTGCATGTGTCCGTGACCTTATCAACTCGGCTATTGAGAGGAACCTAGGACATCCACGCACTTCTCATCAGGACTCTCCTCATCCTGAGAAACGTATGTAGCTCTATCATGATATATATATTATATTTTCTGTGTTATCAGCTGAATTGGTATATAAGCTGCAGAGCCAATTTTTACTGATTTTTTCGGTTTTAACTGATTTTTTCGATTTGATCCGCATATAAGCCGCACCTTTCTTACAAAATGGTATTCGTTATGTTGACCAAAGTTTGTTGATATAACGGACAACGGAGGACAATTTATCAAGATTGTCATTTAAACATTAAATAAAGTTTGCAAATGAATTATACACAGAAAATCCTTCATTTTATTGAGGTATTTAAAAAACCATAAAATAGTAAATATTGAACTTGTTGGCTTGGGTGCCTTCACAGATTGTTTACCCACAGATATAGCGTTTGACGTTACGTACTCAGTACTGTTGTACACTGGTACGCTTTCTGGTGTTTTTCTTTTCATCCTTCCAATTTATTTTTTATAAGCTGCACGCCTGACTCAAAAGGAAAAAAATGTGGGGCTTATAATGCGGAAAATATTGTATATAGAATGGTGTATTATTCTTTGATACTATGTGCTATTATTTTCATTTTCATTATTCCTTGACAGCTGTTTTCTTTCAGGCAATACTTATAACCATTCTTGAACTATGAATGACGAGGGGAAAAAAAAATAAATCTGATAAACTACATTTAAGTAAAATTATTACAAACACAAATTTCAGACTTTAATCAGCCAGAACAATTGAAATTTGCACAATACAAATACACACAAGGGTCAAGTGTAGATCACTAATCCAGATTGAAAAGAAATTGAAAAGTTTTCTATCATTATATGTTTGGTTTATGTTTACAGGCCCAGCGTCGTCTGAACCAGTGTACAGTCCACAACTTCTCAACACCATGCAGCCGCAGTACATAATACAGGACCTCCGCAAGGACAAGCCAGAGCAATCTGTGTCGCCGGCTTATTCTGGTCGTAATTCTCTCTCTCCATATCAAACCATGGCACGACAACTTGAAAAGGAGGCTGACATGCGTGAGGCAAGAGATATGCCACAAGACTTATCTAAAGGGCCCCATGGCTACCGTGGCAACCCGAGAGATATGGATCCACGTTCTGGAGGACATTCTGAATTTCGGCGACATGGTGAAGATGCATCTAGACAACCAGTAGCACCACCTCCCGCACATTCACAGCGTCCTGTGTTGTATCCTCCAACAGAAATTCCTGGGCGACAGTCTGCAGAGGGACACAAATCACCTAGTCCCTACCCTCATGATAGACAGAGCTCTCCTGCTTTGAGGCATCTTTCGCCCAGCACATCCCCCTATGCCCATGTGCCCCCGGGGCTGGACCCCCACCGAGCTGCCCAGCCAAATAGACAGGGAGTCATTCCACCTCCACCTCCATTAATCAATAAAGGCCCATCTCCAAAACTTCCCAAGTCTCCGCCTACTAGTGCTCATCCTTCAGCCATTGTTGGCATGCACCATGGTTCTATCACACATGGAACTCCTGGTTCTATCACTCGTGGCACTCCAGTGGTGTCCATGCCACAGGGGATGCCCCCCACAAGCCACCCTAATAGTAGTGGAGGGATGGCCGCTAGTCGGTCTTCACACATTGATAGTCGTCACCAGCAGCAGGTACGAGCAGTTGGATCCATCACTTCAGGTACTCCTATCAACAGGGAATCTGCTTCAGGACGAGGGGGTCCACAGGGAGGGGATCCCAGAATGTATGACCCCAGATTCCCTCAGAACATGTATGACCCAAGGATGATGCTTTCAGAGCGAATGCGAATGTTCCCACAGGGAATTCCATATCCTTATCAACAGCCAGGAGAGCAGCAAACAATGAGCAAACAGATCAATGTTGATTTCATGACCGCTCAACAGATGCAGCAACAGCGTCATGCTCCTGGCAAAGAGAGAGAGGGTCCAGTATCTCCCCGAGGGGGCCCCAAGGAATCAGGACGCCAGCATCAACCTCTCATGCCAGTGCATCCAGGGTACCAGGCAGGACTCATGTATGCTCACCAGCCTCCGACATCAATGTCAGAACGTGGAGGTAATACAAGGTCCTCACCTCACCCTTCCTCACATGGTACGCCATCCCCTCATGAAGAAAATCTCTCACCTGGCTGGCCCCGTCCACAGATGGCAGGGCACAGTCACAGTCCCAATGTTACACCAACAAATCGTAGCATCACTGCTGGAACAGGACGACCAAGTGTCATAACTGATATTACTAATCGACAGGAAGCATATACAGGAGAAGGGCCAGCTTTGATGAGGTCGCAGGCCATGTCACCGCGACAGTATCCAGACGGCCATTTCCAAAACCATCCAGCCATGATGGGTCATCGACGTGTACCATCTGCTCAGTCGGAATATAGTAGACGTCAGTATCAAGAAGAAAGACATGATCTGACGCAGGAACACGAACGCATGGAGCAAGAGAAGAGACGCAAGAGTGATGAGATGCAGCAAAGAGTCCGTGATGTGCATGAGCGGTCACGTGGGTTAAGTATGGAAGAACAGATTCGTAAGGAAATCATGGAGAGCCAACGGAATGATGAGAAAAACGACGATGTTGTTATGAAGCCTAAGCCAGAAACATCTCGCAGTCCAGCTGGTATGCAGCCACAGTCTTCAAAGCTGAAGGATCCTACAGACCTGTTCAAGGCCTTTGTGTCTGACCAGTCCCCGTCAACAGCAACACGTGACAGCCCACGAGGAGCATCAGCTCTCACAGCTGCTAATCTCATTGATGCCATCATCATTCACCAGATCAACCAGTCAAAAGATGAACCCGACAACATCATTCCGAAACAGGAAGTGCAACCAGTAGGTGCTGCCCCCTCTAGTCAACTTGTACCAGAGGCAGTAGAGACAACACAAGCAATGGCCCCTCTTCAAGACCAGAAATCTCCTACTCAGTTGCACGGAAAAAAGAAATGGATCAATGAATCTCAGTCAGGCTCAACCCCACGGGCAACTCCCCCCACTCCAACTAGTAGTACAGGCAGTGCCCCTCAGATGCCAACCCCACCAGAACGGCGTGCGCAAGGGCTATCAACGTCCCCTGGTGTTGCAGATGTTAATCGGGTGCAGGACAAATCCCCTTCTAGCTTGCCTGGTGGGAGCAAACCGGGAATGACCCTTGGGGAACACATTAATTCAATCATACTTAGCGACTACAATACACGGCCACCTGGTAGCAAGAATGGTGTACTTAGTCAGCTTGGAGGTGAGTATTATCATGTCATGTTAGCCCGTTACACTTCTATATAAATTCGATTTAGATTGAGATAAAAAAGAAGGAAGCAGCCTTGAAGTGTTTTGATGTTGTGAGAAAACTGGTGTGACCACATAAATGAAGTTTCATGTGTCGAGATAATGTTGTTTTATACTCACATTTACTCTTTCTGTAAACTCTTCTGGCAATCTGCCTTGTAATAAGCCCATCTGTGTTTGTAGAATTGTAGGTCACCATCTCATTTCGGGTCTTGAGTTTGTGTATCAGCCTGATGGCTTATTGCAGGATAAGTACAGCTGTGGTTTTCTTGTTTGTGTCTTGATTGACATTCACAAAATCCTCGAATTCATGATTATTTTTTACTATGAATATGACAGGTGTTCCTTTTTGTATTTCAGCCCTCCCCAATAACAGTCCCCCTGACAGTCAACAGGAGCGCAACAACCCCTCGCCAATGTCAACACACTCGCAGTCAGATACTTCGTCTACAGTTTCTGCAGATTCCACTCGCTCCCGAAGCTTCTCCCATGGAACAACACCCCCACAGAGTGGGTACGGGAGTCACGGGACCACCCCTCCACAAGGAGGCTATGGGGGACATGGACTGAAGTGGAAAAAGGCCCAAATCCAGGTAATGGTACCTGTATTTGGAACTATTTCTTACGATAAAATAAAATGTGAAAATAAAACATAAAAAACATATCAATGGATATCTTATGATGTTTTATGTAAAGTCAAACCTGTCTCTAAAGACCACCTGTATACATGTATAGCATAAACCTGTCTGTAAAGGTCACTAGTTTCTGTCCCAATGCAATCAAATTTGATTTAATCTGTGCAAAGGTCACCTGCCAGTAAAGGCCACTTTTCTCTCTTGGTTAGCCATTATTAGAGACAAATTTGACTTTATTTCTCCTCTTAAAAGTTCTGCTCCATCATTATCCAATCATTTACTTCTACAGGAAGCTGAGAGAGAGATGGCAAGCAGCTCTGGACAAACCGAATCCTCCCAATCCATATCCAGTGTAGCTCCTCATGGGGAAGATTGGTCGTCACATCCACCGGATGGTGCCACGGAATCAGCAGAACGGAAGCATCACACACCTGATCAATCACATTCACCTAGACTGCGTTCTCCACATATCAGTAGTCTGTCTGACTCAAAATCACCAATGGGTGAGTTTAACAAAAATGCAAAACTACTGTTTGTCATTGTTGTAGACTGTTAAAGTGAATGCATGTGTTGTATACGGGTTTTATCTCAGAAATAATGGTGTGTAGATAATGCAGGTTCACCCAGCAGGACTGTCAAGGTTGCTTTATCATTGATGCTGTAAATTCTCTCCATTTTACCAAAAGGAAGCAAAAAAAAAAAAAAAAAATAAAATGCATTCTTCATGGAATTCATGAAATGGGCTGGGTTCTCTTATCGAATATAAAATCTCAAGTGACCCGTTGCGATTGCCTTTTGTTCATCATTTTCATTCATGCACAATTTTTGTCCTCTTCTTAAAACCCCTGTATCTTTCTAAATGAAATTATGCAGATACTTTCCTCGAAGTTGTGGATTTCCTAGTCCTCAATCCCAAAGGATCTGAGAGACAGTTGAAAAATTTTAAAGATCTTCTTTGAAAATGAAGATATGGTAGAATAAAATATTCTTCATAGACAGAACTGTCTTAAGGTTCCAAAATTGTGAATTCCGTTACCCCAGGGTCTCACATAACCCACTCTGGAGAGGGTGACATTTATTACAGTTAATATGGTATATGAAAATTAAGTTTTTAAACATGTTTGTTTAATTTCAATTGGAAATCTTTTAATCCTGATTAGAATTATAAGTATAGGATGACATTTTGACGGTTTGCATATATTGACCTTTGCTGACCCCCAGAGCTGATCACTGGAGCAAAGGGAGTCAGATATCCAAACAAAAATCTTCTTATCAGGACCTAGATATGGTAAAATCAAATACTTGTCATGGTACTTTACAGAAAATGTAAATTTCTGGACCACAGGATCTCACATTTCTTCCTGGAAAGGTGGTTAAATTTTTCTTTGGTTTAAACAGGAAATCACATATTGGGTATAATTTGTTGAATTTCCAAAGAAAATAATTAAAACTCTGATAGAAATATTATGAGAGTTATCTTACTATGTTAATGAGACAATTTCTTTGACATTGTGACCATAAACAAAAAAATGTTACTTTTCATAGAACTCCGATGACCGTTAAGGCCATTGGGGCCCTTGTTCCTTGTTTCTATTCCATCCATGAAAATACCACTTTTTACAGTTCATCACATCTCTGTCACTAGTAATTAAACTTAAAATTTACGATAAAAATTACTGGAAGTTGACTTAATGCTATCAAGTCATTTTTTGACAGAAAGAAAGCTCCCATCTTATAAATGTATGACGGTGGTAGTTAAAAGTGATGTAAATTTGACAGGAAAAGGACATAGTTTTCTGTAGAGTATTGATAACACTTCATTAACAACTGCATGTTTGATTGTTTTTCAAACACAGACACAGAAATGCATGAAATTGTAAACTGTATACAGTATATCCCTTATCACCATGCATCTTCAGCAATAATTATGTTAAGGTACTAAAACCATGATCTACAAACTCTGGGTTTAAAAATGTTTAAAAGTGTTACAGTAAAGGACAGAAACATGTTATTATCTGTGCTACAGTTAGCCTAAAAGTATGATAAATTTTATCCCTTTTACAACAATTGTGAAACAAGTTCTTCCAACATATACTAATCACTCTTGTTGGCTCAGATTGTTGGGGATGCGCGAGGGGTCTTACTGGATTACCTGGGGAAAACCCACGTGGTCGGGCAGGTGACCCAATACCTTTTCACATTCATTCCGGGAATCAAACCTCAGACAGCTAGGTGAAAGGCGAGTGTGTTACAACTGGACCACCCTAGCCTAGAGGGGTAAGGGGATGGGGGGATGTTACCACTGGACCACCATAGCCTAGAGGGGTGAGGGGATAGGGGGATGTTACCACTGGACCACCATAGTCTGGAGGGGTGAGGGTATGGGGGGATGTTACCACTGGACCACCATAGCCTAGAGTGGTGAGGGGATGGGGGGATGTTACCACTGGACCATCTTGGCCTAGAGGGATGAGGGGAAAGGGGGATGTTACCACTGGACCACCCTGGCCTAGAGTGGTGAGGGGATGGGGGGATGTTACCACTGGACCACCCTGGCCTAGAGTGGTGAGGGGATGGGGGTATGTTGATATCAGAAAGGAAGGAACAAATCAACATGCAGTCTGTGACTTACATATTACAAGACATTATATGATATTTGTTGGCATTCATGATAAACCTGTTCTGGATGGGCTTATTCTTATTACGAGACATGAATTGGAATGGTTTGAGAAGTTAAAGTTGCAATGTTAGAACAGAACATCATTCATGTATATATAGGTTTTGGGCTATTTTTTGTTGATTCCTCAAAGATTAGAAATTCTTTTTATTTGTTTTGGTGTGTAGTGAAACCCATGATAATTTGAAGACACACATGATGGCGTTTTTGAGGTAGGCGGGTGGCGCAGTGGTAACACACTCACCTTTCACCTAGCTGTCAGAGGTTTGATTCCCCGAACAGATAACTGGTGTCTGCCTCGATAATAACACAGAAAAATGTAATGTTTTAACGACCTTAATATGAGGATCGGACTTATTTTCTATTGAGTGTTGTTGTCATGGTTGATGCTCCCATCACCACCTAACTTTAGGTTGGTTGTGTGGTGGCTCCTTTACGTTGGATTATGAATGACTCTGTTTCAATCCCATTAAAGTTATATATTACTTGTGTTGTCATCCTGTCCCACTAAAGTATTGATAAATTGTGTTGTCATCCTGCCCCACTAAAGTATTGATAAATTGTGTTGTCATCCTGCCTCGCTAAAATATTGATAAATTGTGTTGTCATCCTGCCCCACTAAAGTATTGATAAATTGTGTTGTCATCCTTCCCCACTAAAGTATTGATAAACTGTGTTGTCATCCAGCCTCGCTAAAGTATTTATAAATTGTGTTGTCATCCTGCCCCACTAAAGTATTGATAAATTGTATTGTCATCCTGCCTCGCTAAAATAGTGATAAATTGTGTTGTCATCTGGCCTCGCTAAAATATTGTTGACTGTGTGTTGTAGCTCCACCCCAATTTAATTAAGTAGTTGATAGGGTAGTAGCTGTGTTGTAGCTCCACCCCCACATAACTAAGTAGTTGATATGGTAGTAGCTGTGTTGTAGCTCCACCCCCACTTAACTAAGTAGTTGATAGGGTAGTACCTGTGTTGTAGTCCCACCCCCACTTAACTAAGTAGTTGATAGGGTAGTAGCTGTGTTGTAGCTCCACCCCACTTAACTAAGTAGTTGATAGGGTAGTAGCTGTGTTGTAGCTCCACCCCCACTTAACTAAGTAGTTGATAGGGTAGTACCTGTGTTGTAGTCCCACCCCCACTTAACTAAGTAGTTGATAGGGTAGTAGCTGTGTTGTAGCTCCACCCCCACTTAACTAAGTAGTTGATAGGGTAGTAGCTGTGTTGTAGCTCCACCCCCACTTAACTAAGTAGTTGATAGGGTAGTACCTGTGTTGTATCTCCACCCCCACTTAACTAAGTAGTTGATATGGCAGTAGCTGTGTTGTAGCCCCACCCCACTTAACTAAGTAGTTGATAGGGTAGTAGCTGTGTTGTAGCTCCATCCCCACTTAAATAAGTAGTTGATATGGCAGTTGCTGTGTTTAAGCTCCACCCCCACTTAACTAAGTAGTTGATAGTGTAGTAGCTGTGTTTAAGCTCCACCCCCACTTAACTAAGTAGTTGATATGGTAGTTGCTGTTTTTTAGCTCCGCCCCCACTTAACTTAGTAGTTGATATTGCAGTGGCATATCCCACTAAAGTATTTGTTGATTGCATTGTAACCACTTCCCCCACAAAAATATTGCCTGACTGTGTAGTAGCTTTGCCTCCAGATCTGTTATTGATTGATTGTGTTGTAGCCCCGCCCTCACCAAAGTATTGATTGTGTTGTAGCCCCGCCCTCACCAAAGTATTGATTGATTGTGTTGTAGCCACTTCCCCAGTGACATTGTTGTATATTCGTGTATTTGTTTTGTGTTCTGTGTAGCCTCTACTGATAGCAGCGATGTCCTGCCAACCAAGATTTCACCGCCCCGATCCCCGCGTTCTCGATCGGGATCTGTGACAGCCAGTCACCAGCACATCACCAGTCTTCTGTCACGCCCACAGATGAGTATGTGTTGTCATTATTTGTCTGTCTGTGTCAGTCACATGTCAATCTCTTGTAAAGCCCTGCCCCATCTGTGTTGTCTCATCTCTTAAAAGTGTCTTATTATTTACATACATATTTATATTGTAGGTCATTGGAAATTATACCACAATATTTTAGATGTGACATGCAATCTGTATGATTATGTTTTATTATCATACATTATATATTTGTTATGTAATGAAAATATATATGATGCAATTATAATTGTGTGTAAATGCCTTATTTGATATTGAAGATTGCATGTGGTGTGAAGTCGTTTCAAAGTGAATACTTCTATACATCCTATTACACCCATCAATGAGTGTTTTTCACTATGACCACAGCATATATGTTGTACACATTTTCACCTCAACTGACCAAATTTGCATGTGGTTTATCTTTGGATGGCAGATTTGAAAGAAGTTAAATTGTGTCACTCCACAATAATTTAATTGCCTTTTGTTTCACATTCAATTTTGTACAGCCTTGTGGCTCTTCATGGTATTCTCTTGATCCAAAATATGATATATATCTAGAGTTATGGCCCTTTACTGGTTCTCTCAATCCACTTTTTGGTCTATATCTAGAGTTAAGGCCCTTTACTGGTTCTCTCAATCCACTTTATGGTCTATATCTAGAGTTAAGGCCCTTTACTGGTTCTCTCAATACACTTTATGATTTATATCTAGAGTTAAGGCCCTTTACTGGTTCTCTCAATACACTTTATGATTTATATCTAGAGTTAAGGCCCTTTACTGGTTCTCCACCCACTATACGGTCTTTATCCAGAGTTATGGCCCTTTGCTGGTTCTCTCAACCCACTCTTTAATATCTTACGGGAGTTATTGCCGCTTCTTGATTCTCTGGACCCACTGTGAGATTATTTAGAGTTATAACCCTCTTTTAGTTCTCTCGATCCACTATGAGATGTAAGTGTAGGGTATTTTTCTAAAAGCGAATGTTTCATGACATGTGGTATTAATGTCTTGCAGGTTATCCACCACACAGTGAGAGTACAGGTAATTCTCCTCCATCTACAGAGTCCTCCACTGGCCAAAAATCAGTCAGCGTTCCTGCTGATATCTCTCCACTTGACTATGTCAAGAACAAAATTGCTGAGGTGCTACGTGACGACAGCATTAATGACATGCCCAAACCTCCAGGCCCACCACGGGGATCACTTTCTTCCCCTCAGCAGTCTGGCTCTCCCAGAGGTAATGGTATAGGAAAGCTTCTGCAGGCTCCTGGTCTACAGGGATATACTGCTCAGCAGGGGCGGGCCTTGTCACCTATGACAACTATACAGGGTGACCACATCAAGGGGCACCAAAGAGAAATGCAGGGGTCACAAGTGGGGCACCAAAGGGATACACCAGGATCTTCTATTGGGCATCAGAGGGAAATAAGTGGAGCTCCATTGGTGCACCAAAGGGAGAGGGAAATGCAAGGATCACAGATGGGGCACCAAAGGGAGAGGGAAATGCAAGGATCACAGATGGGGCACCAAAGGGAAAGAGATATGCAAGGATCACAGATGGGGCACCAAAGGGAGAGGGAAATGCAAGGATCGCAGATGGGGCACCAAAGGGAAAGAGATATGCAAGGATCACAGATGGGGCACCAAAGGGAGAGGGAAATGCAAGGATCACAGATGGGGCACCAAAGGGAGAGGGAAATGCAAGGATCGCAGATGGGGCACCAAAGGGATATACCTGGATCTCAGATGGGGCACCAAAGGGAAAATATGTCAGCACTCCAAATAGGGCATCAGAGGGATAGAGAAAATATGACAGGGCCTGCAATGGCAAGTCAACGAGATAGAGCAAATTTGTCTGGGTCCCAAATAAGTCATCAGCGAGAAAATGTGTCGGGGACGCAAATAGGTCATCAACAGGAAGTTCCAAGGCCTTTGTCTGGACATCAAAGGGAATCTTCAGAAACATCAGGGGGACATCTTGATTCCACACACCAACAGAATACCCAGCCACACCTTGGTCACCAGAGAGAGGCTACCCATCACTCTGGAGGTCAGCGTGAATCACAAGACTGGGAACCAACAAGTCAGTCAGATTCAAATAACTATCCCACCAGCTCAACACAGTCTGGGGGAGAGGGACAGAGTGTTGAAAAAGAGGGAAAGCCAGGTGGTGGAGCTGGGGACAAAATATCATCAATGCACCACCCGCTTAGAAAACGTGGCATGTTCAGTCGGTCACGTGTTGTGCGAGATGAAGCTGGTGGGAAGTTCACAGTCACTGCTTCCGGGCGTGATCACACAAAGTCTAGCCCAACATCAGCCTCTGATATGCAGAGGCCAGCCCCTGAAAAGAAAGGTCCACGATCAGAGTATGACTTTCCTGACAGCCCTGATGACGATCAGTTGGTTGCTAAAAAGCCAAGCAGCTACATGGCTCTTTCTGGGTCCACACGAAGTCCTCGTCGTGGAGTTGTTGATAGCTCAGATGGGCGTTCGAGCTCCCAGGGGTCATCAGAAAGTGGGCGGGGTTCAGAAAGTCATGTGCAGAGCTCCAGCGACAGTCGGTCTGGTGAAGGACAGGACTCGGGAAGCCATGATAGCTATAGAGGTGGAATTGAAACAAGCTTTGGACGCCCAGACCAAGGTCCAGGGGAAGCCAAGGTATCCCGACGTTCATCCAAACATGATTCAGAAGGTGATGACAGTTCAAACATTTCCCATCCAAGCGTGGATAGCACTCACACCGACAGAATGGTCATCGACGAAATGGCTGGAGTGGACAGTTCATCTACAGGTGACGTGACTTCTGCTTCAGCAATGCCAGAACGTCCAAGGTCATCGCGATCATCTCGGGACAGCGACAACAGTCCACGTAGCACCTCAGAGAACCTGGAGAGTGGAGAATTTGTTTCATCCCAAGGCCGAAGTCAGGACAATATAAGTGGATCTCTGAGCTTTCCACATAGGTCACGAAGTCCTCGCGGAGGTGGAATAGGTGGGGACATACACTACCAAAGCTCCGAGGCTCATCCGAATGTGGAGCCGACATCTTCAAGTATTGGATCAGGCTCAACAGGTTCTGTGTCATTTCCCAGCGGTCAACATTCTGAAGCAGACAGATCGGGTTATAATCCACGGTTAGGTGAACAAGTTCTTCTTAGGTCCTCTAAATATGATGATCTGTCTGATGACGACGATTGAACGTCATGTGAGATTTTAATGAATAATGTTTAGTGACAGGATCTAGCTTAGATGTTGTGCTACAAGAGATTTTTTTAAGTGTTTTAGCAAAATATGATTCTGGCTTTTTTAGGGTCACTATTGAAAGTCGTCAGAAAAGATAGAAATGAAATGTGTAGATACAAATGGAGGATGCTTGGGAAGAGTCAAACATGACAAGAAATTGTGTTTACTGCACATATTGACACACACCTATTGAGAAATTAGTGCTATGTACCATATTTTCCGGATTAAAAGGCGCAGATTTTTTTCTCAGCGGTCAGGTGTGCAGCTTATATGTGGTGTAGTAAATTTAGTCCCCTTATTGTAAGAAATTGATAGTCATAATGACATCAAAATTTTTATGTTCATTATGTTTTCAAATGTATTCATAAACCCAGGAATTCAGTAACAGAAGTTTAACATTTCTAATAATTAAGTGCTATCTGAATTTATAAGCTTTTTGATCTGCTTCCTAGTCCTTCTAATAGAATGCTTGTGCATTCCTCCTATCTGTGTTGAATACAGGTAATAAGTATAGAAAGCCAATACAGTTTCAAAACAAACTACAGGGACACCAAGAGTTCACCTGCTGTATACAGGAACAAATCTTAGCCACAAATTTGACTCATGTCTGTTTCGCCTTTTTTTGCCAAATAAGCCAAAAATGAAACGTGGGCTGAAGTTTTGTGTTGAAGCAGAAAAATATGGTTCTTATATTTTGAATTGAATCTAAAACTGATAAGCTTTCTTTGATGGCAAGAAAGTTTCCTTGTTAAGAGAGTACCATGTGAATCTCCCTGAAATAACATCAGAATAAAAATAGAAAGTCCAAAATACACTGATAAAAGCGTTCTGGTTTATTAGCATCTGATCAGAACAGCAAATTCACAAGGCCTTTAGTCAGTAGAAAAGTGATTGGGCTCTCTACCTTATTTGAACAGCAAAATAAAAAAAAACCTGTAGTTAGTACAAAAGTGGAAAGGCACTTTATTTCATTAAATCAGTAAAATAACTAGGCCAGTAGTCGGTAGAATATTGCTGGGGCTCTTTATCTTACACATCAATTTTTTTTGTCTCTTCAAGTTTCCTTATTGTCATAAAACTATCCTACTAACGGAGGATATTTTGATGTGCTGTGAGATAACCTGCACTTGTACATAGTTACCTGTTGTAATACTAGCCAGTAAAAGTTTAGTATTGTATGAGCTGTAAAATTCAAAGAAAGAAATTCCGTATGGTTTGACTTTGTAACAGTTTTGATGTTTTTCAATGAATATTATGTCTCTGCATTTCTTTGTTAACCCTGCGATACATGTGTTCTAAAGTTTTAGCTTTTTGAAAAATTTAAATCCAGATGGTTTTTATGCCCATTATTTCCTCCATTTTTTTTTTGTTAGTAAATTTTGTTTCTGAAGGAATATATTTGTCGTTTATTGTTAATGTATAAAGAGAACTGTTTTGAAAGATGAGGCTGTTCATATCATTTGTTTAAGATGAACATTTGTTATAAATCATATCAGAAAAAAATTCAAAACAAGTCTCCATCATCAAGATTTTTTTTTTGTATTGATAATGTGATTGAATCATGACATGATCATTAGTTCATTTGATTACATAAATTTATATAGGAATCAAGATCACTTTCTCAGAGATTTTATAGCTTCTATTTTCATCCTTCGTTTTACGTTAATCATTTAAGGTCTGACATCAATCTTAGCCATTATTGCTTACTAGATGGCAACTCGTTTAGTTGTAAAATGAAAACATTTTGAAACAGATTTCCTTTTATTTGATATTTCATTGTCTTTCACATAGAAAGAACACTGATTAATACCAACGTGTAAATTATTTTACATTCTTGTCTGTTTTGATGAAAATTCAAGCAAATTTAACAGAAACATCCCTACAGTAATTGTATTATTTTTATAATTATGTAAATTTTTTTTTAATGGGTTTCTTGGTCAATAATTTTCAACCTGCTGTGATGTTAAATATATGGTTTTTACCATATGTTGCTCAAATCTTGGGGAGAGAAAACTCCAAAAAATACAATAATTCAACATTTTGGTTCAAGTACTCTCCTCCTGCATGCATTAAATCAGTTTTAGGTTCCAATTATAGATATTCATGGAGGCACTGCTGAATGATATTGATCAAACTGAAAAGTGAAACCATCTTCTATCCATCATGAAAAATAGCATTGCCATGGAAACCACAGATATTAATTTTGAAGCATTCAAACATGTAGAAAATATTTACATTTTTCAAAATGCAGAAAGTTAGCATGAAAACCAAATTTAAAAAGCAGAATATTTTCTGTTGGGTTTGTGTTTAATCTGTAAGACTGTATTCTGTATATCTGTATTCATTAATGGTTTATGAAACCAAATTATTATTAAATATCATGATCACCTGGAGTTTTAGCAGTGTTACCATATTTGGTCGTTATGCCCATATATGGTGTTTCCATGGTCTGAAGTGTCTGTCCTTTAACCCCTTGCATTAATTAGTATGTAAAACTGGTTTCACTAATTTTGTGATTATTGTGTATCATGAAACATTTCTCAACATTAGCACAATAAAAAATGTGTGTAAACATTAACTGGGTCTTTGTTATCAATATTTTTTGGTAATGATCCGATATCATAAAAGCATACATGAGCTGCATTTTCATTTTGTTTTTTTTAATTTTTGGTTTCTTTTATTTATTTGCTATTTTGAATTGCTTTCCGCATTACGTTTTCAATGTTGGTGCTCAATTACAAATAATTTTGACTCCACCTTTATTCTTTCACTTTTTATGACATTGTTATGGTGAAATTGCCATGCAGCTGTGGAATCCTTGTTATTTCTTGAGAAGTTTTAGAGGGATATTTCTCAAACTTCATTTGTCTGTTCCTCTCCTCACTGGCCCTGGTTGTGCCTATTCAATTCTTAGACAGATCAGCCTTACAAAATGGCCAACAGGCAGCCATCTTGGATTATGTTAGTTGAAGTTTGTTGTTGCTAATTCTTAAGAAGTCCTAGAGGATAATTCTTGACCTTGAAGCATATGTTTCTAATGGTCCATAATTGAAGCAATTTTATTTTGAGACTGAATCAAGAAAAAGAAATAGTTGACAGAACATCTTTGATTTCAATAGTTCAAATTTGTTATTGCTATTTCTTCAAAAGTTCTTGTTAGATCTTTCTAATTTTATAGATAGGATTCCCTTGTTACCAAATGATTATGAGGAAATGGGGGAAAAAGGAAAAAGATCAGGACTGCGTAGAACCAACAAGAGATCTCCGAGGGATCCAGTGCCCACCATTGTTTGATCTTTATATGCTTTTTGGAAGTTGGATCTTTTCACTTCTCTGTTTTCGTTCTTAATGATAAGACATTTGAACATTCCTTCAGAAATGGCGATGATAATCTTTACCTGCCAAATCAAAACTGGCCTCCTGCAAGCCATTTTTAGTCTTCTGATCAATCCCAAAATCTAACAAGCACAAGGAGATACCAAAGGGAACTTACCTATGAAATTTGAGAGATATCCATTCAGTACTTTTTAAGAAACAGCAATAATACCTTTACTAGCCAAAATCCAAGATGGCTGTTTGTTGGCCATTTAGTTTTTCTGATCATTGCCTAACTCAAACTGGCAAAACAAGGGACCTAAAGGAACCTATACAAGAAATTGGAGAAAGATCTAGAGTAGTTCTCATGAAATGGTGATAACAAACTTTTGACGTAAAAATTCAAGATGGCCACTTCTGGGCCATTTTATTTTTTTCTGATCAGTACCAAAATCAAAGAGGCAAAACTAGGGATCAACAAAAGCATACACAAGGAATTTGCGAAAGATCTATGCTGCAGTTCTTAAAAAATAGCGATAAAAAACTTTCAAAGTTAAAATCTAAGATGTCTGTCTGGCAACAATTTTTGTTTTTCTGATCAGCCCCAAATTCACATTGGCACAACTAGGGACTGAGAGGAACCTATGTATGAGTTTAAGAAAGATCTATGAAGTATTTCTCAAGAAATAGCAACAACAAACTTTCAAATTCAGAATCCAAGATGGCCGCCTTTCGGCCATTTTTGTTTTTCTGATCAAACCCTAAATCTGATGGGCATAACTAGGGACTAAGGGGAACCTACCCATGAAATTAAAGAAAGTTCCATCCAATACTTCCATAGAAATAGCTGTAACAAAAATTGTTTAGGCACAGATTGATGACAGACCATAAAGGCAGAGCGATTTGAATAGCTCACCATCATGTTGACTAAAAAAAAGCTGGTAACAACAGTTGCACAATCAGAAAAATTTCACAATAAGACAAACAATAATATTTTTTGACATTTATTTGTCACTCTCATTCATGTTTTCTTTACATAAAAAAATGTGTGTACAAAAATATCTTTGGTATCGCTACCATTTTGAAGACCATGTGATAGAAAAACTCATTTCAAAACAACCTTTCGATTGCTGCTGTCAATGTAGCTTGCACCTAAATGAGGTGAGTACTCAAAATTGGACCATTTCTGTACTAGAATGATCCTCATAGCTATGGGGAATCAAAAAGTGTCAATTTCCATTGCCCCATCATGTATATATTTCTTACAATGTCTAGATGTTAATACCTCATAATGGTAGGCAATCACAATATCTGCATGGTACATACCTCATAATGGTAGGCAATCACAATATCTGCATGGTACATACCTCATAATGGTAGGCAATAACAATGTCATCTTGATGGTACATACCTCATTATGGTAGGCAATAACAATGTCACCTTGATGGTACATACCTCACAATGGAAGGCAATCAAAATATCAAAATGAGCCAATTTCCAACCAATGCATATCCAATGCATATACTAGTATGAACTTTACAGTGGAAGGCAAATGACAATTTTTAAATAGTGTGGTATTATACCTTTCAGATGCTTCGATATGGAAAGCAACCTATGTTTTCAATAAATATTAAAAAAAAAAAGAAAAAAAAAAGAACAAAACAAAGTAGTCTGAACAGTACAAAAAATACTATCCTATTCTGTGATAGGAATTTCTTATTAATTTCTCATTTCCAAATTTACACTATAAACAAAGAAATGTACATGCTGACCATATAAGGATGTTTTATACAAAGTACAATTGGACTGGGCTTGTAAAATGTAAACGCTGAATATTCAACAGCTCAACTCTGCAAGTTCAATTTCACGTCTTGACCAATCAGAAACTTAAATGTTTTAGCTTTAACAGACAAAATGCTGAGTGGGAAAAGTTCTAGATTTCTGAAGTGAGCATGATGACACTAAGTATTCATCAGCTGTAAAGTACATGGTTAAGTTTAGTCTACACAATAAATAAAGATTACACTTTTCTTCTTGAAATGGAATATCTTTCAATGCTTTTGTATTTAACTGTTCATTTGAAAACTCACTTTCACTCGCTTAGAAACTGCGAGGTTTTTGCTTGAAAAAAATCTGATTCAAACAATGTATTTTAATACACATTCATTCATCCATACAATTTCATGAAGGCAACACGGACACATACAAAACAGCATACAATCTTACAACAGATATACATGTATGTATTGCAAATTCTTGTTCATCAGAACCAAATGCTGTTTCTGTCTACAGCAAACTTTTTCAACAGACTGTGCATGGTTTGTCATAAATTGTATTTTTCCTGAAGAGCAAGTGATTTGTAACAACAAAATCTCAAAACAGGCCAATCCTTAATTTCTAGAATAAATGGGATTCCCGCACCATTTACACCAGTTAATTATGTTGTAACATTTCTGCCACCGTAAACAACTTCTGGAAGAAAACCATCAATCAAGACACAAACATTATTACAATCTATAAGCACTTAATTTTCGATAATGCTTATTTAGCAGTTAACATGTAGAAAGAATTGTAACTGTCATAAGGAATTGAATTCTACCATTATAAATTGAAGAAACCATCAACAAATGACAGAGTTTACATCACATTAAACAGCTATAATAAGGCAGTCTCTTAGTACAAGTAGTAACTTGTGGCTACCACACTGCACAACATGGAGGAGGACCACCACATACTTTCCAGAACATTTGGAGTAAAGTATCATGCCCTGAGCACAGCACAGGACAAACAGTGTCACACAAACCGATGCCAGTAGGAGGGAACCTCAGCTTTACATGGACGAAGCTAATATGGCCCCTCATCACTACATTGCTATAAAGCATTGTGCCTGGTCATGCAGTAGAAGTATACACAATTGATATGTGGGAGAGATGTGGTTTAAATGGTTTACCAATATTAATGCACCATATAGGATTTTATATTTTGGCGTTACAGTGACAAGACGTATTTACATTGTGAGATCATGATCAAGATGTCATTGTGTAAAGTCTGTTTAAAAAAACACATGATTTGTTGATACAACAGAGCAGAAACAAGAACAGAAATTTCCTTTGTAACTGTAGACCATACATGATTAACACATAATATGCATCAGAAATTGAAACAAACTTTATACACCAGTAACATAAATATTGAAGTAATTTTAGCCTAAAATTCGAAATTGAAAAAAAAAAAAGAAAAAAAAATTACATCTACCAATGCCATCATATTTTAAAAGCCATTTCCCGCCTTAATTATTACGATTTAACCAACTGAAGTATCACTCCTTACACCATCTTTACATTATACTCACATCTTTTTCAAAATAAACCTCCTTCTCATTTCAATTTTTGTAAAAATGTAACAAAAATAAATTAAAGAATGGGTTTTTTTTTGGTATGTTTTTTCTTTTTTGAAGTTTGTAACTGGTAATTCTATTAAAAAAGAAATTCCAGGTCAAAAAAAAAAGGTCAAGAACTTGTATTACAATAACAGCTAAATATCCAGGCATACTTCTGTACATTTCTTCTTGTATCATAGAATCAAGACAAGAACACTTTTGCATCTGGAAGAGCTTTTGGCATAACACAGAAATATGTCAAAACCATGACTTGATACAAATTCTAAGTTCTGTGCATTGCATCTGGTGCTGTTTCTTCCAAATGTGTACAGTTCCCTCTCATATAATATATACCTTCAGGACGACTGTTTACAACTTTCAGTTTGGTACAAATTTGTCATAATTTGTCATTATTTGCACAACTTGGAAAGTATAGATTTGCATACAATCAGCACGTGCAGCAAAGTACTGCTTTTCTAGTCAAGTACAAAACAAATAATTTGAATTTGTACCACGCTGTGTCAGTACAGCATATATATCATGACTTTCACTTGACAGTGATCTCTCATCGCTCGTCAATAAGAGGCGTTGAGTCGCCCTGTTCCATCGGACTGGCTCGTACTGCTGGACTCTGTCCAGAACGAGGTGTGCTAGGTTTTTGTCTTCCTTTGGCCCACATAGCAGCAGCTTTGGCCCAATCTGTACCAGGTTTAGCCCATTCTTGGGTGGTGCTTGGGGCAGGCCTCTGTGACTGCTGGGAGGGGTGAGATGGTGTTCCCATACTGCGTGGTGTCGCCCGAGGAGTAGCACCAGGCCACACTGGAGTAGCAGCAGCACGAGGTGTTGGTTGGTAGGAAGGCGTGTTCAATACTTGTGGCGTAGTTATATGGTGTTGTGGGGTCATCATTGGGGTCATAAGTGGGGTAGTACCGAGAGGCTGAAATGAAAAAGTGACACTTAGCAAGGTATGCTTTAAATCTTCCAAAAAGTTATCCAGCAATGAGCCTGGGGATCTAGTACTTTAGTTCTGGATCAAACGCTGGGCTTTTCACACGAGGAGGATTAGTGTTGTAGGAAGTGCTAATGAACAACAAGACAGGTTGGTGTATTACCAGATTGAGGTGGCAATACATGTCATTTAGTTACATCTTCGTATAGCAACGACAGCTGGTTTTGTCTTCGAGACACCTGAGTTACAATATGCATCTATGGGCTAACCTTTCACATGAAACTGTCAGTTTTGATGAGTTATACTTCTTCAAATTTCTTTTACAATTAAATAATAAACTAAACTTAAACATGAAAATTTACAAATATGATTTAGGATATTTGACAAAACTTGGATTGAGTGAATTTAATGTGTTTACAATTTTGCTAATTTCAAACTGAAATTGATTATTTAAACTAGGAATAATTCTTTGTGAAACAGTCATGAAATGAAGAGCCATTGTGACCAGTTATGTATACTGACTATGTTGAATCCTGTGCCATGAAGAGTGGAACCAAACTGTGGTGTGGCACCAGGTGTGGTTCTCGGAATTCGTGGCGTGGCTGCACCTGCAACTTGGGCGAGTGTGTTGTAGATATTGCTGGGCAATCCTGCGGCTGCTCTCTGGATAGTTGCAGCATCAACACCTGAAAATAAATACCAGTTTTAAGTACAGCAGTAAGATTTAACATCATGTACTCATGCAGCAGGTTTGTGCCAGTTACCAGTAATTACCTCCTTTGAAAGAACAAATTCAATGAAGTGCGACTAACATCATTTTTCTTTCATATAAGGAATCTCCTTTTAGGGTTGAAAATAACTTGTAGGTCAATACTTGGCATGGCGTAGTGACACTTACATTGTAAGTCAATACTTGGCATGGCATAGTGACACTTACATTGTAGGTCAATACCTGGCTTGGCATAGTGACACTTACCTTGTAGGTCAATACTTGGCATGGCGTAGTGACACTTACATTGTAGGTCAATACCTGGCTTGGCATAGTGACACTTACCTTGTAGGTCAATACTTGGCATGGCGTAGTGACACTTACATTGTAGGTCAATATCAGGTGTGGCTTAATGACACTTACCTTGCAGGTTGATACTTGGTGTGGCGTAGTTGGATGACACCATGGGGGTCCTGGCACTAGCAGGAGTACCTAGGAGGATAAAATGAGAGTCAGCAAGACTACAATAATCAACTAACAACCCGAATTTTGATACATGTATAAAGTGACATACATTTTAGGTTCCATGTAGGGACACCTTAAGTCTCTCTGGTGTGTGATCCTGACACTTACGTTTCAGGTAAGCTGCATATCTATGTACATGTAACTCACCTGGTATTGGGTCTCTGAAATGTTCCTTAAACCAGCGTATTAATGAGTTCAGAGAATGGAAGTTTTGTTGTCTGTAGCGTAGACCGTCTGGCGTTAGTGTTATAAATTCATGGCGGGCCTTTGTTCGTGGCATGTACGATATTGTGTACTTTCCAGGATACTGTTTTGACAGACTCAGGTAATAGGGAATCCTGGAAAGAAGAACAATATATCAATCGTATTTCGAAATAATGTTTTATCTTATAATGTAACTTAACATAACTATCCGACAATAAGGTGATGTCTGGTAATAAGCCCACACTCCCACTCTGTATAAGTAGAGTGTTTGTGTTGGCCCTCTGGGCTTAGTGCAACGTAAATCTGTGTCATAAAATACCTATCACCGATTTCACTACAGACAGTTGGTGGCATAAATACTCCTGAAAATAGATTAGATTAGGTCTTAGTTGTAGCCTTGTTTTAAAGAGATGACAAAAAAATATTAAAGTATTCTACAATCTGTTCATCAAGTCAGTTCAGGCAGTTTAATCACCTGAAAACACCAAAGCTTTGTACCAGTGCCACGGGATACCTGTTTTCACCAGAAATGAAGCACATATTTTACCTTGAAGGACCTTTCTTTTTCTCTTCTAACAGAATTTTATCTATGACTTCTCGTTTTCCGCTCTCAAACTCTTTGTAGTATTTAAAGTTCATGATGTCCCTGGCAAGGGCTGCCATTGGCTGGACATGTCGGGCGAGGATTTCGTCAAGATCCTCAAATTCCTGAAAAACATGATGAAAGAAAATTAAAAAGAAAAGCAAAACGAGATAACTTCTAGTGGCCTTAATAATATTTCATGATCTCTATGATGGTGGTGGAGATTTGATTAAGTTTGTATATCTCTAAACAGGTGGATAGGTTTCAATCATCACCTCACCTCGTTACCAATGACTAGAGTGCTCCCCAGACTGAAAGCGTTCTCTTTACCCCGTTCTTTAACATCTATATGCTGCATGGCTCCATCTCCAACTTTCCAAGTAACTGTCAGATGATCTGAACCCTAGAAAGACAAAAAATATATGTGTTTATTATCCAAAGAACCGTCTTTATGGAAACATAAATCTTTCTCCTTAATTTAAAGTTGTTCATAAGAAATTACACCTGACTTGCTTGATATGTTAAGTTTTACAAAAGGAGGAAGTATGAACACTCATCTGCTGAAATAAAATATGAAATCACATCTAAAGCTTTTTGGTATTTACCAGATTTTTGACTAAAGGAGACAATTAAAGGGAGATAATTACTTTGCTGCTAGGTCTGATGACGGCCTCCCCTTGATCCATCTCACTCAGGAGCTTCTCGCATTCCTTATAGCCAATGTTATGGAATGAGGGGTGGGCAATAACCCTCTTTGTGTATGCTGTAAGTGAAAAAGTAAAATTTGCATTATTTGTTAAACTCAATATAAGACTTTTAACTAAACCAATGGCAAGGCAGTGTGATCTTGACAGAAAAACAAATTCAGCTCAAACAAATGAACACAGAAGTAAGTATAGAGCACCACATTTTGATAAAATAATGAATATATTGTTTGAGGCATTTATGAGAAAAACAGTTTATTTAATATAAATAAATAATAACACAATAATTCTTCTGTTATAAACAATGAAAATCTCAATCTTTGTATCAGACAGGTTGAAACAAGAAGCTTACTCTGCCGAGCCTGCTGTTTACGCTTTTCTTCCTCTTTGTCAGCACTTTCCTTCTCTAGATCCTGATCATAATACAGATCTTTGGGTGGCCTACAAAACAGGTAAAAGACCAAGTTTTTCAATACCATATTTATCCTTGATACTTTTTTGTAACTTTTGATGAAGAATGTTACAATTTTATAAATGGTTTCTCTCAGTACATTCTTTCTAACTTTTACTTCTAATCTGACTCCGAAGGTTTACTCTGTTTTTTCATCCAAGTTTCTCATGTCTTGATTTCATGGTAAATATATAATTTATGCAAATTTATTGATGGATTCGTTTCATGAAAGTTTCATTTTATATACTTCTTCACTTTATTTGGCAACTATTCACAATTTAGAATTTGAAAGAGGCTTCAAAACTGACCAGAAGTGACCAGAACTGACCAACATCTGCAATGATTGAGACTTACTTCCAATGTCCTTCCTTATCCATCAGATCTGAAGATTTACAAGTCAGATCTACCTGGAAACGGTCAATATCAATTTTGGTGATTCTGCAATGAATGGTCATTCCAACTTTAACCCGATCTTCAGGATTCTTGACCACTTTGTCACTTATGTTCTTAGTGTGGATAAAACCAGTCACACCATTGTCGAGTCTTGTTCTCACACCAACAGCTGAGCCTGGACAACTGCCTGCATCAAAGTGACTCCATACCTGTTTTTGTGAACACAAGACTCAGTTTTACTTTATTGAAACACGGAAGTTGTCTCCATGCATTGTTTTCCTACTTTTTCAGCATTTATGTATTCAAAATGAGACTGGACAGTAAAAAGTACTTGTAGTTGGTTTAATTTCACTCTTTCACTCAAATTCATTAATGACAGCATGACATTACATACCCAGGAAACATTTTAAGAGTAAAAATATAAGAAAATGTCTGTGAGATGCTCATTTGTATGGACACTAATGGATAGACACATGCAAAATCATATCCCAATAAACCAGTTAAAACAGTGAAACATTAGCTCCATTTCATTAAACAAATATACAGTAAGTTGATACTCCCTACCCAAACAGGCAACTCAGTAAAAAGCATGCCAGGAATTACAGTATAAGAGTCACTATACTTTTACACTCGACTTTAATAAATGGTTTTCTTTGGTTTATTCTGCACAGTAACCATTAGTCAATGATAAATTCGTGGTGGCCAGCCTGAGCAACAGACTGACATCAAAACCATTTGGTTTCTTCCATATTTGGTGAAATTTCAATTAAAAAAAAGTATCATTCTGGAAATACTAGAAAAAGCTGGTAAGATATGAATGCTTCATAGTCTGATTAACATTTTAACCTTGACAGATGACTGATAACAAGGTGTAGAATGTCATGTTATAACAATTACATAGAGTAAAATATGAACCAAACTTGAATTGAGAGGTTGTTCAGATACAATATTGATTGAGAACTGGACATGATAAGACAGATATAATTCACACTAAATATATGCTCCCTCCTAAAATGGGGTTTACATGTGGTTAACAAAGGTATCTTCCTCATATCAAAGATTTCCTACATTGCGCTTCGCCTTATGCACCCTGAAAGATTTACCGTAGCAATATAACATAAGTGTACATCTAGATGCCCACCTCACTTAGTTCTGGAAAGTCATCTTTATTACAGAAGGGACACTTCCAAAGCCCCGTTTCCTGGTCTCGGACAGGGTTTGCCTGGTCCAGCTGATCCCCTCGGGGCCGTCGATGAGCTATTCCTGTCACTGTTGTTAATATCAGTTTACCTGTCAATAGATTTATCAATTCATTTAGATTTACTCTGGAAAATAGGTGTTAAGGTTCCTAATAAAGCTTTTATGTCTTCAGCAGATAAGTAAGTAATAGATGAGATCAAGATATTTTATTATGGTATAAAAATACTGTATAATCACACACTTTCAAGGAGTAAAATTCAATTTTACAAAATATACATTTACATTGGCACTTGATTTTAGAGGTAAATCTTGCTCACAAAATCCACTAGTACCATAATCCATGCTAATTATGGTCTTTTCATCATGTTGTCGACATATAAATTTGCTAATTAAAAGTAACTACAAATTCAATATAAAAAAAATTAAAACATTAAATTTTTGTTCAGTATTTAAAATTAGAAGTCAGTATTAGGGAATAATACTTTATTGTATACAAAAATAAACAGCTCAATCTCATTTACACAAAAATACTTCCAGACTTTTTTTCCCCCTCTAAGATACATCTATATTGTCACATGAACACTGTGTAGATATTGTCACATGAATGTAATGTTGTTACTTACCAACATAGAATGTCTCTGGTGTTTCCTTGGTGATCATGTTGAAGCGCTCCTCGTTCAGTGGAGATCTGTATGGTGTCCTCAGATCCTTGTACCGGTGATTTAACTCAGCCCTGATATCATACAGTGTGATGTGTTTGTCTCCATAACCCTGCAAGTGTTAAATTCATCCAGAAATCATAATTTTTTATTCAAATAATTGATTTTTTCATAAAATTATCAAATGTGATCGATGATTTATGAAGTTGAGATTTAATGAATGACCTTAATACTCGTAGAAAGAAAGCTTTGCAAGTTAAAAAAATAAAGAGAGAGAGAGAAAAAAAGTTCTGCTGCTGTAATCAAATGTTTCACTTTTGGATTTATCATATAACCAGTTATTTTTGCAGGGTCCAAATTTTAGATGCTTTTATTTTGAAAAACAGAATTCAATTTTAATGAATTAATGCTTTGTGACCTCAACGTAAAAGTACATTGAATTTTTGTGAATATTGCTCCTGATGTCAAAATTGCTGATTAACAAGTCACTCACCAGTGAATTAAAAAATAGCTGGCTATACAGTATTTGTATATGTAAAGCCTTTCAAGGAGGTCAATAACACATTTTTGCTCTGATAATTACTTCCCCCTACAAACCTGTCTTTCAAGTTCCTCAGCAAACGCATCAAGATCAAGGTCCTTGAGACGTTCTGGAGATTCCAGAATTTCTTCCAGAGCCCCGGCAGGATTAGCATCCTCTGCTGTATCATCATATTCGAGTGCGTCAACAGCCATCTTTCTTGCCCATTCATAGTTCTCCGGGTGAACACGTGAGCCGTCCAACACTTCAACGTATGCATCCGTGCTTTAAAAATCAACCAATCACATGTGAGACTAGCTATTGTATATATGCACACTATTAAGAAGCTCATTACAAAGTACTGAGTTTAAAAACTGAATCATTAACAATCTCGACTTGTCAACCATTATCACTCAAACTGTTTACGAAATCCTTGATTAAGCCCAAGCTCCCACTGTTGGCTTGGGTGAAAAAAATTGGGAGGGTTGGAGAATGCAACTAATATGATGTAAATTTCCTCTCTGAAGCACGGCGATTTTTTCTTATCAGTTTGACAACTTGGACCACGGATGTTGATTTATGAAATTAATTTATGAAGTAAGTGCAGACCTACTGATCTTGTCTTACTTTCTGACCAACTCTGATTAAACCTTTAAAGGTTTGTATTAAAATTTGCAGTCTGACCTAATTTATGCCTGATATGTGTCTGTACTTCTGCATAAAAGAAAAGGCTCCCGATCACCTTAGTGTCTATGGCCACAGTACTATTTCATTTTGAAATTAATGTCTGGTATTAATAAATAATTGATCATTATCTAGATGTGTCAATCTTTACCTGTCACCTAAGCTGTTGGTGTCTATCTTTATAAAACCAGCACAATTGATGAAAACATTAGGGCCCATGTGACAAACTTCCACGAGCTGTGTTCTGTTTTCTAGTCGGATGTTAGCCTGTTTCAGTATCTGTAGGGACAACAAGGTTCAATCTTTTACGATAGGCAATTGAGTTCCAAAGGTATCGACTTTTAAACATGAAATGTAAAACATTTACTGTACACCAACTATTATTTGAACACAACTTACATCAGCAGAATTTAATGATGGAAAAAGATAAAAAAGTTCTGAAGGTCAATTCAAAAAAGCTTTCCTTCTCTCCTGATTTACTGTTGTAAATTTTGTAATTGAAGCAAATTCACAAAGTTTAGCTTTAAATATTGTATAATATACAGTCAAACCTGTCTGAAGGCCACTTAAAGGAGCAGAGAAAAGTGTCCTTTATACACAATTGGCCTTTATATAGAGGTTCAATTACTATGAATTGCATTATAGAGGGAACAAAGGAATTGGTCTTTATAGACAGGCAGCCTTTGTATAAAGATGGCCTTTATGACTGATTAGGTTAGACTGTAGTCTGTTTGCAAACAGTTTGTGACAGCAACAAACCCATCAATTTCAAAACTGTAATCATAAAGCAGGTGATTACCTTGAGAAGTTGTGATGATTTCCTTGGCCCGAGTCCACACACAAACTGTACAAGGGGTGCTGTGTGACTGTTAGCTATGGCTCGATTGATGTCCACTCCAACCTCATTGACTCGGTTCACAAATTCAAGTGAAAGAGCATTTAACAGTTCATCTTTAGGAATTTGGTCCTAAAACAGAAGATGGAACACGAATAGTCAAAATCTCACGTAAATCATTCAACCATATACATTATCAATCAAGGTATTTCCTTGTCATCAAGATCATCTAAATTGGAACTCCATGCTTCTATCTTATACATGTTGCTACCAGATATAGCATCTTTTGCACCCCACAATGTCTAATGTATCAAAATCAGTGTTTTAGTAAGTAAAGATAAAGGTCACTATTACACAAGACCTTTTATTAATGGTAACCAATACAACTAACTCCACCTCCTACAGGCTGATAACATCAGGCTACCACATACATACTCAGGGCAACCATCTCCAACAGACTGGCATTAAGGGTAACCACTTTCATTTTGCTGGTTACTCAGGGCAACAACATCTCCCATAGACTGGCATTAAAGGTAACCACTATAACTAACTCCACCTCCTACAGGTTGATAACACCAGGCTACCACATACATACTCAGGGCAACCATCTCCCACAGACTGGCATTAAGGGTAACCACTTACATTTTGCTGGTTTCCCAGGACAACCATTTCCCATAGACTGGCATTAAGGGTAACCACTTACATTTTGCTGGTTTCCCAGGACAACCATTTCCCATAGACTGGTAAATAAAGGTAAATAATTATATTTGGCTGGTTAGTACTAGTAACCACTAACCTGCATGGGATGGTATTTAAGACATAGGATGTCCTCATCAACATTGCACAGCTGGGCAAATTCTATAAGAGGATCCTGTAGCCTCCTAGCAATAGAAACAGCGTGTCGCAACACAACGGGATATTCTCGGAACTCGCTCTGTAACAAAAACAACAAAGAAACACTGGAAAATCAGGCTGAATAATTTTAACGACAACTTCAGTAAAAACTCCATAATTGGTAATCCATTAAAATACTGAATTCCTCCCCTTGGGGTTCAACATCAACAATTTCATTACTGTTTTGATATCTATTTCTGCATTTAGAACAACTATTCTATATGATCTCAACAAGGAAATCAGAATAAGTATGTAATTAGGTGAAAATATGAAGGTTACAAGGTCATGTGGCATATGTTAACTTGAGGAATAAAAAGTCTCTAACATAATTTGATTTTTGCAGTAAAATTTGAATAAAAATATGCCAAAAACAGCAACAAGACAATAAATGTTTTATTAATTTTTGGAAAAAAAAAAAAAAAAGAAAAAAGCATCCTAAAAAGATAGATCTAAATTTCCACAGTGAACAACCTGTCTCAGCAGGAGAGATTCTTTGTACACAAAATAGAATTGTTTTGATATAAAGAGTTCCACATATATTCTATTTCTGATATGTATCCCACCTGTGCCTTGGCACTGTTTTCATAGACCATGGCTAGTTCATTGTCCACCAGTTCAACAGATATTGGAGCCATCGGTTGCTCCTGACACAGATCATCTATCACAGACTTAACATCTTCAATCACCATGAGTGCATCCCTGCAACATGAAACAGTACATAATACAGTTTTGTAGGGCATTCCATTTATATGGTACACACCAGCTAATTACCTGTAAACAAGACAATGTGACAAATTATAGTCTCCTAACAACTGTGCAACTATATACTAAAAATGTTTTCCTTTGATGAAGATCAAAGATCATAATTACCTAATTTTGACACATGACATACTGCCCTACTAAGGTGGACCGATACCCTCGGAATACAGTTCCACAGACTTTTTATTTAACATAAGTCAAAGGTCAGAGTGACATACATTTGTATGAAGTTTCAATGACAAGAAGTCTAGGAAACATAGATCAACTCAATTCAAAACTATTCACCCCTTCCATCCCCCTCCAGTTGGGGAGTGAAAAGAAGAGACCATCTGCCTTACAATTCTGCAGGGCTTTCCATGAAGTGGATATAAATCGTGTGATCTACTGAATGGAAATGAATGACCAACCAAAATGAGCTAGACTGACAACCAACAAACCTGAGGATACCAAGTATGTCTAAATAGTCAGTATTCCCTGTTCCCACTCTGTAGAAGCAATGAATTCACCGATATTCTTATAGTTTGACAAATCACTGAATCTAATTATTTCTTTCACTCCAAAGATCATTTCAAGTTAGAAATTTGAGATTCAATACTGAAAACAAAATTCTATCGGTCACTTTAAAATGTTATTTAATGTAACAAATTCTTGTATCACTTCCACTGAATTCCCATCGCATTTTTATTTTATTGTCAAAATCATGAAATCCTCTTGTATCATTCTACCTTGATTCTGCGGAGACAGCTACCACATGGGGCTTCTTGGTGGCAATGAAATCTTTGAGCTTTTCCAGATCCTGTTCCTGTACATCAAATGTATGACATTGATAAAGAAAGTTTTCTTTTTTCTTCAGTGATTATTTAATGATAGTCTTTTCCAAATTGCAGCCTTTATAATATCTCAATGAGATTTTTCCATTTTAATTGAACGTAATTTCAATTTCTGAATTAAACTTGAACTTATTTTTCCTAATATCAATTACACAGTGCATAATGAATGGGATTTTTTTCCCTATATTCTCATGATGATTTGATTTCAAAAATTGTTTTATGATAAATCTGTTACCTTGCCCTCTTTATCTTGTTGCCTCCAAGCATTCCTTCGCTTGGTGAGGTATGGCATCCGTAAAAAGTCTGTAACCTGACCTTCCCCATCAATCAGAGCCCCAAAACCAGGTGTGTCTCTGTTACAACCAAAATAATGACAAATTGATTTGTGAAAGGCCAGCATTGAGTAATAGGAATCACACTACTAACATCTGCTGTACTACCCCACTTTCCTACATTCCCAAACAGGCAATGGTATAAATAGGAACAAACCTTGTGGTGACGAAGGAAAGACCTAACACACGCAGACCCTCCTTCTCGTCATAATCATAGTCATCCTCAAGTTGTTGGTCAGCCTGATACGGTGCCACCTTCAGCCAGTTATATAGCTTACGACAGCAAGCCTGGTGGGAAGAAACATCAGGGATCAAATTCAAGTGAGAGCTTATATACAACAAGTGAGAGCTTATAAACAAGTGAGAGCTTATAAACAAGTGAGAGCTTATATACAACAAGTAAGAGCTTATAAACAAGTGAGAGCTTATAAACAAGTGATAACTTATATACAAGTGAGAGCTTATATACAACAAGAGAGCTTATATACAAGTGAGAGCTTATATCCAACAAGTGAGAACTTATATACAACAAGTAAGAGCTTATATACAACAAGTGAGAGCTTATAAACAAGTAAGAGCTTATAAACAAGTGAGAGCTTATATACAAGTGAGAGCTTATAAACAAGTGAGAGCTTATATACAACAAGTGAGAGCTTATATCCAACAAGTGAGAGGTTATAAACAAGTGAGAGCTTATATCCAACAAGTGAGAGCTTACATACAACAAGTGAGAGTTTATATACAACAAGTGAGAGCTTATATACAACAAGTGAGAGCTTATATACACCAAGTGAGAGCTTATATCCAACAAGTGAGAGCTTATATACACCAAGTGAGAGCTTATATCCAACAAGTGAGAGCTTATATCCAACAAGTGAGAGCTTATATAGAACAAGTGAGAGCTTATATACAAGTGAGAGCTTATATACAACAAGTGAGAGCTTATATACACCAAGTGAGAGCTTATATCCAACAAGTGAGAGCTTATATCCAACAAGTGAGAGCTTATATAGAACAAGTGAGAGCTTATATACACCAAGTGAGAGCTTATATACACCAAGTGAGAGCTTATATCCAACAAGTGAGAGCTTATATCCAACAAGTGAGAGCTTATATAGAACAAGTGAGAGCTTATATACAAGTGAGAGCTTATATACAACAAGTGAGAGCTTATATACAATAAGTGAGAGCTTATATCCAACAAGTGAAAGCTTATATACAACAAGTGAGAGCTTATATCCAACACGTGAGAGCTTATATCCAACAAGTGAGAGCTTATAAACAAGTGAGAGCTTATATACAAGTGAGAGCTTATATCCAACAAGTGAGAGCTTATATACAACAAGTGAGAGCTTATATACAACAAGTGAGAGCTTATATCCAACAAGTGAGAGCTTATATACAAACAAGTGAGAGCTTATATACAAGTGATAGCTTATATACAAGTGATAGCTTATATACAACAAGTGAGATCTTATATTCAACAAGTGAGAGCTTATATACAACAAGTGAGAGCTTATATACACCAAGTGAGAGCTTATATCCAACAAGTGAGAGCTTATATACACCAAGTGAGAGCTTATATCCAACAAGTGAGAGCTTATATACAACAAGTGAGAGCTTATATACAACAAGTGAGAGCTTATATACAAGTGAGAGCTTATATACAAGTGAGAGCTTATATACAATAAGTGAGAGCTTATATCCAACAAGTGAGAGCTTATATACAACAATTGAGAGCTTATATCCAACAAGTGAGAGCTTATATACAAGTGAGAACTTTATACAAACAGATTTGTCTACTTCTAAATTTTCGGCATGAATTCTGAAGGAGTGGCATATGCTAATTACAATTTCAAGGCTTCCGATCAGATCATTATCGGGAAGATCAATCCTTACTTATCAACAAAGATCACTTGTCCTTGACCTGCTTATCCAACCTTCTGACCTTGGATAAATGAAAATGGCCCAAATTTCTTTCCAAACTTGAAAAATCACACTATCAATTTTTGAGAACAGACTACTATATATGCAATAAGGCCCATCCTCAAAATTCTATTCAAAATTCCACATCATTTATGACCCCTATTGTAACCCCTGGAATTCCATGGAAGAAGGAATCCAGGCTTAACTAACAAGATCACTCAGGTATACTACCGTCTAGTGAAATTTTAAATCAATGCTATTTCAGAGTTCTTTAATAAGCCCACCCTAATGACATTTTCTTAGAAGTAGTGTGTTTGCCCCATAGGGTTATTAAAGAATTAATACAGTAAATTTTCTGCTTGAACTTAACTGAACACTTGAGTTATTTTCATTAAATGGTTTGACCAGTTGGATCAGAGTTATTCCTTTATGAAAAAAATTTGAACATATTGTTCTAAATTTGCTTTCTAACAAGTTTCAATTAAGCCTTTGGAGGCTTGTACAAATATTTACAGGCCTGTCCTGATTTATGGCTAAAATGTTAAAACTAAGGTGCTGATGAACCGGTTCACATAAATGAACAAGTCTCTGGTGTAGATAATCGTTCACTATGTGGGATAGGTTCATAATGATACCAAATTACGTGTTGATTTTACCTTGAGGATTCCTTCCTTGGCTTCAGCAATGAGCTTGGCTCTGAGCTCTTTCTCCATTTGTGGGTAAAGAAGCTTGGTAAGAGCTCGCTCCATGGCTTGACTTCTTTGAAGATTCCACTGTTGTACCAGGTGGCTAAATTCATCCTGAAAAGTCGATGAAAAACTTCTGAATTACAACTGAAAACGTCAAAGCCTGGTTAACAGGTGTTCCAATTTTACAAACATGTGTTTGGATTATAAAGTTCTATTTTTATTTCATTTACTTAACCAAAAGATAGATTTGAAAAATCTAAAAAATTCTGCTGACTCGGGCATATATTTTCTTCCTCAGGCAACCAATGGACACATCCCTTATATATAAGAGGATATTGGTTGCTTTGATGCCAAGAACTGATTTAAAGATGTTTACAAGCACCACAGTGTTTAAATGCTTGTTAATGTGTTAGAACTCATGACCAAGCAGAACTAGATCAGATAATTTAACCTCAATGTGCTTGTGAAATTTAATTCATGGTCTACAGTTTATCCCACATAGTAACCAAGTAAAACCAAGTAAATAAACTGTTGAACTTCTCCCAAGTAGGTCTGGGCACTTTCCAGGTTACTTACCCTGTAGAACAGCTGGCGGACTTCCTCAAAATAGGTCTGGGCACTTTCTGACACATCATCAATAAACATACTAATAGTCAAAAGTCCATCATCTTCTCCCTGTAATGATCAAATGAAAACATATGACAGTCCTGCTAAAGCCAAACACGAAGTGAAATCAATTGGTAAAAATTTCTTTATTGTTGTAATGCATTTTTATTACAAATGAAAATGAAAGACCCTGTAAAACTGAAATTAAATACAGTGCCAAAATGTTTCAATACTTGTTTAAGTGAATATTAATTTTTCTTATTATACTTCAAAGGGAAGGAGCCAATGCAAGGTGTGAATGAGGTGGTATTAGGTGGGTACTTCGCTGTGAGTATGGATACCATCGATATGCAGGGCAATTAAACAAGGACTAATACTATGTTTAATGAAAATAGCAATCAAAACATACTCACGTGTTACCAGTTTAAGTATGGTTTACATTTTGTCTACAAGCAGACAGAATAATAACTATACTTAACTGGTAACACATAGGTTGTGAGTGATATCTTCATCTACAAGAGTATCGAAAAGCGGAACAAAATACGCCCGTGAATATCCAAAACAGCAAAGGGGCATAACTCTTATTCACATCGTCTAATCAAAACCCCGTTCGGGAAAACACGACTTCATATCATGGTGATTAAGCCTACCAAATTTCATAAAGATCGGCTGAAAAATGTAGGAGGAGATCTCCGAACAAATAAAAGTTTACGATGGACTCGGACGGACGGACAGCGCCATACCATAATACGTCCGTCTTTCGACGGGTGTATAAAAATTATTTAATTTGTAACATATCGTGTTAAGTCTATATTTATCTGGTGATAATACATACAGGGGACAACATATCGGGGTAGAGTTAAGTATAAAACCATGCATAGCATTTGTTGGAATATCTGCTGAAGACAACAGTGGGATTTTTATCAGGTACAGGCTTAGCACTGGATAATGACAATTTGAAACACATGATGCAGTCAATACAAAAATAAGTTCAACTTATTTCTAAGAAGCACATTGTAAGTCCTACTTAATTCTGAAAAAGCACATTAACCACTTAAATTGGACATCTCTGCTGTTTTCTTCATATTGGAATGTAAAATAAACTAAATACAATATGAAATATTTCATTCATAATTATTATTTTCTACAATGTATCTAACAATTTAACGGTGATAACCTTTCATTCATTGATTTCCTTAATGTGATAATAAAATGATATTCATGAATAAACTTTAGTGGTATCTGCAATCTACTATCTTCAAATATTGACTCTATTCTTACTTATATCAGTCATATTTTTCTGACCTGACAGTTCTCTCATGCCTGCTATCAATGTTTCCAGTTATAAAATTTGGAAAAAAAAAAAGGTATTCTTTTATAGAACAGATTTTACTATAGTCTTCTAAAACACTATAATGCAGACAGAATTTTGATGAAATTTTTTCATGAAAGTGGGGAAGAAGTTCTTTGACTTGTATGCTAGTGTATAAAGACAATCGCTCATACTTGAGAAAGCTTGAGGAATATTTCGTCCTTCAGGTCCTTGACTGGTTTATTCTTCAGATACTTCATGGCATAACACGGATGTGCTTCATCAATTTCCTGATACACAAAGGAACAAATTATTCACACAGTTATCACACTGTCTCCATGTCTTCAATGTGGACAAATGTTTATAAGATAGTTCATTCATCACATAATACTGCCCAACAGATGTGGTGACAATTTGTATATCAGCTTTGAATGTATTAGATTTACACAAAAATCAGAAAGATAATGGAAGTTTATTCATTCTAAAGCACCACGATACTTGTCTTGGAAAATATTTAATAAAAAGTCCTCAAATTTTGAAACAAAAGTAAACAGATATGCTACCTGCAGACATTATAACTATCCACAATAAATGATTATTTTTTTAAACAATTATTTTAGTTTTTGTTTTCTTTTCCAATATTTGTATCCCATGCAGTTTTATGAGCAACTGAAACACTGTCTTTTTACCTTTATGCCTTTTTTGGTTGGGACCACATTGATTTTTGCACGTTCAAAATATGTCTGTCGCACACACTGCCTTACAAGAGGATCATGACAAATTTGCATAGCAACCATATGGCGTGCTCCAAGTAAGACTTCTTCATCTGTTGGAAATTGACTGAAATAGGACAAAAAAGTATAATTGTTTAAATGATATGTTAGTTGAAAGCTTAATGCAACTAGTCATTGCAGATTTTAACATACACAAGGGTTGTTCCCATTTTTTCTACTCATTTTATTCCATAAAATGTGATATCAAAAAGGAGGGAACCTTTTATATAAAAAAAAATATTTTATAAAACTAACCTGCAAATGTAATCCTTGGCTACCTCAAGGGGCTCCAATGGGTATTGTTCAACATCATGACGTTGATAGTTGTCTCGTAGATTTTCCCCGAATTGTTCAGGTGACAGACCAAACTTCTGGGCAATGTCATCTGCAAGCCAAACACAATTAATAATGCAAGGAATATTGCAAAATAAAAAAATACATAAAACAATATTTACTTTTTTTCCTCATTTTTGGAAAAAAAATCTATCTAAAATGTTTGAATAAATCAATATTTCATTAATTAAGTGACTTATGAATAAATGTTTAGGTAATGTATTCCAAGTGATTAGCACCAATAACAACAAGACATCATCAATGAGAACTCTTTGTTTTAAGATGTCAAATACTTAAAGAAAAATCTCCATTTCCTTACTTCAGCCCCTAAAACTCTAAAAATATCTTTCAGGCAAAATAATTTGACAAAAATCTGGCATCCTGGGATAAAGTCCTCTCTATAATTAGTACCTAGTTTATTTTGTTGGCAGATGGTGTAGCCACTTTTCCGTGAGGCCTGTTTTATCATGTCCTGTTGTTCAGGGGGATCTTCATTCTCTGGACGTTCGGCATCCTCTTCATTTCGGGATTTCACTTTCTCTGCATTCCTCATTTTCGGTATATCGGGCCCGTAATACAAGAGGAAGTGCTGATAGACATCCCTCAACTCCTCAATTGTTTGAACCTGTTTGATTCTACAGACAAACCAAATGTATTAGAAATGATTAAGCTAAATGGTCACCATCACAAAAAGGGTCTATATCAAAGTGTCAAAAATTCCCAACTTATTTTAAGACAATATAAGTTACATATTACTGTGTATCTACTAAATAAATTGAAAATTAAGTTAGCAAAACCCTGTCCATTTTCATAGAAGCTAAAAATGAATACACATTCAGGAAAAACAAGATAAGACATGAATACTCCACTTCTGTGCAATCAAAATACGATAAGGTGTAGAACTTGATGTTATAATACTATGGAAAAAATATGAACCAAATCTGTTGAAAGGTTCTCAAAGATCTAACACTGATTCTGAATGATACAGAACATGATTATAAAGGATGAAACAGGCCAGGCAAGCATATGTAATACATGTACTTCCATGCTCGATACTCCTGGGGTTGTGAGCACTTTCGCTCTCTGCACTCCTAAAACATGTGATGGCAATAGTGAAGGTTCCATATGCGGCACTTTGTGGACATGACGAAAAGACAAGTTTGATCTTTTGATGTACATCAAACTAATCTTAGAGTCACATAACAGTATTTGCAATAGCTTTGAAGTAGAGTATCGCTCCTCTGTAATCTTCAAAAGGAGTGTAACTGTCTGTGATTAGTCTTTTTTTTTTTCTCATGGAACCATGCAAATTACTTCCCTTGTTCCTTCAATTTTGCCATGACATGTTTCAGAGGTGCAGAGAGCAAAAGTGAACGTAACCCCTGGAGTATCAAGGATGAAGACTTCCCGAAAAATTAAAGAGACATGAGAGTCTGAATGAAATGAAATTGATCTTTATCATAGGGTATCTTACTGTTGAATCTAATTTCTTCCTACCTGTCAATATCTTCCTCTGTTAGAGCTCTCACGTTTGATTCCAGGACTTTGTCTGGGTCAGCATTTTCCTCAAACTGGTAATTCTGCATCTTCTCAAACAGACGAACCATGTTGGTTTTTCTTGTCCTTAGCTGTGTCCACTGATTAAACAAAAATAATTCTTATCTATATCAGTGCTGCATGTTTTAAAATTTCATTTTCAGTTTGTTTTATATTTTTACTTTTGAAACAGGGCAAGGTCTTTCGATTTTAGACACAGTTACAGCATATTTTATTCAGAAGCACCATCAACAGAGGGGACAAGTTTGATGAAACTTTCCCTTATTTGGTTGCCCAGATTTTCCAGTGTCAGAGAAATTTCAGAATAACTCTCTTTGGCTCTTTTAACTGTTTAAAAATTATTCAGGAATCTCAACATCTTTGGAGGATTTATACAATTCTACCAGATCATACATATTACCAACATCATAACATGCATTTCTTAGTTCTGCAATTTTTTTATTCTGGAAATAACCTGTAATTTGTTATCTAACCCGCAAACAATGTTATACTGTTACCTTTTCATCAAACTGCCAGATCTTCCACAGGTCATTGATGTTGAGATCCGACTCTACATATTCTTTACGGTAGAAGGCAATGAAGGGCACCTGTAAATTGTAATTATACCTCAGAATTAAATATAAAAGAAAGCATATGAAAATGCAGAAATCCAATGCAGAATTCTGTGTAACATGGTTTTGGTTTCGTTAAGTATCTCCATCAGTATGTTTTTTCAAACTTTCAGGCAATATAATCCCCAAAAAGCAAAACAAACAATTCAAAATTTAAATATTTTTAGATCTCATTTCATTAATGAATATTTATTGATGAAAAAATAATATATGTATATATATGAATATATGTAAAACTGGATTAAATATTTTTTCATAAGATGTCACATAAATCATCAGATGTAGACTAGTTGGACATTCCCTCACTTTATTTTGATATCTCTGTGTTCTTAAAAATTTTTATCTTCATATTTGTTGGGGCTGATCCAAAAATACATTTGTTCAATTTCATGACTCCAGAATTCATTAAAGAGAAAGTGTCTATAGAATTTCAAATGAATATATGGGTTATGTTTTGTTTACACCATTTCCCACATGAATTACAAAAGAATATACAGTGTTGTATTCTTGTGTACCTCTAGATGCTGGTCTCGCATGAAATTGATAGCCTCTCGGATTTTGCTGACCATGCTTGGTGGGCGTCGACCAAAATTTCCATGGCTCTCCTGTTCCAGCAGGTTCTGAAATATTGATTTCATTTTTAATCAACATAAAAGAAATCATCTGGTCTTTTTATGTAACACAAAAGAGACTATTAAATTGAAAAGTTATATTCACAATTTTGTACAGATATTTCAGATACCCCCCCCCCCCCACCAACTCTAAAACAAGAAATGAAATTTGTGTTTCTTAACGCAAAACCTCTAAACCAAGTTCTGCTGCAAATCGAAGCAATTCAGATGTTACCATAACACACGTATCTAAGACTGATCAAGCACCTGCTAAAAGTAAAAAAGGAAATTCTGTAAACTTTATAAATCAGAATGGCAAGAGTACTAGAAAACTTGTGTTACCTGTTGTGACATGGTGGGAGTGGTGAAGGCCTGCTTATATATCCACTCAGCTTCTTCATCTAACTCTCCTTCCTCCAGGGGTCGGACAGGAATCTGACGCAATTGGAATCGTTCAGGCATGTCCTTGGTTCGTATTTCTTGATCTTTATCTGTGAAAAATCCACGCTCCAATTCTGTTGGCTCATACACCTGTAGGCAAATTAAGTTCAACGAGAAAAATTAGGATTTTCATCAATTTCATCTTTTTTTTTAAATAATTAAAAAAAAAAAAAAAAACTGGTAATGATGACTTCAGCGAAATAGAACATTTTTTTTTACAAACATCAAGGTCGCAATAGCTTCTTTTGGAAACAAAATCAATTTGCAAATAACAATAGCAACCTGATAGCATACTATCTACCTTAACACCACATCTTGTGAAGTAGTACTACCAAAATAATCAAATCAACAATTTTCATACCCTTAATGTTTACTTATTTTGAACTTCTCGTTTGTTTTGTGATTTCACTTGAAATGGTCCTAATAGCATTAAAACAATTACCTTTAAACCTGAATTAATTAAAAAAAATTATTTGGATGAAACAAGTGGTAGCAATAATTTTCTACTTAGCCAGACCACGAATTTCAGTTCATATCTGGTATGGCTTGCACCTGGAGCTTCTCATTTCAAATTGTCTTGGAGGCATATTTTCTTTCTTTCTTTTTTGATTTATAATCTAAAAATTACTTTTGTGGTAAATAAATTAAAAACTGTAGAAAAATATCTGACTTATTTGATTACTACGTTTTACTCACATCAAAAATTCCTTTCTTTTTCCCTTTCTTTCGTCCGACTTTTTTTGTCCTTGGCCGAGCAACTCCATCTTCGTCCTCTTCCATATACTAAGACGAAACAAACACTTAAAACTTATTTCATGGTAAATCAAAATGTTACAAACATGAAAATATTTTACTTTCAGAATTTTTTTTCCCTAATCACAATTCTGTTTCAAAAACTGACTCAATTCCGTCAATTAAATTATCTTGATAGACTTTTAGCCATATTCAAAACCAATTGTTAAAGGGCTATTACCTACCTCATCATCCTCAAACTCTTCTTCTTCTTCTTCCTCCTCTCCCTCAGCATACTCGTCAAACTCTTCAAAATCAAAGTCCACTCCAAAGATATCCTGTGCTTCTTGTAAGGCTCTTCACAAAAATAAATCATGAATATATAATGAATACCTGAATATTTCAGCATCAGTTACAGGAAATAAACAATAGCATATTTTAATGGGTTTTATAAAAAGATTTTAAAAAATTCTTTTGGAGATCATTAACTAAAAAAATGTTATGCAAAAGATATCGGTGTCACATTTTTAATAAGAATTTTTTTTTATCAAATTTAGTTTCTGTCAGAAATTTACATAGGGATTATAAATTACACTGTCCAAATATATAATGAAATCAATCAATAGATTGTATTATGGATTTCTATTACTGATCTGTCATACATACGCATCTGAGTGGATGATGTGTCGCTTTTTCTTTGCCTTTTTCACAGGTTCTCCATCCTCATTCACAATGAAATTATCCATGTCTGTTTCGATAACAAAAACACATCAAATACATCCAACAAAATTTTCTTCAAACTTTTACTCTTTCTCGTAAACCTTATAAAGTTGTAGAATACCACAAAAAATAATAATAATAGAAAAACAAAGTGATATTGAACAGGTAGGTAAAGGCAACTTTTCAAATAGTTCAGTATATAAACCTACATGAATTTTTCTTCTTATTAAATAGTGAAGAATTTCTATTTTGAATGCTCACGTGACTGGTTTTCCTATTTTACAGAATTCAATGCTACCGTTTGAATTATAAATCCTCCTACATGAAAGAGTAATGAATCTGGCCATTATAGAATGCCTAACTGATATTTAAATAAATGCACAAAGAGTAAAAATTCCGTTGAATTTTTGGATGTTAAAATGAGATAATGGCAGCAGACTACATTAAAAAACGAAAAAAAATAAAGGAAATCTTACCATCTTCATCTTCTGATTCTTCAAGATCTTGGTATTCTGTGGTTTCTGGTCGTTCTGGTGCTTCCTCCATTTCCTCTCCTTCTTCTCCCTCACCATGCTCAAACAGTTCCTCTGCAATAGCATCGCGATCTTTCTCTTCTTCTTTGTCACTTTCCTCATCATCAGACATCATCCGAATACGCTTTAGTTTTTTCGTCTGACAAAAACCAACCGAAAAATCAAAATGTATTTCCATTGTTATCAAACAACCAAATAACGCAATACGTCTGGGCTTTTTCATCTGACTCCCTCCCCCATCGCTCAAAAAAAATTCTTCAAACATATTTCTATTGCTAGGAAGCATTTTTTTCAAAGAATTTCAATACTTTTGTATTAAAGAATAGAAATTTAAACAATGTTAGCATCAATAATTTTATCAATTTGATCAAGTTGGAGTCTTTGAACAACAAACAAGGAAAAGACAATAGATAGCTTATACAGTGTGGTGATATTTCATAATCAAACAGGTAGGATATCTCAAAATCTACAACAGCAACCAAGAAGTGCTGTGATACAGTAAAATATTTAGCCGTGACAGTCAGATTTTAAGTCTTATCAAAGTTTTAAAGAATTTCTATTGCTTTAAGCAACAAAAATTGCACTGCCTATTGACCAATCTGAACAAATTCCATTAATGTTATGAAAACAATAAAACTTATGTATTTCTTTTTCTCTTTTAGTTGATTTTTCTTCTTAATCCATGAATTCATATGTCTCCAATTTATTTAAATGTTGAAAATTTGATGTATTTATTTTCTATTTTAATGGATCTCCTTCATACAATTTGTCAACAAAATCAAGAGCCGATGAAAAGGTATTTTTACAAAAACCTTAAAACTTAAATCCTACAAGAATATATGGTTTTACGATATTGAATTAAAATATTACATTTTAAAAATGTTAGATTCCTTTTTCCTATCCAATCATTAAAAACTGCTGGCATTGTACACTAGCAACACTTTAAATTAAACACATTAAATAATGAAGCCTACCTTTTTGATACGAATTCCCAAGTTCTCTTGAATAAGATCAAGATCATCATCGTCCAGCTGGTCGTCAATTTCAGAGTCATCTTCATGTTTTCTTTTGCCACTTTCGCTTTCGTCCCCACTTTCGTCTTCTTCTTCAATTTCATCATTAATCAGGTCTTTCATTTCTTCTCGTATTCTTTCCTCATCTTAAACAAACAGTATCAGTTTGGTTTTGGTTGTGAAAATCAATGTGAAGTCATTTGAAATATTAGTCTATAATGTCTTAATTCTTTGTGATGTAAAAAACAAAAATAATAATAAAAAAAAAAATAAAAATCAGAAAAGACTTTCATCGCCCTTTTCACAGCTTCCCCTATTTTTGTTTACTTGTATGAATTGAATGAAGTCTTACCATCTTCCTCCTCTTCGTCGTCATCATCATCATCATCTATTGTGATTTGTTTACTCTTCTTCTTTTTTAATTTCTTTTCTTTCTTTTTCTTCTTTTTCTTTGGTTGTTCTATGTCTGAGCCAGAACCAGATCCAGACCTTGCAGGCGACCCTGATCCTGATCTTGCTGGTGAACCTGAACCTGATCTAGATCCTGACCTGGACCTGGATCTTGAACCTGATCCTGACCTGGATCCTGACATTGATCTTGAGCCTGACCTTGACCTTGAGCCAGATCTTGACCTGGAACCTGACCTAGACCTGGAGCCTGAACCGGACCTTGAGCCTGACCCAGATCTTGATCCTGACCTAGATCTTGACCTTGATCGAGACCCCGATCCTGATCTTGATCCTGACCATGACCTTGAACGGGACCTTGATCTTGATCCTGACCTTGATCTCACTGATCCGGACACTGACCCTCCACTACCACTAGCATTTCCATCTTCCGAGCTAACATCTGACACATCTGCTTCATCATCCACAAAACCAGACATCTTGTATTGGAAGCTCTGTAAACAGAAAAACAGTTTATTTGAAATTTCAAACAGATTGCATAAATATGTCTACAATATAATTACTATTGCAGGATGTATTTTACATATTCAGAATGTTTTTGATGCCCAAGTCTATGACTTCTGAGAATCATTCACCAAGATATACCTTTCCTGAACCCACTCTACCTCTTTGTAACTCATCAACATTCTGGTAATCATATTTAGGACCTGTCTCTACAAAATATTTTGTCATTCATTTCAAACAGAATTTCATGTGTTTTTGCATACACCTGATTTGAAATCTGCTACAAATCAATAATTAGTCAACATTTTAACGGATTTCAGCTAATCGTCTTCAATATTCATAGAAAGTGAACATATTACTGAGGCATACGTGTAGTCCAACATCCAACCACTCTAACCACCTTCTTTGATCATAGTCAGTAGGTAATGAACTCACCTAGACAAGCCCTGTGGCCAAGATGGTCCCAATAGCAAGAGGGGAACAGCTTGTTTGTACTTTTAGCTTAAAAAGGTCTTATAATGGATTTTCCTCTTACATCTTGCGAGTATGCTCATGGTGCAGTAATGTGGTGGTAACATTGTTAACAATTAGGTTGATGCATAGTTCACAATGTATACTTTGTTATGCAGAATAAAGGGTTAGGTATTTCTCCTTCATCCTTTGAGATATTTTATGAATCCTTGCTGTAAATCTCTAAAACTTCCTGTTGCAATAGTCTATTTCTTTTTACCAGCCTTCCAATTTGATTTTGGCTGGAACTTTCAGTTAAAGATCATGGATGGTATATACCACCAAAAAGTAACTGATGGATTCTTTGCCAAAACAAAAATTACATCCACAAGGGGACACAGTCTTAAAGTACATAAACAGTGCTGCAACACAAATGTGAAGAAGTTCAGCTCCACTTACAGAACAGTGGGCAAGTCGAATAATCTACCAGAATCAGTGGTGCAAGCAAAAACTATTAAATGTTTTGAAATAAGATTTGATAAATTTTGGAAAGACCAGGACATAAAATACAACCACAACTCGACCATAGACAACACCGGAAGATGTCACGTAAACAGTACAAATGACGAAACTGATAAATTAGATGCGGACATAGTGGTTTAATAAACAATGTCCACAGATCATAAGATATCTTCATGTAAAAACAAATTCCAGATACTCAATGGAAATATCTATCGGCAACGTTAACAGATCACTAGACTATAAAAAAAAAAAAAAAAAAAATAGAAAGAGCCGTCACAACGACATGCTTTCATACAGCTTCAAAATCGCAAAGCATGACGTACTTTCGAATTTCTGATATCACACACATGTGGCCGAATACAAAATCAAAACAAGACCACTTATTTACCGATTATCCAACGGCGCTCTGGTTAAATGACGTTACTGTCAACAGTAGAATGGTCACATTGCTTCATCAACTTCGACTTTTATTCAAACAATCTCCTTTCTATTATTTTTAAATAGTATTGCGATGGTTATTTCTGCATCTCTCTTTTCATAAACAAGATGGCCGGCATCGGAAGTTGAGTAGGTGCTTTTCTATCGAGCTTTTTGATTGGTCAGAGATATTTTCCGACAAGGGAGAACACTCTAGATCTAGATAGTACGAAAACAAAATGCAGCGTTTTTGCTCAAGGAATAATTTGCTTCTTGCAAATCTTGGAACAAGGGGAATACTTAGAAATGTCACAGCAGCTACATCGTCGGAAACATATTTGAAAATAAGTGATAATCAAAAGAATGTGGAACCAGAATCATACGTTGTTCCGTTCGCCAAAGCCAGGATAGGAAACTTCTTCCAAGAGAAACCTTCTCTTGGAAATCATTATCGAGAAGATCACGCGCTGCAGTCATATTTAAAGAGGCACATACCCTCTGATGTAAGGCAAATTAGTTTCTTAGTTTTCCTTTCATTTTAAAGGACCCTTGTAGCAATAAGCAACTCTGTGGCTTTCATTGTCAATCCTAGGTAATGGGTACATACCATGCTTTTGGTAAATTATGTGATTAATACATATCAACTGCCTAGTGCTATAATTTTTGTGCTCCACGAACGGAGAGCATATAGTTACTGCTTTGTCCGTTCATCTGTCTGTCTGTCAATATCTTGTTCGGAGCATAACACAAAAACTATAGAGGTATCAACATAAAACTTCATAGGTAGATAAATCTCAGCAAGGAGAAGTGCAGTACACAAGAACCATCACTCTCTTTAGCATAATTTAGGAGTTATTGCCCCCCCTTTTTTTTATATCTTTCATACTTAAATTTTGTTCAGAGCATTACACTCCCGGAACAGATGTGAAAAGGTAAGGGATCACCTGCCCCAGGTACTCTGATTTCCTCCCACAATAAGACCCCTCACACGCTTACATTCGGGCCAACTAGAGTGATTATTATAAGTTGAAATAACTTGTTACAGTATATTTGCATACTTACGTCATTTATTCAGACACCAGGGAGCCTAATTAATGACAATGAAATTAGGAAATGGTTAGGAACATACAAAACATGACACCAATGGTGAAAGGTTTTAGTGATTACGAATGAAAACTAGTGAAGTTAGTTTTGTTTTGTCACAAGTGCCAGAGCAATCAGTAAATTGCAGAGTTTTCATAGAAAAGTTTGAAAACTTCATTGTTTGTAAGTTATCATAAATGCAACAGTTGTTTGGATATTTGAATTTATGTTACTATATCCATGAGTTAAATAAAGGTTGATCCAAAACTCCTAATGTAGAACTTTGAGGTAGTGTCTTTTGTTGGATTCGCATGGGATTCAATTACTTACTAAGACAATATAATATAGGAAAACTCAACAACATGAAGACTTTTATCCATGAGTGTACAATGTATTTATATATATCTTGGATATATGTATTTACACTATAAAACGACTCTTAGTAGTGTAATATAAATGTCACATCCTCCATACTCAAGGAGTTACAATAACTTCTGCCCTCTTCACTCCTGGAACACTTCATGATTCTAAGTGCAACATGTGTATAAGACCAGGAGACTAGTTTGATCCTATGAAGTACAACAAACGAATCTCAAGGTTGTATAACAGTATGTTGTACTGGATTTGAAGTTGCGTTGCTCCTTAGTTATCTTCAAAGGAGCATATCGTCCTGTCATTGGTCAGTTTTTTTCACATGAAAACTGCTTTAGACCTTTCAAATTACTTTGCTTGTGCCTTCAGTTTGCCAGGAAATGTTTGGGGGGTGCAGAGAGTGAAAGTAATTGTAATCTCTGGAATACTGGGAATGTAAATAACAAAGAAAAACTTGAATTTGACTGTAGTTTAAAAATGATTTGCTACTCTAGAATTAAAAGTTTAAAAAATTGATGCAATGAAAATTGATTCATGAATTGTTTTTCTGCAGATTTTCACTTCTAAAGTGGAACCTGACTTACACAAATTTGGCCAGAGAGTAACATCTGAAATTGTTGACCTTGGTCAACAATGTGACACAGAGTTGCCGTATGTCGAACACTTTGACCCTTGGGGCCAACGGATTGATCGCCTTGTCACATGTCCAGCGTGGAATAAGTTGCATGACATCTCTGCAGAAGAAGGGATCATCTCTATAGCCTACAACAGGGAAATCAAGGAGTACAGGTAATGTTGTTAATTCTGAAGGGAATATATATTCTATTCTAAGGGCAATATATACCACAAATGAAAATAAAGTCGAAAATTGTTGCTGTGAAATTCAAGGTACAGTGAAAAATAATTTTTTTTGACTCAAACAAAGTGTCCAGATACGGTTAATGATGTCTGTTTGCTGACATTAATTACAGTTGAAGGATGTAGAGGTATGATAGCATGGTATACCATGGTACAAGCTGCATGATTTAATCAGTAAACAAATAAATTTCTACTTTCTATTGTTTATTCATCCAAACAACAAAACATGGTATAACAACACTGATCAAATACATTTGAACTCACATTGTTCACTGCACATTTGTTAAAAAAAAAAACAAAAATAAAGTTTTCTTTTGATACTCTACTAGACATGACATATGCAGCTACAGATCATATTTATATGATTTTATTGGGACTTGGAAATTGTTTTGTAGGTAATATACTCATGAAGGGAATAGTCTATTGATAACATATACATAAAGGTAATATTGTCTATTGATAACATAAACATGAAGGTAATATTGTCTTTTGATAACATATACATATAGGTAATATTGTCTATTGATAACATATACATAAAGGTAATATTGTCTGTTGATAACATATACATATAGGTAATATTGTCTATTGATAACATATACATACAGGTAATATTGTCTATTGATAACATATACATATAGGTAATATTGTCTATTGATAACATATACATAAAGGTAATATTGTCTATTGATAACATATACATATAGGTAATATTGTCTATTGATAACATATACATGAAGGTAATATTGTCTATTGATAACATATACATGGAGGTAATATTGTCTATTGATAACATATACATGAAGGTAATATTGTCTATTGATAACATATACATAAAGGTAATATTGTCTATTCTATAGATGATATACACCTGAAGGGAATATTGTCTATTCTATAGATGATATACACCTGAAGGGAATATTGTCTATGCTGTAGGTAATATAATCTACTTTACAGAGTGTGCTGTACAATCAATTATATATTCCACTCTTTTTTTATAGATCATAGTTTTTTCTATTTACAGATATCATAATATGATTTTATAGGGAATATATATATATATATATATTGTAATAAAAACTGATTTTATAGGGAATATATATATATATATATATATATATAGATATATTATGATATAAACTGATTTTATAGGGAATATATATATATAATATATATAATATATAGATATATTATGATATAAACTGATCTTATAGGGAATATATATATATATATATATTATGATATAATCTATAATAATAATATTATGTCTATTATATAAGAAAACAATGTTTTTCTCACTATATGTATATAGTTTTGATTTTTTATGATTTGATTTCTTTATTGTTTATCAAACTATTAATGAAACATTATTTTTTTTAAACATGAAGAACCTTTTTCAGCCATTATTTCCTTTTGTCTTGATTCCTAGTTATACTGTATATTGTATTCATTTTAATAAGAATTATTACAAATATTGTGAGAACTGTTCATTGCTTGGATTTATTGACAGTCGTCTCCACCAGATGGCGAAAGTGTACCTGTTTGCCTCATTTTCGGGTTTATATTCATGTCCCATAGCTATGACAGATGGGGCAGCTAAAATAGTAGAGGTAAGATATATGGGAACACTGATGTGGTGTGGAGAGCAATGGAAATCATTGTTGATAATTTCTACTGCTTTGTTTTACTTATTGACTTTTCCGATTCAAATTTCAAATCTTTGATTATCAGATATTGTTGAAGTGTATGAGTAGAAAAAAAGAAAATTACTGAAATTTTTCGGTTTTATTATTAGAACTAATTATTTTGTTAAATTCACAGGATATGGTCCTTGGTGATGGATGACACATAAAAGCAACTGACTGCTAGTTTTTTATATAAAAGTGACAAAACCATATTTGACTTGGATAAGTCATCATTTCTTCACATGTATCATGGATATCGGTATTTCTTTTCATTGTTTAACATTATTAAGACTAAGACATATACTTTTTTTTTTACACATTTTAAACCAAATATTAACTAACATTTCACATCTTACATATACATGTATTTACTGATGCCCTCTGGTTGAGATGACTGTCAACTAAAAAAAATAAATCTTTTGTTAAAAATTTCCCAAATTTCATTTTGAAGTCATGTTTTTGTCGTGTAATGTTCATATATGCCATTTGAAATATGCAATATGTTCCAGAAGATTAAAAAAGAGAGAAAGCAGAAAAATATTATGTAAATATTGGGAAAAATGCTGGATGTTGAAATTAGACAACCAATAATGCAGTGTAAGATATGAATTCAAAGGGAGATAACTCTTAAATAAAACCAAATTGTGAAGAAATTGTAATCCATTAACAAATAAGCCATTCCAACAATAATCATATGTATAGAATGAAAAGTGTTTACACTCTTACAGGAAAATTGCTTAAACAGAAGTCACATGTGTAATTCATGTGGTATAATTGCTAATGTGTATCATTAAGGGAGATAACTCTGTCAAGATTTCCAATCATAATGTGTTAGTTAGCATCCTTAACAGAGATATTACAACACAAAGGGTCCAACTTAACAATGCAGCAGATGTCTTAATGGAAGAAATGTAACAGAATTTGACTTTGTTGATTTTCAAAGATCTTATTACCATGGCTTTCCCTCCTGTTGTGACCACTGCATTTTCATTTTCTTTCTCAATTACAGAAATATCCTCAAAAATGAAAACTGTTGAAAATTATACATTGTATGTATACATTGTTCTGCAATTTTCATTGCCAGTCGTCTCCACCAGATGGCGAAGGTGTACCTTATGGCCGCAGCTAGTGGTCTGTATTGGTGTCCTCTTGCCATGACTGATGGTGCCACCTATATTGTGGAGGTATCAGAAACTAAGAAAACATAACTCTAGCATATTTTCATTTTTTCCCCTATCTTACACTGATTATCCTAGATGGTTAGTTTTCCTTTTGTTCATCTGTCCATCCTACTGTCCCTCCATCATTTAATGTTATTGTAATAGGTTGCTACAGCTAATTTTCACACATCATCAAACATTAAAAGCATCCTCACTACGGGTCCTGGTTGTAAATGTCACTATATTTTTTCAGATTAATCAGGTTTCCAAGGTGACCAAAAAGAGAAAAATCGCAATATGAACACCATTTCTATTGTAAAAAAGTTTTAACATGAGTTCAAAAGTCAAATTCCCGGACTGTCATGCAAACTCTTAAGTTTTTTTATGCCGCAGGAATGTTTATTAGAAATATGGTTTCTTTACTTGTCTGATTCCTGACCCTAAAGGATTGAAGATACTGAATAGATTTGGTAATCAGGATGTTTTCATTGGAAATAAAACAGAACAACATATTGTGGGAGTATACAAGAATACTCTGTGGATAGAGTAAAAAAATTCAATTTATTACGGAGTCCATTGAAAGTTTAAAAGATGTCATCAGTATTTTTAAATACAGATGAATATGAATGTCTATTTTTGCTCTCAGAATTTAACAACAGAGTACCCATGGTTGAAGGAGAGGGCCTTTGGACATTTGACCAGTCGCCAGCCTGGTCAGTTCTGGACCTCAGGACAATGGATGACGGAGAGAAAGGGTGGATCTGATGTAGGTGGGTAAATTAAAATGAGAGGAATAAGAATGAATTAATAAAGGGATGGTTTGATTAATTATTGACAGATTCATGAATGAATATTCAGTGAATTAGAGGCACAGTGTTAAAGTGATAGGACGTTGGGCTGTGGGTCGTATGATTGCTGGATGTTGGACTGTGGGTCGTAGGGTCGCTGGTTTGACTCCTGGCACAAACGCAGTATTGTATCCTTGAATGAGATACTGTGCTCTGCCTGTTTCTGTCAACTTAGCTGTGAATGGTTGTTCCGTACCAGACATTTTCTTTAGGCTACAAGTTGTTAGTGTCAAGTTGTACGCTCCCGAGGAAGTTCAAAGCTGGTTCATGTACATGTAACAAAACTACAGACATTAATTTGTGAACCTCCTAGAGACAGTTATGTTGTGGTGATAAAGCTGTATAAAAGAACTTCAAATCATTGATTAATGACGGTTCACAGAAAATAATTTGAAAGCAAATGATTCTGTAACTGACTTTGGAAATAATTTGAATTTTTTGTCAAATATGTAAACTCTCAACGGAATAAATGGTATATAGTTCTCAGCAAATAATGAATTAATGTTTTAATAGTGGATGAATAGATACGAATATTCATGTTACTGTGAAATCATAAACTATGAAAATCCTTGTTTATCCAGTTTACCAATTTCTAGGAATAAGCCCACCTATATCTATATTAATACCATATTTTTGGACAAATAAGCCCAAATCTGAAAATAAGCACACCTCTTTCTGCTAGATCTAACTAACAATAAGCTTACCTGTTTTCTTGATAAGAAAATATTTAATGCATTGTTTGATTATCATTGTAGATCTTGAACAAAATCAATTTATATTTTCTGTATACAGCTAATGGTACAGAGACAATTGCCATACCACAAGACGATGGAAGCTTCCGTCTCCATGGTTACAAATGGTTTTCCTCTGCAACTGATGCTGACATCACATTCACATTAGCTAGAGTTGTCGGGAAGGATGGACAAACTACAAAGGTAGCTACTGATTGGTCTAAAATGAAAAATATGATATTACAAAATGTCATGTTACTTATTAACCATAGATAGATTTCAGTTATATATGATAGATGTCGGATTTGACAGGATGTCGGAAAAGTCAGGTGTCAGATTAGACAGGTTTCACTGTACATGATAGTTAACAGAAAATATTTTATTTGATAATTTATTTTTTATATAGCAGTGTGAAAGTGCAAAACCCTGGTAATTTGGAGATATTTGATTGTCCTACTTGTTACTGATACTAGCTGTAGTTGTAATGCATCTGCCGCATATATTTTTGCTGTATTCGGTAATGATGGAAAACAGCTGTATTTTAGCTGTATTTTAGACAGAGTTACTCTCTAAATATACATTAATAATTATGTTTAGAATTATAAATAGTTGTTGAAAGAAGTGATTTTACATGTTGTAATGGACATGTTGATTTATAAAAATTCATAAAATCACTGTTATACCAGATGAAGTTTGGAACTATGTTTTCGCACATTTTTGGCGCCTGTCATCAGGCAACACTCAGTGTAACGTCAACAAAAGGTAAACACAGGTTAAACACCAAAACTGTTTAAGTTTCAATGGTCTGATTATCAGTCAATGTTTTAGGAAGAAGTTTGCCAGAGGCTTGCCACTTGTGTCTTTCTTCTCCTTGCCAAAATATAGATTTTATTTTAAGACACTGACCACGTATATCAAACCTGACAGAAATCAGTAATTGTTACAGGGGACACGTGGATTATCACTATTTTATGTAGAAGTTCACAATGTTGATGGAAGTCTAAACAACATACAGATACAGAAATTGAAGAATAAGCTGGGGACAAAACAAGTTCCCACAGCCGAGCTTCTCCTTGATGGCACTGTTGCTCATAAGGTTTGTGTTTTCATAAACATTAATTCAATGAAATTCAAGAAAAAAGTGACAGCAAAAAAAAAAAATAAATAAAAAAATAAATAGTTAAATAAAAGAAAATAAACAAAGAAACACAGCTTCATTGTTAATTTCAGTTGAACTTAAAGCATTATTTAGTTTAAGGTATTATTTGACCTGCAATTTATTTTGGTTGTCAGTTGACCTGTAAACATTACAAAAATAGACACAAATCATCAGTTATGCATAGCTGAATAATAAATTGCATGAAAGGGCCAATATTTATAAACATTTAAGAAGTATTTTCTTTTTTTTTCATATTGTATTGAAAGTAGGAAAAAACATGTTTGAAAGTATTGTGGAGTTGTTTTTTGCAAATCTAGAAATTATTCTTTGATTAAACTTAAGTTGTAGAATCTGCTTCATGTTTTATCATTCACAGGTGTCAGATGAAGGTCGAGGTGTGGCATCCATTTCAAGTATGTTGACGTTGTCAAGGATACACAATGCTTTGGCATCAGCTTCATCAATGAGAAGGTAGGTCATGGTCACAAATTCAAGGTCACAAGGTCAAGGTTGCTTGGTTTGTCTGTGATATCTTAACATTTGTTTAAATGTTTTCCATACTTTTTGTTCCTAATTTTGATGAAAATCTATGATAAAAAAAATATGATATAATGATGCTATGGCAGTGATTATGACCAATATTATACATTTGTTGACTGTCATTGAGGTCAACATGTATTATGTGGACTGAACTCTTCCATTGAAGGCCCGTGGTCCGTCCATGGTCCATCCATCATCTGTCCATAAACAATTTTTTTTATCCCTATTTCTTGAGAAGTCCTGGATGGATCTTCCTCAAATTGCATATATAGGTTCTCCTTGGTCCCTTATTGTACCCCTTTGATTTTGGGACTGATAAAAAAAAAAAAAAATGGCCGACAGGCGGCCATCTTGGATTTTGACTTTAAAAGTTTGTTATTGCTATTTCTTGAGAAGTACTGAATGGATTTTTCTTAAATTGCATATGTAGGCTCCCCTTGGTCCCTAGTTGTGCCCATTTAATTTTGGGTGTGATCAGATAGTCAAAATGGCTGACAGACTGACATCTTAGATTTTGACTTCGAAAGTTTGTTAACACTATTTCTTGAGAACTACTGTAAAGATTTTTCTCAAATTTCATGTATAGGATTCTTTAGGTCCCTAGTTGTGTCTATTTGAGTTTGAGACTGATTAAAAAAAACAAAATGGTTGACAGGCAGCCATCTTGGATTTTGCCTAGTTAAGATTGTTATTACTCTTTCTGAAGAAGTCACTGAATATCTCTCAAATTTCATACGTATGTTCCCTTTGATCTCTATTTGTGCTCATTTGCTCTTGGTATTGATCAGGAGAAATAAAATGGCTTCGAGGTGGCCATTTTGGATTTGGCAGGTAAAGATTATCATTTATTTCTGCAAAGGAATGTTCAAATGTCTTATCATCAAGAGCAAAAACAGAGAAGGGAAGAGAAAAGAAGGGAAAAGATCCAATTTTAAAAGAGCATATAAAGATTAAACAATGGTGGGATCTCTTGTTTAAAGTCTGGATTCAGCCATTCGTCAGATCAAAAATCTGTACAAACCATTATAGTTCACTTTCAGCTCCATCTTATGTTGTAGAATGGTCAACACAGCAAGAGATTACAGCACTCGTCGGTCAGCCTTTGGAAATGTTCTGAAGAGTTATCCTCTACATATACAGACTCTGGCTAGACTGGAGGTTTGTTAATGACGAGACTAGTTACTTCATGATACCGGCTCCATCGATTTCCAACTTTTTTGTCACAATATCAAGGGAGGCCAGTATGAAGAATTTGCTTTTATAAAAAGAACCTTCTCATGATATTTTGTCACACAAATTGAACTTGAACTCAAAGAATTTGTTGGATTTATCTATGGCTTAATGATGTTTCCCCTTTTATTTTGGTGTGTGCTGATTTCCTGGGTTCTTTTTAAAATGATAAATTGTCAGACTTGTTGACACTTTAGTCAGTCTATTTTGATTTTTAGCATTTGTGTAATTTTGCAAACAATGTTTGACTCGGGTCTTATTTGCTAATTTGTTAGAAAGTTATTCATTTTTGTTTAATCTTTTAAAAAACATTTTCTAATTGTTCATTATAATATGTCTCATATTCATCAAGAAAATTATAGTTGTATCGCATACTTTGACTCTGGAAATGAAAATTATAAAAATATCTGGTTTTTTTCAGTCTTCATTATTGACATTATTAAGATTTTTTGAAAATTGATTTAAAATATTTCCACACTTTCATGAATACCATTTTTTGTTAAGAAAATAACCACTAGTTTGTATTCTAACCCCAATTTCTGATCCATACTTATCTTAAAGGTTGAAGTTAGAGGTGCCTTATTACTTACTCTTGAAGCAGCCAGGTTGTTAGGGAGGGAGGATGTTGGAATAGCCACTGAGCATGAGCAGATGTTATTAAGGCTTTTGACTCCTTTGGCCAAACTTTACACAGCAAAGCAGGTATTGGTTTTATTCACATGAAATCACTTTGTTACCTTGATTACCTTCTCTGGGGTGTTTCTCTCAGGTGTATAGGATATGTTTGTACAAAACATAAAAAAGCATACCATATTTTCTCGCATTATAAGACTTGTATGCAACTTATATATTTGGGCAACAAAAAATAGAATGAGAAAAAAAGAGATCAAGGTAGAATGAAAAAAAACGTCGTAATGCAACATACACAGACAATAAATACAATTTTAAAAAAAGTATCATACTGGTTCTGCGTTTCTCATGAGTACAGGATGATCTGAAAATTGTAATAGCCTTTTAATAGGAATCCCAATCTCCTTGACTTTCTTTGTCACTTCCCAGCAATTACAAGAAAGCATGTTTACAATAGACAAATGCACCCTGGGATTGATAGGTCATCAGGTGATAAGGTCAAATTTTAGAACAGCCACCATGTCTGTTTACAATATAAATGGCTTGTATGCAACTGACAGGAATAAATGTTATGGGATTATAGGAACTAGTTAGCATAAAAGGATCTCTGTTATTGTTTCACAGTACAGACACTAGTGGAGAGATTGTTCAGCAAAACGTGCTTACCTACATCACATCAAGTACTACATCTTAGCATAGACAATTTTCAAAAGCCCCTAAACAATTTGATATTCCATGTATTATAGATGACCAGGATGATTAGAAAAATATGTAAATAAAGGATTATTTGTGCGTAATTTATTTGTATCCTTTAATAAAGATTTCGCTGACAATCGTAATAAATGGCCTTCCGTTTTGTCCCGTAATATCGACTGATTGCGCATGCTTTTTTAGGAAATCACTGAAAAGACATATTGAAGCTTGTTGCTTCTTTTCTTACTTTTTTAAAGCGAAAATAGATTATGAATATCAATGAAATTTCTGTAAAATCAAATTTTGCGGTTTTCTGGTGATATTGATCTTCATTGGCACTTGATTTTGAGGATAATCACAATTTGCAGTAGTACTATAAGCTACATATCATTTTGTTAACATATATATTTGTGGAATTAGTGTACCCATGAAATCACCAAAAAAATTCCTCGTGAATATTTATGATTTTATAGTATGCTGGTTCAGTACAACTACTAATTAGGTTTGTATTTTTTTACAAGGCGATGTCAGTCGTTTCTGAAGGCCTGGAAAGCTTTGGAGGGCAGGGCTACATTGAGGATACAGGGTTACCTGGCTTACTAAGAGATTCTCAGGTAAGATAACGAGGTTAGAGATGAGATTTAGAAGGTTCAGGTGAGGTAAGGAGGGTAGAGGTGAGATTTAGAAAGTTCAGGTGAGGTAAGGAGGGTAGAGGTGAGATTTAGAAAGTTCAGGTGAGGTAAGGAGGGTAGAGGTGAGATTTAGAAAGTTCAGGTGAGGTAAGGAGGGTAGAGGTGAGATTTAGAAAGTTCAGGTGAGGTAAGGAGGGTAGAGGTGAGATTTAGAAAGCTCAGGTGAGGTAAGGAGGGTAGAGGTGAGACTTTGAAAGTTCAGGTGAGGTAAGGAGGGTAGAGGTGAGATTTAGAAAGTTCAGGTGAGGTAAGGAGGATAGAGGTGAGACTTAGAAAGTTCAGATGACGTAAGGAGGGTAGAAGTGAGATTTAGAAAGTTCAGGTAAGGTAAGGAGGGTAGAGATGAGATTTAGAAAGTTCAGGTGAGGTAAGGAGGGTAGAGATGAGATTTAGAAAGTTCAGGTGAGGTAAGGAGGGTAGAGATGAGATTTAGAAAGTTCAGGTGAGGTAAGGAGGATAGAGGTGAGATTTAGAACGTTCAGGTGAGGTAAGGAGGGTAGAGGTGAGATTTAGAAAGTTCAGGTGAGGTAAGGAGGGTAGAGATGAGATTTAGAAAGTTCAGGTGAGGTAAGGAGGATAGAGGTGAGATTTAGAAAGTTCAGGTGAGGTAAGGAGGGTAGAGGTGAGACTTAGAAAGCTCAGGTGAGGTAAGGAGTGTAGAGGTGAGATTTAGAAAGTTCAGATGAGGTAAGGAGGGTAGAGGTAAGACTTAGAAAGCTCAGGTGAGGTAAGGAGTGTAGAGGTGAGATTTAGAAAGTTCAGGTGAGGTAAGGAGGGTAAAGGTGAGATTTAGAAAGCTCAGGTGAGGTAAGGAGGGTAGAGATGAGATTTAGAAAGTTCAGGTGAGGTAAGGAGGGTAGAGGTGAGACTTAGAAAGTTCAGGTGAGGTAAGGAGGGTAGAGGTGAGATTTAGAAAGTTCAGGTGAGGTAACGAGGTTAGATCTGAGATTTAGAAAGGGGTTGGGGTTTCTTAAATGTTAATATTCTATCTTGTTCATATATGTCAGTTTATAAGCTCAGTACATTGGTATTTAGTTAAGGATGCCAGAGGGTCAATATTTCTATTTTTTTTTCGTATTTCATATGTAAACTGTAGATATACAAAATGTTTTATTTCTGGGTAAATCAAATATTTTCAAAATGGCTGTGGGAAGTTATCATAAAATCATATTCCTGTTTGGCATAAAGCTGAGCTTTTGCTGGTTTGTCGGTGTTCTGTTTTCTTCGGAAGTTTATGGCGGAGTTGGTCAGGGCTAATTTGCTTCAAGTTGTAGTTTGAAAGTTTATAATGCACATGATATAGAAACAAATAACTAAAAAAGTTCTTTTTTCTATGGTAGTAAAATTTGCTGTGAAGTATGACTGTTAAACAGATAAATGAATTTCCATAAACATTCTCAAAAAGATATGATAACGAACGTCTGATTTCTTACAATAAATATTTTGTCTGCAATATAAAACTTTAATGCAAGGTCCTTGAATCAAATGGTATAATAAACAAAATCACTCCGTTTTTTTATCATAGTAGTTTAATGAGATGTTGTATTTAGAGAAATTGAATCAGACATCAGTATTGGCCTAAAATTCCTGTATAAATTCATCATACTTGAACTTACTTTTCAGATAATAAGTTTACAATTTGTGTTAAAATTATCATCCTTCATTTTCCTGTTTAATATTTAAGGGTTTTGCTCATAGTATTTTTAAGGAAAACTTAGTGGTATTCTTTTAAATGTAACCAGTTCGTTTATGCAGACAAACTGGTTCATTAGCATTTCAAAGAAACATTTCAGGCACAGATAGGGACGAACCTGCAAACATTGATACAGGTCTTGAAAAGCTCACTTGACGCTTGTCAAAAATGAAAATATGATTAGTAGGTCAGTCCTTATTGTACAGTTAGTTATATTAGTGAGAAATTTATATTCACGATTTTCGTAGTCATTGAAGGTAGCATGAAATTACATACCCAGCGAACAGTGCTGCAGTGAATAAAGTATCTGTTATGCTTGTATATATAGATGGACAGACATCAGTTCATATACATTTGTGAAATTAAATACCCATTGGCTAGTTCAAACTTGGACAACCGCAAAATATTACCCGCACAAAATTAAACAAGTGTACAGTATTTCATTAACAAACAGCCCAAGTCTAACTGGTCAGACCAATAGGGAAAACTTGCGTATTCCTAAGCAGACTATTAGCTCCTGAAAGGAAGGTGATATCTATGAAGGATATTGATTATGATAACGGCAAAGAATTAAATATGTAACTGTTTATTATAAATATGGATATTTAAGAGGTGTATGTTTATTTTAGTTCAGTGTACTGAGTATAGCCTCAAGGTCAAAAGGTTATTGAACAATTAAGAACCGATTGGTGCAACTTTCATAGTTAAACGTACCAGGTGCAGTTGTATTTTTATTACCTGTAGGTACTGCATTTGCAATGTCTAAATTTTGGCTCGCATAGATACTCTACCTTTGAATGGATCTTAATTGAAATTGAGGGTATTGTCACATACACCCTTAATACCGTTGTATTTTTATTACCTGCAGGTACTGCCTATATGGGAAGGTACGACCAACGTCCTTTCGCTTGATGTACTTAGAGCTCTTATGAAGACCAATGGTGGAGTACTCAAGGTCTGGCATGATAATATAATTTACAGAATTGAATCTGCTGGTCAACACCAGGAACTCTCACATGCAGCAGAAAAGGTCACCAAGTGCGCCTCATCTGTTGTTGACTTTGCTAAAACACATTCAGATGTATTGGACAATGCAGCTCGAGATTTTGCCTACAGTTTGTCAAGGACGTTTATAGGTAAACTTTAGTTTGAATGTTTATTTTGCAACCTTACACAGAATATAGAGCAAACTAGCTCTTACAGCTTGGAGGCATAAAATCTTAATGAAAGATTTCTGTGGAACAAAATTCTTATTTGAAAAGAAATAAATGGAAAATAAATATTCAAAATTTTTGAAGTGAAAATTCCCTCGTCAATGTAATGAGAACCGTAAATATGGGTGTCACATTAAATGTGGGTGTCACATTAGATATGGGTGTCACATTAGATATGAGTGTCACATTAAATATGGGTGTCACATTAAATATGAGTGTCACATTAAATATGGGTGTCACATTAGATATGGGGGTCACATTAGATATGAGTGTAACGTTGAAATATGAGTGTAACATTGAAATATGAGTGTTGCACCGTGAACACAAATTTAAAACAATAAACATTGTTTGTTGTAAATGCAAGTGTCGTTCATGTATTGATGTTTCTACTGTACAGGTGCCTTGCTGGTACAGCACGCTGTAGAAGCTGGATCGGACCCAACAGACATCTACGCAGCACAAAGGTACAGTGATTATAGAAATCAGAGTGTATACCTCAAACATGCGCCTTCAGTAACCAGGTTTCATTCATGTGTCTATGAAGTATCATACAGAAATGGGGTCTTGTATCTTTTTATTGTGACCCTTTCTTAACCATAAGTCTTTTTGGGGCAAATCGCATATATCCACCAATAAGCCCATGCTAGATATTAAGCACATTCATATCTATTGCTGTAGCTTTGCCTACAAACACCATTTCCTTACCCAGTAATTATAAGCTACCCCAGGAGTATTGAGTCAGAATTAATATGTTGGCCTTGTATGCATATGCTTACTACAAATACATTTTAATATTGGCGTCATCTTCTTTGTCTGTCTGTCCGTACGTCCGGCAGTACGTTCATTTCTTGTGAACGCAACTCCTCCTAAACTAATCATCAGATTTTCACGAAACTTGCTCAATGTCACTACTACAATGGGTAGATGTGCATGAAGGGGTGATTTTTAGGTACTTTAATTTTTGTAAGATTTATGCCATTTTCAACTTTGTGTCTGTAGCTTGCTCGTAGTGGAGCTTTGTGAACGCAACTCCTCCTAAACTAATGATCAGATTTTCATAAAACTTGCTCAGTGTCACTAATTCAATGGTTCGATGTACATGAAGGGGCAATTTTACGGTTCATTGATTTTTGTAAGATTTCTGCCAATTTATCTTGATCTTTATATTTTGTGGCGGTGTATATTGTGTCCACGGCACTCTTGTTTTCTTTTATAACATGTAAGTAATAATTCTATTGAAGTCATAAATTTTTAATTCCTTTTTATCAGATGGTGCGAGAAAGATTTGACTCCAGTGATTACGAACCAGAACAGACGACATTTTTCCTCTGAGAGCACTGATCTTGACTTCCAACTGCTGTTCAAAAATTACCACGATAGAAGTCGACTATAAATCACGGTCACTTGTAGACGACAATGATTCTGAAGGCAGAGTTGAAAAATTTGATTTCATAAGGACAATCATTGGAATTACGTTAAACATATAGGGCAAAATTGAATTTTTGATTAGATTTTTAAAATTACTGAAACATTTTGCCTGAAATATCTATTAACATGTAGTGTGTGTTTATTTTGTGGTTTTGTTTGATGCAATGAATAATTTCTGAAACAAAGGTATTTATGGTGTAAAAAGAACATAAGCGGTTCTTGTGTTCAAATGCACCACCAGAACATGAAGGTTTGTATTGATGAAAACAATGGTGAGCTAAAAAAAACCGAAGATGATGTCATGATGAACACGTGGAATATATTTGGGCCTCCTTTGCAGAACAATATACCTGACACAGACTTTTGTAAACAGATAAAATTCTCACGTACAGATGACCCAAAATCCGGATAAGCCAGTTTTTGTAGATGTGTAGTCAAGGGTAATGTACATATTTAGTTTAGTTGAGTGTTTCTCAGCAGAAATATCAGTCAGTTACATATCTGAGACCTGCTATTGTATTGTAATTTATCAATCTGACCAGTTGAACCAAGAATGTTCCATCCCGAAATATGGACAAACCTACTGATTTCATTTTGCTCTTTGATGAGCCTCGAAAAAAAGCTTTTCAAAGCCTTTCAAATATCTTTCAGGTCTGTTCCAATTAAAGGCTGAAGGATTATATTTGAATTGATGAAGAAGCAGGTTTTCCTTGTGAAACAAATCAGCCCAGAACAATGGGAAACTGACTTTTTACTAGACAAATGTAAAATACATGAAGTGGAAACTGACTTTTTACTAGACAAATGTAAAATACATGAAGTGAAAACTGACTTTTTACTAGACAGATGTAAAATACATGAAGTGAAAACTGACTTTTTACTAGACAAATGTAAAATACATGAAGTGAAAACTGACTTTTTACTAGACAAATGTAAGATACATGATGTGATTGAATACCTGGTACGAAAATATATTAATGAGTGAACATTTAAAACAAATTTTTATATGCTGTGTGCCTTAATCGTGTGATTTTTATTTGTTTTGTTTTGACAGCGAAGTTGGAATAAGAATTTGACATATTTTTGTGACAAAGTGCTTCCCAATTTTCATTCACGAGACAATAGATTGATCTACTGTATTAAGTTTATGCATCATATTGCAAATTTAGAGATTGAGTGATAAATTTTGTTGTGTAATTGATGTATTTGCATACTTCCCTGATAATAACAATAGGAAGATTTTATGTACCTCTTCCATTTTATTTTACGATGAGGATGGGACATTGGTAACGGCCATCTGGTGTCCACCCATTCTGTCCCTTTGTGCTGGGATCAGGTTCTGAATCAAATCAACCTTCAGAAGTTGCTCAACAGATTTGATACACATTTATTTTATGGTATCGTAACATCAGGTTCTGCACCATATTGTAGTCAGGTGGTCATTGGTTAAGGTTAATGGGTCAAAGGTCACTTTTGACAACTTTTGCAAACTAATTCATTAATAATGCATGGGAGAAGGGACATTCATGTCTTAATGACATATTTTCTAGTTTAATTGTATTTTAATTGCCAAACTTCAGACCTAGATACACAGATAAACTATCTTTCTGAGACCAGTTTGCTAGCCCTTTAGCCATTTTTAATGGAACTTTAGTACCATTTCTCTGTCATCTAAACATAGGGTGTTTATCATTAAACTATATTTGGTAATGAACTTACCATTGTTTATCATAGTATTGGCCGTGTCTGGTAATAAGCCCACCCTTGGCAAGTTTATCTGTTATTATTTGGTAATAATCTTTCCATTATCAAATACCTTTTAGCTGGCCTATGTTTTTCTGATAATACGACCGTGTCTGGTAATAAGCCCACCCTTGGCAAGTTTATCTGTTATTATTTGGTAATAATCTTTCCATTATCAAATACCTTTTAGCTGGCCTTTGTTTTTCCGATAATACGACCGTGTCTGGTAATAAGCCCACCCTTGGCGAGTTTATCTATTATTATTTGGTGATAATCCTTTCATTATCTAATACTTTTTAGCCCTCCTATGTTTTTCTGATAATATGACTGTCTGGTAATAAGACCACCCTTGGCTGTTTCTGGTACATCGTTATATTTATCATTGTACTATGTTCATACATAATTATCCTTGAGCCCATATATCTTTGTTACATGCCTGGTAATACAAATACTCCACTTATCTGTAGATCCTTGTATACTACGTTCTGTAATAAGCCCATGTCCTAGAGTTGGACAGTGTGTATTGGTCTGCTATGATGATTATATGATAAAAAAGTCTGGCCAATTAATGCAGCTTGTAACATATGGAATGTGAGTAGAACTTGGAACCTTTTTTAACTTATTTAGTCTGCGATAATTTGATAGTTTAGAAGCAAGTTATTAAAAGATCTGGCTCCGATGAATACTTTCAGGTCTATTTAGAAAAAGATATATGGACTTCGTATATTCCAATCAGAGTAACTTGCTACATTAAAAATCAAATTAAATATTCATTTTGGGCTTTTTCATTTATTGTCATGTAATTCCCAAAGCCGTGTTGTCTATTTCATTTGTACAATTCTTGTTACTGTTTTTGTGTTTGTTTTCATATTGCACATAGGAATACTCACTTGCCTGTGATCAGTATGGTAATGAGAGGTGGATATGTCAAGTCATTCTTGTAATACCATTTTCGAGCCAATCACAAATATGTACTGTAAAAGAATGAATTTTCTTGCTTAATCAGTTTTTGTTGATTTCCTAAGTACTTTCAGTCCACGAATTCATATGTCCACAAACTGTTAAATTTTGTATAAGAAGCTTTATTTGGTTTTATTTATCCAAGAAATCATGTGTCCACAAAATAGTGATTTTTTGGAAAACCACGAAAATTGAATCCCACAAAAATAAATGATTTCGCAGTAATATCCTCCTTGCCCTGTCCACATATAGAATAACCCTTATTCCTGACATGTTTCATAACAAATGTATATACCTGCATTTCTGAAGTATGTTACATTCTTCAATTGGCTGAAACAAATTTACATACGAATATTATTTTTACTTAATCATATATTGTAGCAATATCTGTGATTCATACATTTTCAATATACTTGTTATTATAGAGTAAAACACTTATGATGAATTCAAGGAAACTTCCAAATTTTGGATGCTAGTCTGTTAATATCGTAGAGAATTGTATTTATGTCTCATTGTAGATTATAATGTCATACGTTATAATTAAAGTATTATATTTACCTGTACTCAGAATGTCAAAGTTTTTAAGTCCCATTTACAACAAAAACTTGATGAATCGTTTGAGTTGAGTTCTGTTTAATTCAATGTTTTCCATTTCAAATCAATTTCATTTTTTTTTAAATACATGTACTGTATAGTCAATTATTTTCATGGATATAATTATTTTAATATCTTGTGGTATTTAAACATGATTGCAAAAATTTTATTTTTGAAATAATGAAACATGTGTGAAAGAGATGTCATTTTACATCCAGATTGCGATATTTTAGGTCAGTGAAATATAATTTAAAAAGAAAATTGCGAAAAATTTTGACCCATTAAAATGACCAGCTATACCTTACAGAAATTAATATTCATAATGATTCTAAGTTACAAGATGTGGTTTTGTATTGACAGTATATTCAAGTTTTTGATCATTGTTTTAAAATGATTCCAATTGTTAAAAAAAATGAATTCCTTTTGTCTTTCTTAATCACAATGTCCAAGATGAAAAAAAGACTTTCTAGAAATCTGGTTTACTCGATAAATGTGAATAAAGACATTGATGCACACATCAAGGTGTTTTTCTGTATGTTATTTAAGAAGAAATACCTATTTATAATTTTCTTGTATTTCTGTCTATCACAGCCAGAGTATATACTAACTTGAAAAATAATATATACATAAAATTGACCATAGAGTCTAACAGCCATCAGCTTTGTGAAAATCTCAGAAGTAGATTTGACATAAGTACTATAGCAGTATATAAAATATAGGTCACAGTTACCCGGATTTATTTTTGCCAACATACCAGTGTAGTTAACTACATTCCTTTGATTATACTTATATTCAGATTTTATCAAGATATGTTTCTAAGTAAGTAAGTAAGATAAGTATATAGTTCAAGAATTTAAAAATGGTGATCACAAACTTCCATCCAGAAAATTTACGATACTTATAAATAATTCGCATTCGAAGTTCAACAACAACCCCAAACCCTCCAAGACCTTTTAATATGGATCAAGATATCAAGGTCATGTTTTTCTTGAACTTTTGATGGGCTTTTATCCTTGTAGCCTTTTTCTTATAACCTAGCTAAATGTCATGGTCCTATGCCATTTAGTTTTTGAGTAGAAGTTATTTAATAGTAAAAGTGGACACTGGATGAATGATGGAAGTCTTACTACGAAACAAGATTACATTGCAAGGTCAAAGGTCTTCTTATAAGTATAACTTAGCATACCCCTCAGAAGTAACATTGTCATTACTAAAAATGGGACTTAATATTAAAAAATGCCTTGGGGGGAAACTATAAGCAAATAATCATTTTTATCATGAACTTGGATAAATCCACATCTAAATGTGTGGTTTTATGAAAGTTCTGAAATCTCTTCACTGTTAAAACTGACCAAATCATTTCTTGATTGAAATGAAAATTTCCACACATAATGATATCAAAGAAAATCCCAATATAGAGTTTTTTCATAGCCTTAAAGCAAATTTTTATTGTGATTAATCTTCTCTGCAGTAAATCCCTATCAAAAATAAAAAAAAGATATAGAAAAAAACCAAGACAAGGTTGAAAATATTTATATCACATTTATTGTGTTTTGTCATGACATTGGTACATACATTATAATGATATTGATCAACTTGACTACAAACAAGCATTTGATATTGACTGAATTACAGGACAACAGTAACTACGCTGTATGATATTTACGTTGTACACGAGGAGTATAGGCACAATAGATATTGTTTTTTTTTGGCCCCCAAAAATAAAGATAAAAAGAACACAAACATAATTTGTTCAATCAAAAAATAATAAAATGATTTATCATACCAAGCATGATTATTGTTTTGGTAACAAAAAAGCGTAAGATTTGTATGAAAGACAAGAAAAAAAAAAATTTGAAAGTGAAAAAAAACCCCAAAATCCATAATTCTACTATGACAAAATAACATGAAGATGAACACTTTTTTGAAATATATATAAGCGAACTGTAATTTTTAACAATACTTACGCTAGTTCATACTTTCACCCTTTATCAAGTCAATCACAACAGCGTCAGAGTGAGTTCTTTAGATTTATAACTAACCCTCAACTGCTTTCGTCCTCTCTGGGCTTCATCAGGACCCTGATCATTTCCTGATGAAGTCAGAGAGGGTGAAACTAGTTGTCGGTTAGTACTGAATTTAAAGAACTGACTCTGATGCTGTTGTGATTGATATTCCTCACTTGATTTTCCTGACAGTTCAATCACCCTGCACACTCTCGTGTATTCAGCTGTAGAGTAAAGAACTTACAACACAACCAACCAGCAGTAACTATGCTGGTTCTATTAGTAAATCGCTCCAAACACTTCTAATTATATTACAAACCAATGGGAAACAAATATTTTTAATTTCTGTCAGCAAATAAGGGTGGATGGGTGTGTGGGGCGGGGTGTGTGGAAGTGCATTATGAAGAAGAATAATAAATGCACTTTAATGACCGAAAATGTCATTTGACTAAAATATATTGATTTTGGCACATTTTGAGACACAAATTATAGATAACTTACTATAAATCATGATAAAAATCTGAACAATTTACTTTTGTTATTAGGCAGTTTCCACATTTCAGCTAAATCGGTCGAGCAGCTGAATGGGAACCGGACAGTTTGATCCTGGTTTTATTGTTCAAAGTTACAGAATTTTTTTTTTCAGATGGCAGTGTTAAGGTATATACATGTATGTCTTGTCATTAGCAAGCATATTTCCCTGGAATACTAGAAGTTTTCTACATCCATAATGCCCATATTTATGCAATACTAAACAATTAGTCAAGGAAACCAGGAAAAACCTGTTAATATTTCATAATTTAGTTTTTGATTTTCAATATTGAACTTGATTATATACCATATATAGGAAATAAATTTCAAAATCATAACTATTCAACCTATCAGTATCTACTCAGTGTGATGTATTTCTGGAATATTACTTTGTATACGTAGCATATCATTTGCAACCATTCAAATGTCTTCACAACCAATACAGTTACATATGTATTATAAAAATATCTTATTCTTGAATCATTTCGATTTATGACATTTTCCAAACGAATTCGACCAAAAAGTCCAAAATAATCTAACAAAATTTACAGTCTGTCCACAAAATTATACAGAGATAAACAGAAAACATAAAAGATCAAAAATTAGTCCAAAGTTCATTATGCAAAATGGTTTTGGTTAATATTGAGTTCACATAACACTAATTTTTCATATTTAGTCTTTTCAAATTCAATCTGTTTTTGATTGAGTGGTAGGGTGGCGCAGTGGTAACGCACTCGCCTTTCACCCAGCCGACCGGGGTTCGATTCCCGGAACGGACATGAAAAGGTAAGGGGTCACATGCCCGACCACATGGGTTTTCCCTGGGTTCTCCGGTTTCCTCCCACAATAAGACCCCTTGCGGCTTACATCCGGTCCAACAAGAGTGATTAGTATAAGTTAACGTAACTTGTTTCGCAATTGTTATAAAATAAATAAAGTTTATATATAATCTGTTTTTGACTGCGTGCAGTGAAGACATATATAACCCTTTAAGGTATCTTTTGAGAGTTTTCTCCCCTTGTGGTTTAACATGAAATCTTGTTCATTTTTATAGTAAATGATACCTTTTTCTATTCTATAGATATCAATATTGATGAAAATACAACAATGGTCAGATACAAAGTAGTGTTAATCCTTAGAGGAAAAACAACATTATATGAATTGGAATCTGTCTCTGGACAATATAAGGACAGCAATTGTTAAACCCTAATAATTTGTAGACAGACATATTACATATTCAATTGTAAACACTGATCCGTCTTTGGAATCTAATATTCAGGTATTTGCAATTTTATCATAATGAATAACAATTAGGTAATATTTCAATATTTTAAATATTTTTATCTCATTTCATACAACACATTTCCAACTGAAAAGTGTATTTAAACTTCAATAAGCAAACATTTGGAAATAAGTCAAATACCTAGAGCAGGTTCAACAGAAAATCTCAAAATTGTTTCATCACTGCCTTGCAATAAGGCCAACTTCTTCGTTCAGAGTCAGAGGTTCTGTGCTGCCCTACCGATCTTATTTTCAGATAATTGCATTAAACTGCTGTACAATATACAATATTTCATGTTTGTTTGGCAAAATAGAGGCATTAAAAGGACTTCAGCAATAGTTAGGGTGTCGTTAATGAAAGCATTCAGAATTGACATAAAGAAAGATTTAAAGACTAGTAAGGTTTTAGTAGATTTTGTAACATATGGCAGATAGTAGTCCATAGGGTTCGTCCTTTTTATCTGTGACAGAGAAAATATAGATCAGAGCTAAACAGTCATTCCAGCTTATAAGCTCCTTTCATTTAGAACACATTTAAAACAAAGGCAAGAAAATGTGTGCAACAGTGTTGATATTCAGTAACCTCATCATATATATATCATATATATATCATATTGTATATTTGGTAAATATATTATAGATATTTTGGTCAAATACTAGAGCATCATGAAGGCATAAGCTTCTTTCAAAATGAAATGAAGATTTTTGATGTGTAAACAAAATTTGGATCTGATAAACAACAATTTATCTAAAAAAATAATTAAAGATTTTTGATATGTCAGCAAAGTTTGGATCAGAACAAACAACAATTTGCCTAAAAACTTTAATTAAGATCTTTGATATGTCAGCAAAATTTGGATGATAATTAACAATAATTTATCCAAGACAAAAAAGCAATGATAAATAAAGATCTGAAAAATGAAGAAAAGAAAAAATAAATATTCACAAAAAAGACTTGAATTAAAAAGGAAAATATACTGGTACTGTACTGACCCAAAACTTTTTGTTAAATGTTCTAAACATTTTTGATGAAGTAAAGCATATTGATTAATGAAATGACACAAGACAATGGAGGATTTTATGAACTTCAATGTATAATGGACAATGACCTGAAGAAATGAACATGGAAGGCTGCTGTTTTGGTGAAGCCATTCAAATTATGAAAATTTGATATTACAATATCTGTTGTAGACACTTGACAATTTTCACAAATCACTCACTCCTAAGGCTGTGTTTATAAAACAATAGAACTATATCTGAGTCTCGATGTAAAATTTCAAGCTTATACCCAACTTGGTGTCCACGTAAATAACAGATCACATCACCATCGACTACCACAAAATAAAGTAAACATTCCAAAAAAGAAATTAGAGTTTTTAAAATCATCTGTATCAGGAAAAACTGTCATTCTAAAGTTGTGTGCTGACAATCATTCATGTGTCACCATTTTTCATTATAATGCTTTTAACAATTCATACTGAACTGAATTACTCAGTCCTTTTCTTAAAACAAGGACAAAACAACAAGCTGTTGGCAGAAACATTATTTCAATAGAATGTCTTGCAACACAGAACTTAAACTTCCACCATTATGATAAAACACATCTTTTCATTCCAGGTAACATTGACCTTTGACCTTGTACATACAAATTTTGTATCTTGCCTTAAACTTTGTGACAACCAGGTTTTTGATACTGGTACAATGACCTTTGGTATCTGAACTTTGACCTATGACACGTGAAATGGAAACAAGAGGTTTACTTAATTTGCATTTGTTTAGTTTTAATGGGTTTTTAATGAGAGAGAAACTCTAAAGTTTATTAATTTGAGTTCTATTTTTCTATATTCTCACAGATGGAATAGAATAAGACAAAAAAAACCCAAAATTCTCTTGAAAATACAATTATTCATCTGCACCTGAGATAAAGCCATAGCTAATTCTAAAATCAAAGAGAACATTACATTCTTGATATAATTCCTTGGAAAAAAAATTTGAACAATTATAATATAAAACAATAGTCCCTTGGGCCTTAATGGTCCTCTGACTATAAAGACCTATATATGAAAGAGGCAAAATAGGCCTAAAATAAATTGCTTAACTACTTAACAACTGACAGAGAAGACATTGTTGGTTCATCAAGACATTTTCAGCAAACTTGAAATCATATTCTTTACAATTGCACTTCACAATTGCCATTACTCCAGACATATTCTTGTTAAAAAAAAAAGCTACAGGCCCTATATCAAGACCCTTGGCTTTTTGGTTATTGAGAAGAAGTTGCTTAATCATTTCAACACATTGGTCCCCAGTGACCTTGAAAGTTGGTCCAATATCAGCACCCTGGTCCTCTTAAGTTATTGAGAAGTCATTCTAACACATTTGATACCTGTGATCTTGAAAGTGGGTCAATGTCATTCATATTAACAAAGTTGGTAGCCCTTCACTCCTAGCATGCTACAGACATAACATCATCATCTTTGGTCTTTTGGTTATTGAGAAGTCATTGAAAGATTATGACATATTTGATTTCTGTGACCTTTCAAGCAGATCAAAGTCATTCCTATTAACCTGGGGTCAAATCAATTTTCTGAATTTAAGAAATAACTCCCAAATCTCCATGATGTTTTAGACTAAATTTTGTTGAAACCCATTCAGAATTAAAAACTTCCCCTTTTGGTTGAAATCCATTCAAGCATTAAGAAAGAGTAGCATTTTGAAGCAAAATATTCCAAACTTCCCCCTTTGGGGACCCGCCCCAAAGTCCCTAGGGTTGAATCAACTTTTTGAATTGAAGAAATGATTCCCCACTATCAAAGACGTTTCAGACCAAATTTGGTTGCAATCCATTCAAGCATTAAAAAGGATTAGCGTTTTGAAGCAAAGTATTGTCTTATTTTCCCTTCTGGGGCCCCGCCCCCAAGTCTCTAGGGGTCAAATCCTATTACTAAATTTCAGAAATAATTGCCAACTCTAACTGATAAATCAGGTGAAAGCTTGTTAAAATCCACCCAGGCAGAAAGGAAAAGTAGAGTTTTAAATGTAAATTCAGCACCTCCCCTTTTTGGGCCCCTTCCCTTGACCCTTAAGGGTCGAATCAAAATTCTGAATTTAAGAAATGATTATCCTTACCCAATGAAGCATCAGACTATATATATGAAAGAGAAGTAGGGTTTAAAAAAAAAGTTTATGCCTGATGCATGACGACAAATGATGCATGATGGATATAGATCATCTCGACTCTTTGGGTCAAAAGGCTGAATAGAAAGGTGAAATGAGACAGTAGTCCAATTACTATATGCTTTTACATCATATTCAATTTTTGAACAAAGCATATCTACATAGCAGTATTGAAACTAAGCAAATCCATAATATACAACACATTATGTAACTGTGACAAATTTTCACATCTATTCTAAAAAGAAATTCTTAAAGACACAGGCTGTTACTGTCTCATAACAAAGAATAATACTTTATTTTTTCTTTTCACTTTCATCCAAAGGATCACAGATCTGATAATTTTTTGTGTGAAAATTTCAATTAACAGTTAATTTCCTCTTGGATTAATTGAACGATCAATATTCAAATAACGTTTAATCCTTCGTGACACAAACTAAATTAAAATCTACGTTTGAACATTATTTAGTACCATGTAATCACAGAATATCAGACGAATAATGCTGAAATATCAATCACATACATCAATATACATTTTATAAATTGATGACATCCGTCTCTTTTTGAGAAGATCACTTTAAAAAGCATTTCAGATCCTTTAGTTCAATATATATAATAATACTAACATTTTCCTCTAGAGAAATGATTCTACTGCACATTATAGATACAACATCACATGTAAAATATCCTGATTGAGGTTTGTGTTGGACAGTAAATAAAGGATGGGGTGGGGATTTAACGCCCTTCCTATCTATACAAGTATAAAGTAACAGAGATATAATTAACATATTTCCACATACCTTAACAATTCAAGAACTATTATTTAACGCAAGTCACCAACAATTACAAAGCTACACAGCAGTAGGCATCTCTTTGTATACATTTTGAACAGATTTCCTTCTTTTCTTTAAAAATTGACCAGTAATACAGACCATTGTCATCCACATTTAGCGATGAAAAAATCTGACAAGATTTAGCAATAATCAAATTTTTTCCCAGTTTTACATTATACATGTATATCTAAACTTTGGTTTTTTGGAAACATGGTACTTTACACAGGACACGTCAACCTGATTTAACCTGAACTTTGATTCCTACTTAAAAAAACTGACCTATGACCTCAGACAATCAGGATGTTGGTTCTCTCCCACTCCATCAGGAGTCCTATTTTTTTAATCTGATTATTCTTCCAATATAATCTGAAAAGACTGCGATTTTAGCCAAACTGGTTTATCGATAATTTGAATATATCTTTTTTGTCTTTTATTTACAAAATATTTATCACGTAAAAAGATTTGAAATATTAAAATACATTCATTGCAAATCTGAAAAGAAAATCAGAATAATACAAAATCTACAGCTTGTGAAAATTTATCAACCCAAATATATCCAGGTTAACAGGAAAAAAAGAAGATGAAATGTTAAGACTCTCAGATGTGCTGATACAGAAAAATCTCAACCTTACTTTGAGATTTTTTCTAACCTTAATATAGGACATCTATATCCAGGTCTTTTACCAGTGTTTTAGATTTCCTGGTCTCACCTTAGGGTTGAGATATGAGGGGGCTCCCCTTGTCAGGACAATGGTATGACGTCACAGTCATGTTTTGTATATATGATGTCACGACAACAATGAGAAGCTCTGACAAAAAAAAAAAAAAAAAAAAAAAAAAATATTCCTTTATCTCAATAACAACTTGGCAAATGTTTTTCTTTTACCCTGCAAGAATTCTTAGGTATGTATTTTTGTTGATCCAGCATTTTGCAATAGTAATGCGACATTATAGTCATGAAAGCAAAAATATGAGATAATTCTTTCTCCTACCCTTTTACTGGTGTGAGATTTTACTGGTGTGAGATTTTTTTGTCTCACCTTCAGATCAAGATGGGGAAATTCTTATGTCAGGACAATGATATAACATCATAGTAACCATTCAGGGATGTCAATTCAATAATTAAATCACATCAATGATGTGAAGCATTGAGACAACAAAATTTGATAAGAGTACATAATAAAGCCAGCAAGGTAAGCAAAAAGTAATTGGTAAAATGGGTGATCTCAACCCTCCAGTACAGATGAGGCAAGCTTTGTGTTTGCTAACTTAATCACCTTTCCTCTCGTGTTGAAATACAACTATCTCATCTCCATAGGAGTGAATTAAGTATTCTATTAAACTCACATCAGTAAAATTGTGGCTACACCTATCCTGGGTAAGAGTAAGGGAAATCTCAACCTATGGGGTAAGATTATTAAGTTGATGAACACAAGGCTTGTTTTATATGGTATATAGTTATAATGATATATATATATCTTCAACAAGGAAAAACCATTTACTAAAATCTGAAACTGATTGTGAACACTTTCATGGTTTGGTAAGTTAGAATTATAACAATATAACAAATGTTTGAAAATATATCATCTGCAATTGAAGGATACATAATTAACGACCATCAGCTTGGCGGCTCACTGTCCATACTAGATTTTCTTCTCTGATGCAGCTTTTCTGAGGTCATGATTTCAAGTTCACGATTTTTCCAAAAATCAAAGTTCTGTTTTATGTGCATGGTATTGTCTGCAACTCTTGGGTCAGGTTTTCCGTAGTCTGGCGGGTTGGCAAAGGGATCGTATCCTAGAGTTTTTAACATGGGAGCTATGGTTGCCATATCAGTCTTATCTTGTTGCGGTATATGGGCCACCCAGCGACTTAGAGCTTCTACATTCACCGGACGAATCACTTGGTCAGAGGATTTCTCTGTTCTGTTGACAATAAAATCATGAATTAAGAAACAGGTTTAAATACAAACCAGAAAATACCTATACGACATATATGCCCTCTCTCCTATGCAAACCAGAATCTGATCAGGTGTCGAACTTAATATTTTATAAAATACTATAGGGATAGTATGAAGTTTTTAAAAGAGATTTTCACAATAAATATAAACTTGATCTCACAACAATCATTTTAAGATGCACAAAGACAAGACAGATATGCTTAATTAACATTAATTGCCTCCCACGAAATGGCAAGAGTACAAATAGGACTACCATGTATGTACAGGTATGTCTTGTGTTTTGACATCGGAATAAGAGAGAAGGCCAGACGCAAAATCACAAATGACAAAGTCAGACAGTTGGAAACACAAATTTATATCATTTCTTGAAGAATAACAAAATAATAGGTATGAAAAAGTTTTATGAAATTTAAAACTCCAAGTCCAAAATGAGTGAAAGAATATTGGAAAAACAAGATGATAAAAGCATAAGTACAGCATATCTGTCAACTCAATGTTACCTCAACCAGAATTTCATAAGAAGGTGTCGTCCTGACAAGTACCTGAGGTATAAAGAATCTAATACCATTACCAAACAGGAATGAAGAATTCATCAATAGATATTTTACATTCTACAAAAAACAGCAAGCTCACGAAAAATTACAATGGAAACTCCTCAAGTTCTTACACATCAAGAAATAAATGTTTCTGTTCGACTCATATTCAACTTATGGTTAAAAGGACTAAAAAAATTTGATGAGATCATCTGAAAACTTAGAGAAATTAAGAGATTTCTGGCCAATGTTAGGATCCATAAAAAAAGGGGACACAACTCTTCATAAAAACAAAATCAAAAATGCCATGTCGGGAAACACAATGTTATAACACAGAATTTACATTTAAGTTAATCTCATAGCCTTTAGAAGCATAGAAATTGAAAAATGACTCCACTTATGTATACAGAAGGACTCTATTTAACTTAAAAATGACCTATTTCTAAAGTATTCAATTGTAAACTATGAAATTTAACATCATTGTATCAATATTAATTGAAATTTTTATGTAAAAAAAAATTACCTTTTGTATCCATAAAATAAAATTAAGTAAATCAAAATTACTGTACAATTTTTTCTTTACATGTACTTATCATATTTCTTCAAAATATGAATTGATTTCATAACAAACAGATTAAGTGCAATAAGTCAGTTACTAATTATCGATATATAAGTAAATTAAACTCTAAAAGGTTGTTTGCCCATTTTTTCGACTTTTTTTTTCAATATCAAAGACTGAATCAATAAAATCAAAGTCCTAAACGATAATTTTTTATCAATATATTTTGCTGAATTTATTTTCCATCTTCTTTTGTTATGAATTCTTTTCAAAACAATATCATGTGTATCCCTCCCATCCCAGCCCCACCCATTCCCATACATTTTTTTCCACATGCATTGAATTTTTTCAGAACAATTACCATCAGAAAAAAAAACCATATAAATCCATATACTGTACAGTACTATATCTGCCCTGGTCTAGAATCCTGATATTCCTGGAATCAATATTTCTGATCAATTTTCAGAACATAGTTGCTACATTGACCAAACAATTAGCTCAATGAATTACTGCTAACAATTAATCAACACACACCACTACATACACAAACAGGTAAATAATGCTGTTTGACTGTGGATTTGAACATCCTATGAAATGAAGGCCTCTCATAACTATAGGCTCACTAAAGAATCAATACTAACATAGAATTCATACTGAGATCAATTTTTTCATCAGTATGTTGGTTACCCATTTTTCTATTAATCAGAGGTATGAGCTGTTTTTTTTTTAACCTTGCATGTGTCTTTTAGCAGTAGCGGAGTTTTTTTTATTGCATAAGGGATGTGATGTTTTTTGTAAAACTTTGAATTGAAGATAATATTTAATATTTAAGAGTAGATAGGTATACATGAAATAGATAGGTATATATGAGGTGAGTATGGGGAACTACGGTAATAATAAGCTACCAAACAGATGACAAAATGATTGTTACATAATAAATTAACCATGGTTTTTGTCATACAAACCCAGATGTTGTCTTATTCATTTCACAGAATGTCAAAATCAAAAGTTTTCAGACACCTGATTTGTTTACAGGATTTAAAATGGAATTATATGTATAATGACGTTCATTTATAATTCCTTTCAGTTTTGATGATTTTTGAAAAATTAATGTATCAAATTTGATCAATTCAGTCATTTTCCTGAAATTTTGAAGTGCAGTTGCAAATTCAATAAAACATGCAAAATAGGATCAAAGAAATTGAATGAGAATGGATTTTGCACCCCGACGAAGATTGTTCTAATGAAGTGTTTTACTAAACAATGGCAATATTACTATCATCATCTGTTGAAATATGCGTGAAAATATTTTACAATTGCACATCGTACAGACTAATTTTCTTTTAAAAAAAAAATGTACACATCCAAAACATTAATTAATCACTTTTCCGTGACAAGCACCATTTCAAAATTAAACATAAACTTGTCATTGAAATTTGAAATATCATACACGTATGAAAAAGATCTGAGTTCATTTTAAAATGTCAATAAAAGAAGCTCTCAAAGGTCTGCTAAAAGCCTTGAATACAACTAAATGCAACAAGATCGCAACATATCAGACATTTTGTCTGAATCCAAAGACAAGTCAATAAGTCAGAGTCATAGGTTCTCACCATAATCGTAAGTAAGTGAATAGTTTCTCACAATAATCCTAAATAAATGAATGGTTTCTCACCATTATCCTAAATAGATGAATAGTTTATCACCATAATCCTAAACAGATGAATAGTTTCTCACCATTATCCTAAATAGATGAATAGTTTCTCACCATAATCCTAAATAAATGAATGGTTTCTCACCATTATCCTAAATAAATGAATGGTTTCTCACCATTATCCTAAATAAATGAATGGTTTCTCACCATTATCCTAAATAAATGAATGGTTTATCACCATAATCCTAAATAAATGAATGGTTTCTCACCATTATCCTAAATAGATGAATAGTTTCTCACCATAATCCTAAATAAATGAATGGTTTCTCACCATTATCCTAAATAGATGAATAGTTTCTCACCATTATCCTAAATAGATGAATAGGTTCTCACCATAATCCTAAATAGATGAATAGTTTCTCACCATTATCCTAAATAGATGAATAGTTTCTCACCATAATCCTAAATAGATGAATAGTTTCTCACCATTATCCTAAATATGGTTTCTCACCATTATCCTAAATAAATGAATGGAATATCCTAAATAAATGAATGGTTTCTCACCATTATCCTAAATAAATGAATGGTTTCTCACCATTATCCTAAATAAATGAATGGTTTCTCACCATTATCCTAAATAAATGAATGGTTTCTCACCGTAATCCTAAATAAATGAATGGTTTCTCACCATTATCCTAAATAAATGAATGGTTTCTCACCATTATCCTAAATAAATGAATGGTTTCTCACCATTATCCTAAATAAATGAATGGTTTCTCACCATTATCCTAAATAAATGAATGGTTTCTCACCATTATCCTAAATAAATGAATGGTTTCTCACCATTATCCTAAATAAATGAATGGTTTCTCACCATTATCCTAAATAAATGAATGGTTTCTCACCATTATCCTAAATAAATGAATGGTTTCTCACCATTATCCTAAATAAATGAATAGTTTATCACCATTATCCTAAATAAATGAATAGTTTCTCACCATTATCCTAAATAAATGAATGGTTTCTCACCATTATCCTAAATAAATGAATGGTTTCTCACCATTATCCTAAATAAATGAATGGTTTCTCACCATTATCCTAAATAAATGAATGGTTTCTCACCATTATCCTAAATAAATGAATGGTTTCTCACCATTATCCTAAATAAATGAATGGTTTCTCACCATTATCCTAAATAAATGAATGGTTTCTCACCATTATCCTAAATAAATGAATGGTTTCTCACCATTATCCTAAATAAATGAATAGTTTCTCACCATAATCCTAAATAAATGAATGGTTTCTCACCATTATCCTAAATAAATGAATGGTTTCTCACCATTATCCTAAATAAATGAATGGTTTCTCACCATTATCCTAAATAAATGAATGGTTTCTCACCATTATCCTAAATAGATGAATGGTTTCTCACCATTATCCTAAATAAATGAATGGTTTCTCACCATTATCCTAAATAAATGAATGGTTTCTCATCCTAAATAAATGAATGGTTTCTTATCCTAAATAAATGAATCACCATAATCCAACATGGAATTTTACCATTATCCTAAATAAATGAATGGTACATTATCCTGGTTTCTCACCATTATCCTATCCTAAAAATGAATAATGAATGGTTTCTCACCATTATCCTAAATAAAAATGAATGGTTTCTCACCATTATCCTAAATAAATGAATGGTTTCTCACCATTATCCTAAATAAATGATGGTTTCTCACCATTATCCTAAATAAATGAATGGTTTCTTATCCTAAATAAATGAATGGTTTCTCACCATTATCCTAAATAAATGAATGGTTTCTCACCATTACTAAATAAATGAATCACCATTATCCTAAATAAATGAATGGTTTCTCACCATACTGTTAATTCTCTCAAATTTTTCCTTGTATAACTTACTTTGACAATGAGATTCCTCCAGGTTTTCCAACAAAATCCTCGTGATGAAGAACAGAATTATTCCAAGGCAGATCAAGAAATTCTAGAATCCGTTTCATCCACAATTCTGGATGTAATGAGAGCTGTTCGTAGTAAACCGGCATACAATGTCCTGATCCCACATGTAAACACTGAGCATACATAGATTCCATAGCTTGGTTCCATTTTTTAAGACAATTTCGATAACTAGAAAGATCAAATCCAGTTATTGTAACCTTTCGTGATATTATTGAATGCACAACAGCTCGGCCGTCACGTATCATAAACAAGAATTTGGAGTTAGGAAATAATTTAGATAGATAAAGACTAGATTTCAATGTGAATGGATCTTTGTTACAAAGTCTTGGGGCTGCTTCACCATGCTTGGCAATCACTTCCAGCATGAATGCCGTTATCGCTGAATCTATGACATCATCTGTAATTCCAGCCTCGTTCAGACGACGTTTCTCAGTCTCAGATCGTTGCCAGTGTGTCCTCATTCCAAGAATTCTTGGAATCACTCGCGTTTCCTCTCCACATCGAACTTCTGGATGTGCATCGAGCATGACACGCATTAATGTCGTGCCACTTCGTGGCATACCACCAATGAAGATTATCGGCATATTTTTGTCATAAGGTATGGCTTTCTGATTATGATCATATATGTACTTGATCTGTTCTTTTGGAACCATGTAAGCCTTGGGTCCATTCTCACAGGGGAGAAAATTGTATAAGAAAAACACAAAACACATGCACGAGAGACCTCCAAATATTGTTTTTCGTCTCATTTTCATCGACATGGGAAATTTTAGTCATGAAACCAAAACAATTTGTCACTTGATTCTTGCACAAATTTTTTGACCAATTTTTGTTCATTGACAGTGTTCTTCAAAACCTTCTTTCACTTTCTGATTAATATCTTTGGCAAACTTTTATGTTCCCTTAAATAAATAGAATATTACACAACACACAGTGATATCTTCTTCTAGCTGAAGATTTCACAAGGTTGACCAGTAACACTTAAAGCCTAGGCAGAACTTCATCACTGACAACAAACTGTCATCATATCAACAACGATGCTGTCAATATGACATAGACTGTAGAGTTTGCTTTCATAGACCTCGTCAGTAACACAGCTGCTCTGGATCTTCACTTTTTCTCTCAAATTCAGTCAACTGCAAAAGTAGAAAAACCAAATTTAAAATCACACATAAAATTTGCCAGGAAAATGGTTAACAGATAACAAGGTGAAGTTTGTGACCTTATGGATGCTTCATATTATGCAAGTTTCAAGGATGAAATGAAATTTTAAAAAATAGCTAAATTTACAGTAAAATGATAAAAAAAACATCTTTTTTCATGATATTTATGAAAATTTCATCCCCTAATCCTTTAGTAAAAAATGAAAACTTGAGAAATCAAGAAAAAGTAAAAAAAAAAAAAAAAAAAAAAATATATATATATATATATATACATGTACAACTGCATATATGTCTTCCAGATATCATTTTCTGACTGACAGAACTTTTAACCGAGTCATGATAGTTGTTCAAATATGTCACAAGAAACAAACACGTCCATTATAATGCCAGTAATGGTTTAAACATATTGATCTTCCCTAACAAAAAAAAATTATTTGAATCTACAGATCAGTATTATTGTATGAATTAGGCTTATGTATGTGACAGCGGTCATGCAGCTTTCAAGGAACAAAATGTCAACAGCTTTGCATGCGTTGTCATAGCAACAATCAACAAACCTGTTGATCAGTTTTAAGCTTTAGATCTATTACAAATATGATATTTAACATTTACATTTTAAAAGTTGCAGTACTTACACACGTAATCTACAACTCTACGGATTTAATTACCATTTATATCAGATATATGAAAATCACAAAATTAACTGAATTATGGAACCAGTGCACCTCCCCATCTACATTTTGACTCTTATTTCGATCACTCTGAATTTTCCTTAGTCGCCTCCTTGGTTTTAAATTTTACTTTGCATAAAAAACCCAAACAAGTGAACAGTTTACCTAATTATTACTTTAAGTGGAACTTAACATTAAAACGTGGAAAAACAATCCAACACTCTGGTATATTAGAGGCTTCAAACTTCAACTACAAGCTACGTACACACAGAAAAAAGTATGTATCAATGGACGAAGTCTAACCAAGTAATTTCCCTTTAAGTCTGTACAGATATATTCCTGAAACTGGAACCTATCAGTGAATTATTGTATATACCCATGTATTTTTCTAAACTTCATATTCATTTCATTTCAATATTGTTAAAAAACAAAATGAAACAAATCATCCAGTGAAAACAAAACAACCCAAAAAACCTCAACAACAAAAATAACCAACCCACAACAAATAAACGACATTTTGTATATTTTCTAGAAAATATTTTGCATTATTTATCACTATAATTTTTTTAGAAAAATATTAGATTGATGAAAACGATTAACTGGTATCCCTATTTCAGTATATTTACATAATCTTTCACCTCGAGCTTAATTTGATCCTCCGTCTTCTGTGCTCAAAATCCAACAAAATTGCTGAATGTGAGTTGAACATATCCATTATCTCCACATATTGCATGCACAAGTGTTACAACAATGTGTGTCTGTTTTTTTCATTGTAGTTCGATGTCATTTATAATTATCCTCAGGAGATCAGATCAATCGTGACAGCGATGACCTTATTTTAAGTCTATCTATAGGTCTGCAGTAATTCATTTACTTTCAGATCAATACAGCATTCCCTTAGTACACATACAATCAACATAAAGATTTTGACTAAATATTACCATCTCCATTAAAGGAGACTTCTCTCATTGTTTCAAACCTTTATTTCTATTTTCATGGAAATAATCTTATCATCTAGGATATTACAAAGTTTAATATTTTTTTCTTCGAAGCTTTTTAGAAAGAAAAAAATAGCACCTTATGAAGCCAAAGCAAAGTAGATGCACAACATCATACAAATATTAACTGAAATTTACTTCTCTGAGAATTTTTCTAAAAATGGAGCTTTGTTTATCTTGTAACCTTTCATAACATACACAAGATTTTTTTATGTCAGTCATTAAAATTGTATGAAATTTTCTCCCAACAAGTAACTTTTTTCAATCCCTTTTAAAACATTGTGTAATTTTAAGCCTTTCAAAACAGGAGATCTAACAAAAGTAGCATTGGACTTCATATTTTTCTTTTTAAAGGCAAAATCTTACAAAATAAATAAATAAATAAATAAATAAATCTAAAACATTAAAATTAAATTAGCAGTTCTACGATTATGTATTCTTACTTAATTGAAGAAATTAAAAGTATTGTAAAGCGAAAAATTGTCCAAATAAAAAAGAAAAAAAAATAATGAAATAAAAAAACTGAAGTGCTCAGGAGAGGTGTTCTTTACTTATTTATATACTTCACATATATTGAAAGCTTACTGGTAGGTGCTGATTTATGTGACAATGGAAAATCATGTAGTATACGTATTTTACATACTGGTACACTGTAACCTACGTCATCGAGGTTTACCTGCAATACATACTAATATTGTCCAGCAAATGATTTCAATGACATGTTTTGACCTGAGAATCATTAATTACAATGATAATGTCATATCAACTATCAGTCACTAAGAGAAAGTACAAAACCTCCTTTGAACTAGATATGGAGTTTGCCTATGATGGATCAGGTCTGATCTACCAGGCACCAGCTCTCACACATTTGACCAGCAACACGAGACATTGACCGGTCAACTTTGAAGTAATCAGCTGTCGGTCAAAACTTCTGATGTATCACACACATTGACCAGACACTTTACAAATATATAGTGGCACATGTATATAAACCAATGTTTCCCTAGTGATCTGAACTACTGCATCTCTACTAGTGTAAACCAATGTATCTCTACTGGTCTGAACCAGTATATCTAAACTGGTCTGAACCAATTGTTTCTCTACTGTTGTGAACCAATGTATCTCTACTGGTCTGAACCAGTGTATATCTACTGGTCTGAACCAATGTATCTCTACTGGTCTGAACCAATTGTTTCTCTACTGGTGTGAACCAATGTATCTCTACTGGTCTGAACCAATGTACCTGTACTGGTCTGAACCAGTATATCTCTACTTGTCTAAACCAATTGTTTCTCTACTGGTGTGAACCACTGTATCTCTACTGGTCTGAACCAGTATATCTAAACTGGTGTGAACCAATGTATCTCTACTGGTGTGAACCAATTGTTTCTCTACTGGTGTGAACCAATGTATCTCTACTGGTCTGAACCAATGTATCTCTACTGGTCTGAACCAGTATATCTATACTGGTCTAAACCAATTGTTTCTCTACTGGTGTGAACCACTGTATCTCTACTGGTGTGAACCAGTGTATCTCTACTGGTCTGAACCAATGTATCTCTACTGGTTTGAACCAATATATCTCTACTGTTCTGAACCAGTATATCTCTACTGGTGTGAACCAATTGTTTCTCTACTGGTGTGAACCAGTATATCTCTACTGGTCTGAACCAATTGTTTCTCTACTGGTCTGAACCAATGTATCTCTACTGGTCTGAACCAATTGTTTCTCCGGTCTGAACCACTGTATCTCTACTGGTCTGAACCACAGTATCTCTACTGGTCTGAACCAATTGTGTCTCTGGTGTGAACCACTGTATCTCTACTGGTCTGAACCACAGTATCTCTACTGGTCTGAACCAATGTATCCCTACTGGTCTGAACCAATTGTTTCTCTAGTCTGAACCACAGTATCTCTACTGGTCTGAACCAGTATATCTCTACTGGTCTGAACCAATTGTTTCTCTACTGGTCTGAACCACTGTATCTCTACTGGTCTGAACCACTGTATCTCTACTGGTCTGAACCAGTATATCGTTACTGGTCTGAACCAGTATATCGTTACTGGTCTGAACCACTGTATCTCTACTGGTCTGAACCACTGTATCTCCATTTATGATCTATTAACAATATATTTGACAGGGCTCATTACCAGGCAAGAGGTTGCTGATGGTTACCATTGGATGAAATAGATCTCCTGGATATGACATAATATATCATTCATTTCGCTTTAATTCACACAAGTTCTAGCTCTGAGACACCAAATATTTTTATGATATATTACCTTTATATCAACTTTAATGACTGAAGTCGTGTGACATAGCAGTTTACAGAATCCATACATAATCTAGATGTGAAGTAAAAGATCAATATATGTTCCAGATATATTTATTTGTATTCAAGAACAAATCCCTGGAAAGCAGACTTTTATGATGGCTTGCATTGTGTATCAATATCCCGGATGATATAGAATTATGAACTGTCGTGTGGTTCACCCGAACCTCTAACTTTTTACTAATAACTGTTACCGATTGATGGACGACAAAATAATACATTACCACTAAACACAATACTGGCCCAGCAACACATCAATCACTGAGATTTCTTGATAAAGCATTTTTCTTGATCACTGATCTATGTTGACTAAACTTTTATGTAATCTAGAAATGGTGACTGATGGTATCTGTCAAATACAACCCCTGAACATGCACTACTGGCTGGTTTTTTTAGATCAAAATCACAACAGAATAGGTAGCTTTAAAAGCAAAACTGATGGGGAGAACAGAATTGGATGTTGTTCATGAAAAATTCATCCATTTTTCATCAAAAAAAAAAAAAAAAACAAAAAACAAAAAAATTTTCCAACTATGGTTGCAGGGCTTTTTTCTGAGCATTTTTGGATTTTAATGATGAACCACATGAC